CTGTACCCATCCAGCCAGACCACTAACTGGCTTTTTTACCCTACGTTTCCAGCCTCGGAGGCTCATGTGGTCTGCCCCACGCTAAGATGAGATGGGCAAGGGAGGCTGAAGATGGAGAAAAGAAAGCAAAACGGCCAAGTCTAACCACTGTATGGCAATGTCAGCAAAGAAAGTGAGAAACAGGGTCCTCAAGCAGACTCCATAAGCAGCCTTCTCCTCCCAGGAAAGCATACAGCAACAGTTACAAATAAAACATTCAACTTAAAAATAAAAACAAAACAAGAAAACCAGATGCCTCGACACCTGCCCATCACCTGTGCTGCTTCTGGCACGCGAGCTGGTTGGAGCCAAGTGCTGCTGGCGACATGTCTGTCCATGTGCTGTCACATCTCCATCTGCAGAGCAGGCATGTGCCAAGACTTGAGAAGCCACAGAAAAATGGGGAGGGTGGCAGATCCCTAAGATGGACTCTCCAGTTTGGGATGCTTAGTAGGATGAAGAGAGAAGAGTCTGAATGGAGGTTTTGTTCTCAGCTCTTCTGAGTAACGAGTTGTCTCCAATAAACAAGAGTATGCAGTAAATCAGGACAGAACTTTTTCAGTAGATTATCCACAGCTCTGATTCACCAAATCTTCAAGGACTCATGGAAATGATTCAGTGGAGAAACAGAGATAATTTGCTTTCACACAGAGAAGGAAGAAAGTTGCCAAGCAACCAAGATAGACTATTTCTACCCTACTTACAAAACTTCATCACTGAGAAAAGCTAGGCTGGTCAAACTCTTATTGGCATCTTTGGCCAAATCTCAAGATGAGAGGGAGTCTAATCCATTCTTGTGTCTGGATCCAATCAGAAAAAAAGGCTGTAACAGGTTATATATATATTTATATATATATATATATAAAAGGGTATTTTATTGTGAACTTCTGCAGTTCTCCCATAAGTAGCAGAGGTCCTGCACAAATTCAGTCATGATCCCCGTGGAAAGGTCTGAAAATGGATAGCCCCAGATTTGAATGTGTTGGAGTAAATTCTAAACCAAGGCAAATGCAGCATCTCTTCTATCGTATTGCCTGGCAAATGCCAACAATAACGCTAGAAAGTTCTCTCTGGTAGAGGGTCATGGTCTGACCTTCATTAAGTCTTGAGATTAGAGGTCCTTTATTAATTTCAAGATCTGTTCCTCACTGATGTAGTTCTGCTTATGCTTCAGCACTAAGTTATTCTGTTCTTTTCTCAGTTCCTAGAGGAGGCTTGATCAATCTCTTCTGCTTTCTCACTTTACCTAATTTAAAGACTAAGATCCATATCGAGACCAGGACAAAGTTTCTCAGTCATTTAGAAGAGATTTACTTGCACATTTCACACTAATGAGGATTGCTTTGCTTGCGCCTCCAAGGTATCTTTGAAAAATTGAATTGTACAGGTTGGGTGGAATCCCCACCTTTTGCTGGGGGGTGGTTCATTGAGGTCACAGTCAAGTCAGGAGCCCTCCTTGGTGTTTGGTGGAGGATGGATGGACTGAGCTGATCCGAAGAGTCTCTGCAGGGAGAGTTTTGGAGCTAGCGCTGACTTTATGAACGCTCTGAATTTTGACATCTAACCCCCCTAATCCTTCTGACCAGGCAGGAAGGGGCCACCGCGCTCAGACGTTATGGCAGCCTGGCTGCATCTTCTCCCTGGAGAGCAACAAACTTGTCCCGCGAATGATGTGACAAACCCAACCTGGGCTCTTACCGGTTTCTGCTCCTCCCCCTACATGCTCCCATCACAGGAATGTCTGCCAGGTTTATTTCTGGGTGCAGACAGGCACGTACCCCTGCACTGACCGGCCAGCGGCGGGCTCCAGGCAGTGGCTGAGCTCTTCTTGCCTTCCCGTTACTGGTGGTACTGGTTGGGGTTTGCCCTCTCTGCTGTGCTGCTGGGAATGCAGTGGAAAACGCGTTATCGCAGGCGTGTCTGCCCTTTTGAAACCTTTGGTCAAAACTGAGACTAAATTCACTGGAAAGAAGGAAGCATTAGTGAAAGATAAATCTCGTTTCTTTAAAGAACAGACCAGAAATAACTATCGTAACCTCAGTCTGATCACTTGTAGTCTGGAAATTGCCAAGGTTTGAAAGCTTGGAACTACCCCAGATGTTGGTCAAAGAAACCAGATGCTACTCCAGGATCTTAGGAAGTCACAACCCCCCCCAGGACAAAGATGCTTGGGCAGCACTGGGAGAAGGGGATGCCTTCCTAACAGAGGGGCTCTTTCTTAGCTGAGGGGGCATCTGAGGGAGAACTTTATCGCCATGAGATGCAGAAAAAGAGAAAGCCCATGATTTTGGAGGCAAGAATGTAAAGTCTGAAGAGATCTCAAAAACAAAGGAAACTCAGCAGGAGAAATGTGCCCGGGTGTTTTACTGCTGCGAGTTAATCTATCCATTTCTCATGTTACCTTAACAATAGAACAGTCATAATTTCTTGCAAAATTCTCACTAAGAGGTTCAACTATTCTGTGTCATCAGGGTACTAAATGGTCAAAGATCTATGAAAACATATTTTAAGGTATAGTAACTGGAGATCAACAGTGACCAACAGCAGGGATTTCTGTGCGCCAAACACAGCAAATTGTTCTCATAAAGACACTGTGCAGGTGCCTGCTCAGCTCAGAAGCTTCCAGGGATCAGGGTAAGACACACCGGGGTCTAAACTCAGCAGCTTTGTGATTGTCGAGGAAGAAAAAATATTAACTGGGGCTTCAGGGGGGTTCTGCAAACCCCGGCAGGATATGGGCCTCTCCTTCGTTACGCTGCCCGATGCGTCGCTTCCCGGCATGAGCGCGGAGTTTGCGGCAAAGCACAGAAATGTTGTTTCCCGTGGAAACTTTTTAATCCCTAGGCTACGGATATCTCTGCCCGTGCGCAGCTTCGCAGCCAGCCCCAATCTCCCCAGCCTCAGGGTGATGGCAGTCATTCGTTTGCCTCCGAGTTTTGATGACTTGAAATTATTTGCCCGCCTTGTATTTGTCGTTGTCACGTCGCACAAGCTTACGGGGGCTGTAGGCGGTCAGACAAAATGAGCCCGTAGCACAGAAGTCTGTCTCCAGAAGTGGGTCGCAGCAGATTTGCTGCAAATGTCCTTCTACAGGATAATCAAGGACACAGGAGCACCTTTGCTTGGCTTTGTTGGGCTTTGAACTTACTAGGCTATTATTTAAAAAATATTATTTTTAAAAAATAATTTACTACACATGCTCCAAAGTTTAAAACGTTCAGTCCAGGGGTAAGGAAAAAGAGGAATAGAGTAGAAAGGAAGAAACGTTTTATCTGACATTTCCAACTGCAGGCATGCTTAATTGGCAATTACAGTTTGAAGACTGGTAAGCAAAAACATAGTAAGGAAAGAGATTAGACAAGACCGTGGCTTGAAGATAAATCAATATACAAATAACGTGATACGACTGAGAGGAGTTCAGAGATGGACAGCAAGGGTGAGCAGGGCTCTGAGATGGCTTTCTGCGAGAGGTCTGCGCTATTCCACCCCAGGGGCAGGACTTGGCACTTCCCTCTGTTGAACCTCACGAGGTTCCTGTCAGCCCAGTTCTCCAGCCCGTTGAGGTCCCCAAGGATGGCAGCGTGACCCTCGGTGTGGCAGAGAAACGTGACCTTGTTCCCCTTGAGATGCCTTCAATTTGGGAAGGAGTCTGAACCTGTTCTTTCTGCCCTCGTTTCGGGGCTAAAAGGGCAAAGAGATTCCCGCACCAGAGCGAAGGTGCCTTGACTTAGTATAGCCGCACCGTGCCAACATGTTTCTGAGCCATCCAGGACCCCAGAGCAAGGTGATTTGGCATTTTTTTTTTTTTTTTTTTTTTTAAACAAACAGCCCGCCACATACTAAGTAAATCTCCCATTCCTGAAAACGGCAAGGTTCAAAGCACGGTGAGGAAAGAGACTTTACTTTCCAAGCAGACGAGCCAAGGAGGTTGGGAGAGGCTTCATCCACAGGGAAGGAGACGGGCTGTGCAGCCCCCCCGTATTGTCTGCAGGTTCATATGGTTCGGAGGAAGACGGGAGGAGTGTCATGAAAGCACCGCTCGTGGTCTTCTGTTCAAAGGCAGGCGGGGAGCAGGGGGGAGGCTTTGAGCCAGGGCCGTGGCCGGAGACTGGCCCGGGCTGGGGGGAGACTGGTGTGACCCCACAGCAGCACTGGTTGCTTGTGTTCTGCCCTGTGTCTTGAGCAACCCCACGCTGCTCTTCGGGCTGTCCGGGAGGCTCAGAAACCACAGCACAATAAAACCAGAGCCGGCGCGTGAAAAGGCACTTCTTGTTGATGGGAGCATGGTCTGAAACCTGTTCCCAGCCTGCTTCACCTAGACCAGGGCTCGGGGGGACTGTGTTAGAGGGAAAAGTGTGGCTTGTCCTTCCTCAGCACCTCAAAAGGGCATTTCCACTTCCACCGGTCTAAGCTATTTGGTAACAGAAGAGCCCAGCCAGGCAGGTGGGAAGGGGATGGCCCCTTTGGGTGCCAAGTCACTTCCCCCCAGGTGAGACATCTTATACTCTCTCCTCTCCTGCTAGAGAGGTCCCCTCTGCCTTGCAGTGCTTGTCTTGCTCCTCACCATTTCCTCGGGAGCTGCAGGTGGAGCGGCTGGCTTTACACACCTGGGCAGAGGAAGGGTTTCATATCTCTTTTCTCCCCGAAGGCGGTGGGGGGCTGCAGCTTCCCTCGCCCAAGCAGAGCCACGGGGCTCCTCCGAGCCCACCGCTACGCCGTGCCGAGCCGGCAGCCTTCCCCCCCGGCTCCCTCCCTTCCCCCTCCAACTCTATTTGTTTATCATTTTCATCATCCTTCGCAGAGCTGCCCCGCGTTCCTCCCGCTTCGCCCTCCTCCTCCATCCCCGGCCCCGCGCTTTGCCCATTGGTCGCGGGGGCTGCGCTCGGGGGGAAGCCCCTGTGGTTTTCTATATAACCAACCGCTCCTTTCGGAGAGACCTCAGCAGGTCACGAGAGGGAAGAACCGTTTCCCCTGAGCACCAGCCCCCCCGCGCAAAAGCAAAAACGCCAGGAGCGACGAGGCTGCAGCTCTCCCGGGGCCTGCGGGACGTGCCCAGCTGCCCATGCGCTGGGAAGGAGCCGTGAGAGGGAGAGAAACTGATCCCAGGAGCATCTGAAGTTCGTGGTCTCGAGGAAGGTGGCGTAACTTCAGCGAAAAGCTTTGCCGTTCCGTGCGTTGACGTGCAAACAAAACGATTTCTTGCTGCAGGGTGAGTTTTTGCACGTTTTTTTCAGATTCACCGCCCCCCCCCCCCCCCCCCCCCAAGCTGCCCACCACGCTGGGGGAGGCGTTGAAGGGACCACAGTCCTGAGCAAGGTCCAACACGTGGGCAGGGAGAAGGTGCATGAGAAGAAATCCAGCACACCTCTGGGGAGAAGGTCCCTCTGCTTACGGACCGGGTTGGGTTCAGGTCGGGGAAGCAGCTGGGGATGTGGTGGTATCACCTGCCTTTCTCCCTCCTTCCCCCCCCCCCCCCCCCCCCAAGGCATTTTTGCTGCAAGAGATGTTTACCTACAGAAAAGGTCTGGTTTGAGCTTGGCGAGGTTAGGCTGGCTTGAGATGAGGATTCCACCTGGGATGTGGTCAGAGCTCCCCAGCAAGAGGAATCCTGAGCCCCACCCATCCCACACGTGGCACCTTTGGGAGAGGAGCAGGCTCTGCAGGGTTATGGCAAAGGTCTTCAGTCTCATCTCCTCCCTGGGAACTGTTCTCTCATGTCCATGCCGTGACCCCAGTGGTTTCAGCAGCGATTTGGGCTCAGCACAGCAAAAAAGGGCATTTCCACTTCCACCGGTCTAAGCTATTTGGTAACAGAAGAGCCCAGCCAGGCAGGTGGGAAGGGGACGGCCCCTCTGGGTGCCAAGTCACTTCCCCAGGTGATCAGCGACACGAGCAAAGCTCAGAGGATTTGGGGCCAAGCGGTGCTGGCTTTGGCTTCACAGCTGCTGGGCGCTGAACAAGCTTCTTGATGCTGCTGTGCCTCAGTTCCCCCCACAACTGGGAAAGTGTTATGCCTTCAAGCACTCTGAGATGCGAGAGGAAGCAGGGAGGGCAAGAAGTAAACGGGCTGTTGAACAGGAGAAAACAATGCTTCTCTTTTACTAAATTGCTGGATTTTAAGGCAAGACGAGGCGGGGAGAAGCGGGGTTTTTTCCTTCGGTGCTTTGAGGGATGGGCAGGATCCAGCGAGCCGTGTCCTGTGATACTCACATGAGCTTTTCTGCCAAATACCCAGGGGCTGGACGGTCACACCAAGCTCTGCAGTCCCGCGGTGGTGGGAGCAGATGAGAGCAGCCCGCTGCTGCAGAGGGCCCGGGACACGGCTTTTTGGGGATGCTCGGGGCAGCTGGGGGGCAGACGCTTGTCTGCTCCGTCCAAAGCTGCTCCCTGGGAGCTGCCCAGACCCTTAAGGATCCCAGGCAGGAATTCTGAGCTGGGTCTGCCCTCTCCTGCCAGCCGCAATCCTGTGAACACAGCGGGGAGGAGAAGAGGGTGCTGGTCAGGGCAGCCACCCATCAGAGCTGCCCCTGCCGTAGCCTGGGGCAGGACAGAGCTGAGGACCTTATCAAGGGTGCCAGCTCAAGTCCCTGTACCAAGCCAGAGCGGGGATTTGCACCCAGGTCTCCAACGAGTCGGGTTTGTGCTCCTTCGGGTTATTTATCCATTCTCTCCCTTCCTTTCTTCTCCGCCTCTTCCCGACGTAGCCCAGCACCTGAGCAGGAGTCACAGCTGAGAAAAACAGCAAAACAGGTCAGAACAAAGTCCGCCTTGGTCAGCTGCCTCCAGGACAGCAGTTAGAGCCGATGCTTAGGTGAATTTGGGGAAGAAGATGGTGTCGGAGAAGTTTCTCCAGTCAAACGGTCCCAGATTTGTCAATCGGCCGATTAGGGATGTGCTGAGACCAAGGAGGGTACCAGGACTTTCGTAGCCACCAAGGACCAAGACTGTTCCTGCAAGCAGGGGGGAACATTCCTCTCCACACACCGACTGGTGACAATTCTGTGAGTCCTCAGCTGTGACCAATGCATCTCCAAAGGGTCTTTTGTGGAAGGACGCTCCTCCTTGCCCAGGCTCCTTAATAACCAGCTATTTTGGTGCATAGCTCAGTCCCTTCCCATAGTATTTTATACTGGTTAGCTAAGGGGACAAGCTGGCATCCCAGCATCCCCCTCCTCAGGGAATTTGCTCTGCCCGTGCGGGAAGGATGGTGTGGGCTGGGGGTTTCCCCAGTTTGCAGATCACAGACACCTGCAGGCATCCCCCTATGATGGGATAGCTACGTACCTCTGGGAGCAGGGTGCTTATAGGCCACATACAGGATGTTTCCCAACCATCATATGGAGCTTCTTCTCTAAATGCTCTTCAAATTATTGAAAACAGCTCTTTTTTTTATTATTATTTATTTATTTATTTTAATTTTTTTTTTTTAGCCAGAGGCAGGCAGATAACTTTGTAGTGCCTGTTCTGGCTCACACCGATGCAGCTTATCTGCAAGATAAGTTTACAAAGTTGTTTGAGTCTGCACAGATTAAAGGCACAGAGAACACACAAGATTGCTAAACACCAGGCATGAATATTTTAGCAGATAGAAGCATGCTCATAGTGAGCTGAAAAGTGATGAGAGTTTTAACTTTCCTGTAGTGAAACCATATCTAAGGTGCTGTTATAAGGATTTAAACTAGAAAAGAAAAATCTTTAATTAAAATGTGGTTGTTTTAACAGAACTGAAAACTTAACTCTCTGGTTCGTGAGGTCTAAACTGTGACTGAAGGGATTTGGTTATTTTATTGCCTACTTCTGTTTGACGTGTAACTGGGAATAAATTTTAGGCTTCCTTCTAACGTTGCTTGTTTACAATTTGAAGTACTAAGGACCCGACCGAAGGACATAAAAGGGTCAGGAGGGGCTAAGCCTGATTTAGATTTTTCTGGCAAGAGCAGTAGGGTGAAACTGAGGAAAGGGTAGTTCTGGCTAGGCTGGTTCGTTGGGAAAGAGTCCAACTTCATGCTGATTATGCTTGGAGTCTTCCAGACAAGCAGAAAGGCACAGGCATTTGTACAAAGCCTGGCCTGAGCGCCTGACACAGGAGGAACGCCGAGCTGAGCCTGGAGAAGCTGTGGTTGTACCTGGGAGGATTCGTGGGTGGCTTGGCCATGCCGCCCCGGAGTGGGAACAGCGTGCTCCCACCGTAGACGCTTCGCTGGTCCTGGGGTCCCCCGAGTCCTGGGCAGGGGAGACTGAGCCACAAGCCAGAGAGCCTTGGCTGCACGGTCCTGGGGAGCAGATCCCCGGGGTGCAGCTGGTTTGGGCTCGGATCCCAGCTCTGCCTGGTGGAGTCAGAGTGGAGGCTGAAGTCCCCTCTCTAATCCCAGGCGGGCACCCCGATCCCTGCCTAACTGGCTCCTCCGGAGCAGAGCACATCCCACGGAAGCTCCAAAAGGCTCCTGCTTCTAGTCTAGGCGCAGCAATTTCTCCTCCCTTCGAAGCTGTAAAGTCTCACAGTTTGAGAAACTTGTTCTTCAGCCACTCTAGCCAGCATATCCAAAGTCTGTCCCTGTCTGGGGCACAGGCAGTGCTGGCAGGGTGCTGACAGCTTCCACTCCCTCTCTGGGCTCCCTTCCCACTGGTGGCCGTATCTGGGTCGTCCAGAAGCCCCTTCCACAAATTCCCATCACGCCAGGACCGTGCTACAGCCATCCTCAGCTTCCTCATGTGGCTGTGGAGCAGCGGTGGAGCTAGTCCTGCCTGAAAGCATTGTCTGAGCTTTGCAAAGCAGAACCCACTCGGGTGATATTTATTAGTAGTGCTCCAGCCTTGGGGAGCTTGAGAGACCTTTTACTGTGCTGAGCAGTCAAGACTGCAAAGAGCACAAGGAGATTTATATCCCTGAGTACTGAGTTGAATGGGCACAGTGGATTTGGAAGGGAAGTGGTTCAATTAACAACAATAAGGATGGGGAAGGAGAGGCTGTACTGCTCGCACATAAATTGGATTAAGATGTCGGGTATCAGTACGACATTTCTGGAAAAACCCTTGTAGTGTTTTCCCATCATGGTTTCCAGAAAGACTGTGCTGAGCCTCTTCACTTCCCACTGAAAGATGGCATGTGGCAGCCCAGGGCAGCTGGTGAAGAGTGGCTCCAGTTATCCCACAGCACACACTGGAAGAAGAGAGCTGCTGGTCCTGTGGACCCCGAGAGGGGGTTTGCAGAGCCGCCCAGATGTGCAGGTGGTGACAGGGCAGGTGCCCCAAAACTGCTACTTCAAACGGGAACTAAACGAGAAGCGTGGGGCGGGCATAAAAGAAAAGTCAGGTTTGCCGCGTGGGCAGCAATACCGAGTTCAGAAGGTGCACGCCTATTTGAGGAAAGGCAGGAGCCCTCATTTGCTGGAATACTGTGTAAGAGCAACTACAGACTGTTTGTTTTCCTTTTAGTTAGTTTTACCGGCCAGGCACGTTTAATTTTAGCAGCAGAGACTCCCGCCCCCAGGGGTCAGCTGCTTTGACCAGATGGGATCTAATCTGGCGTTATTTCTGATCACTGTGATGACAGATTTTCTCCAGCAATTCCTTGCATTCAGCCTCGTCTTGCTCCTCCTCCCTCCGCTAACTAAATTCTCTCCCTCGTCCCTTTCTCCATCTGCAGACCCGAGCAAGACCCGAGCCAGGGCGTCCCACGAGCACTCCGAGGACTCCTGCAGCCAGCTTTGCCGATCGGTCCTCCATGGCGAGAATCCCAGCTCCCACCACTCTGGCCATTTTCCTGACTTGCCTCTTCTCCGGGGCACGCAGCCAGACCCCAAGGGCTTTCCAGGAGAGCACCGTCCCCTTTGAGGTGCTCAGCCAGGAGCAGGCTTACAGCCTGGTCCAGCCAAGCCTGGTCCGGGATGCCAAGCTGTCAAACCACTCGGACAACCCCGCCAGGAGCACCAGCTCCGAGCCCCCCCTGCTCCCCGTGTGCCTGAAGCCTGCAGATATCAGACACGTCTTCAAGTACATCAACACCATCGTGTCCTGCACCATCTTCATAGTAGGGATCATCGGGAACTCCACGCTCCTGAGGATCATTTACAAGAACAAGTGCATGAGGAATGGGCCAAACGTCCTCATCGCTAGCTTGGCGCTCGGAGACCTTCTCTACATTCTCATTGCTCTGCCCGTCAACGTATATAAGGTAGGGGCCAGGCGGCACGAGCGCTGCGGCAGCCTGGCGATGGCAGGGGAGCTGTCTGCTCCCACCTGCCTCCGAGCCCTGGGGAATATCTATCCTCTGCTCTCTGTTGCAGGCTCCTTCTTTGCAAGGGAGAGGGGGAGGGTGTTTCTGTTCTCCGAAGGGTGAGGAAACCGCGAACAGACCAAGAACTCCGAGTACCTTCCTGGGAAAGCAGAGGTGCTCTCATCTACAGCTGTGTGATGCGCACACAGGCAAGCACGCAGCCTTCCAGATCTTTTAAATCTCATCTAAAATCACAAGAAAATAATTGCTTGCAGGCTCCTGACATTGCAACACAATGTTTGTTTCAGCTGAGCAAAAATTATTGCTCTTGTGCGCTGGGGACACTTGTCCCAGCACAGTTCAGTTAATCGGCCTTAAACAAATATCTTTCTTATTCTAGCTAAATATGAAGACTTATCCAGGAACAAGGAAGAGGGTTGTGTTATAAAACAGGGGCTTCTTTCAGAGACGCTGTCCCCAAAACCAGGGAGAAGAGGCACAACAAATAACGAGGGGAACCTGAGCTCTGCGTGGTGCAGGGGGGCAGAGCGGGCCGGGCAGATGCAGGCAGTAGATCTGAGACCCCAGTTAAGAGCAGAAGGTGTGTGCTGGCTCCCTGCTCTGGCCACATCTACGCTGACATTTCCTGACTGGTGTTCAGGATTTCCCTAGGCCACCTGAGCAACCCCGCTCCTTTCTGCCCCTCTGGCTTCCAGCCACCTCCCGGAGGGGAAATTGTTGCTCGCTTGAGAAGCCCAAACTGACCACGAGCAACCTGGTCCCAAGAGTAGCCCAGTTCCCTCGTGGTGTGTCCCGGCAAGATGCGACGGGTGGATTCCCTGGCTTTTCAGACCAACGAAAGGGTAGGGCTGATTGGCTGCCTTCACCCGAGACCCTGATTTTCAGGAGAGCTTTTGGATCGATTTGTCTCGCTGCTGAGGCCAAAGAGCTTGCACGAGGGCTGGTTCTGAGTAGGGGGTAACCTTAGGATGGGCTCCAGGTGTCATGGAGATAGAAGGGTTGTGAGCCCAGGCGCACTCTCAGCCTTGCGAGTGGTCTGGATTCCTCCTGTATTCAGGGCATCTTGTCCACACCGATGCTCTCTGCTCACCCCAGCTGAGTCTGGGGCCACAGTCTATGTGTTCTACAAGTGTGGTAGAAGGTCAGAGCATGGTGAGGGCTTAGGACTGTTTGGCTTTGAAAGCCACCTGAAAGAAGCTGTCCTTGCTGGATGTTGGCCGTTTCAGAGAATGACACCCATTTCCCCTCTGAAAGTGACCCAAAGCCCATCGCGGCGTTGAAGGATTCAGATCCACTCAAACCCACCCAGAGTCCGGAGTCGGGACCTGGTGTCTGGATCAGCCTTCCATCTATGTGCCAACTCATTCTCCCCTGGGGAAACGACCCGTTCCCAGTACAGCACAAAATACAGGAGAGCTCACACTGCGTAATCCCAGCGGGGGGTAACCTCAGAGTGCTTCCAGCCGCTCTTGGTGGGCTTCTCACACCTCGTGGGGACCCACCTGCTATGACGGGAAGCTGGACACGCTTTCCCGAAGCGGCCTGTTGACCCTGTGGTTCCTCCCCCAGCTCCTGGCAAAGGACTGGCCCTTTGGCGTGCAGGTGTGCAAGCTGGTCCCCTTCATCCAGAAGGCTTCAGTGGGCATCACGGTCCTCAGCCTTTGTGCTCTCAGCATCGACAGGTAAGAGCTTCTCCAGCTGCACTGCCCAGCCTGACCCGTATTGGACTATCGCGCGTCCCCTCCTTGTAACCAAAAGGCAGCCTGCGGGGCGGCTCGGTCCCCGGCCGAATTCGGAGCTGGGGACAGCGTGCTGTCACGTAGAGTTGAAATCCAACGGGAACTGGCTCTGGTGACAGAGCTTAAATCCTGCTGGAGAAGGTCGAGGGGAGGATGATGATGTGCTGGAACGACGGCTTGGGGTGGTGGGGAAGGATGGCACCTCCCCGGAGGCAAGCTGACGTTGGCCAAGGGTATCTACCGTCACGCTCATCCATTGAGCCCCTGTTTCTGATCCTTCCCATTCCAGTGAAGTGGAAGGTTCAGGGGTGCGGGAGGAAGGTGTAAGGGAAAGGGCGCTTGGGGACAACTCTAACCTGCACCTTCTCAGTCCCTTCCTGACGGTTGCTTTTCTCACTCCGACCTGCTCCCGCTGCGTCCCCCCGCACGTTGGGCAGGTACCGAGCAGTGGCGTCCTGGAGCCGGATCCAGGGGATAGGAATCCCCATGTGGAAGGCAGTGGAGGTGATGCTGATCTGGGTGGTGGCGATTGTGCTCGCCGTCCCCGAAGCTGTCGCCTTCGACATGGTGGAGCTCAGCTACTGGGAGCGGCACCTGTGGGTCTGCATGCTTGCCTCCGAACAGAAATCCAGCTTCATGATGGTATGTGCTCCATCCCCACCCCAGCTGCAGCGCGAGGGAGGCACAGGCGACCAGGGCATCCCCCCTCCTTGATTAGAGGGTTAGATGCTTCTGTAAATGGCTTCTTCTGGCCATTGGGGTGAACACAGGGAGAGCAGTATCAGCCAAAGCACAGAAGACCCAGCATTGTAGTGACACGGGGCAGACTTGCTTTGAATGTGGGGCCAGAAAATAGGCAGCGGGTCCTTAAGCTGTGTCGGGTCTTCAACGTCCACCTCGGGAGGTTGTGACACATCTTGGGAAGCTTCAGACCCTGCTGTGCTGTCCCAGCGGGGCAAAGAGCACCTCCACAACCTGTCTGCATGGGTAACCTTTATCATGGGGTCAGTTAAGGGTGAGTGAGGGAATGAAGACCCTTAGAAAGCATCAGAACTGCTCCACGGCGGCTACCAAATAAGCTCCTTGCAACTATTTCTTGCACAAGAGTGCTAGATTGGACTGGCAGCCAGATGTGAACCAGCCTTTACTTCTTTAGGTTAAACACGGGCACCAGCCTCAGGGGGAAGATAACCCCGTGTGCACTTAGCACAGGAGCTGTTACCCCCTCACACATCACAAGTGTTTGATACAGGCCAGCGCCGGTGTCAGGGACCGGGTCAGTTCATGTCCCAGTTTGCCCCCCCACACACACACCTCGCCCCAGTTTCCAGTTGTTTTTTCTTTTATATGCAGTTCTACCGTGACGTGAAGGACTGGTGGCTTTTCGGCTTCTATTTCTGCCTCCCCTTGGTATGCACTGGCATCTTCTACACCCTCATGTCCTGCGAGATGTTGAGCAAGAGAAATGGCATGAGAATCGCTCTGAATGACCACATGAAACGGGTAAGAAAACCAGGAAGGCAGGAACTCTGATATTTCCCAAAGAGGAAAGACTGCTGTCGAAGGGGAGAACATGCATCTGTCCCTGTAAAGGACACGGATGAGCTGACATAGCCTCACAGTGGTCAGTGGATATTGGCAGAGTGATGCAGATGCATGGATTAAACCAGGGAGATGGGCCTTCAGCTCTACAGTCTCCAGGCTAGGGACTACCCAAACCACTAGCCTTATGGCCACGGACCAGCTTGATTTCCCATTTCTCATGGTCATTTATCTTTGGCTGTGCCGTGCCAGCCCGGGTCACACCAAACTGGACCAAATGCTCAACGTGCCAGATCACAGACAAAGGGTGCAGGGAAATGAATAGTTTGCTGTCGCCTCCCGCACTTTGCAGAATGATGCCTTGAGGCAGACCAGCTGGTTGTGACAATAACACGGTGTGAAGGTTGGATGGAGGAGGTCCCCATGTCGTCCCTGGGGGCACCAGCCCAGCAAAATCACCAGGAGCAAAGGTGGGAAGGGGCGTGAAGGAGTCTGGTCCGTACTGTGCTGCTGGTACCCGGACCCTTTCTGCAGCCTGGATCTCAGAGTCCTCCTCACCATTCAAGATTTGGGACCTGCAGGTTGTGCTTTGGACCCAAAAGGGATGCCCGGCCGCCGTCAGATTACAGAAATTACTTGAAGGGCCCTTGCTCAGCATGGGGAGATGGTGCTTTGCTCCACCCAGTGCTCAGCCAGCCCAGCCCTCCTCTCCTGCCCACCTTCTCTTCGCAGCGCCGGGAGGTGGCCAAGACCGTGTTCTGCCTCGTGGTGGTTTTTGCGCTCTGCTGGCTGCCGCTCCACCTCAGCCGCATCCTCAAAAAGACCATCTATGACCAGACGGACCCCAACAGATGTGAACTGCTCAGGTAGGGGCATCAGCAGGAGGGCAGGGTGCTGGGCCCCCCCACCACCACCACCCCGCGGGCACCGGCAGAGCCTCTGCTGGGCTCATTGCTGGCTGACGGAGCTGCCTTCCAAACTCCTTGTTTCAGTCGCTCCTTTCTAGACGGCGTTGATCTCCTGACAGGCACAGAGGAAGGGTGTGGGGGGACCATAAGAAGGGAAAAAAAATTCAATTTTGAAATGTCTCCATAAATCTATGGGTTAAAGAGGTCTGCTGGGCAGAGAAACTTTCCCTGCAGGGCTAAAGGAACTGCAGCACCTCTGAGGGCTGTGCACGCTTTCTGCCACGTTACAGGTGCCTGTCTTCCCCTCCCCTCTTCACCCACAACACTAAAATCCAGTTCAGGCCAGCCAGTGCTACTGCGCTTGAGTTTGAGAACATCAGAGTGACCAGGGGAAATCAGATCTGATGCTCTTGGTCTCCTCGGGAAATGCTCCTCGCAAGGAAAAGTGTTGGGCGATTGCCCAACCGCGGGAGGGACTGCTTCGTGCTCACCTCGATGTTCCCAGGCACTGGCCCTCCGTGGAAGCGGGTTCCCAGGCCAGGCAGTCGCCAGGAATTTTGGAAACCCTCCCTCAGTTCTCCGTGAGCTTCTAACACGCCCACCCGCTTCTCTCCCCTCGCGCCTCAGTTTCCTCCTAGTGATGGATTACTTCGGGATCAACATGGCCTCCCTCAACTCCTGCATCAACCCTGTGGCTCTCTACTTCGTCAGCCGGAAATTCAAGAACTGCTTCCAGGTAGGGTTGATCCCTCCAGAGCTCCTGGCTAGGGTGACCGTTCCCAGACACCGGTCCCAGGGGCACAAGCTCCCGCGGAGCGGGCACGGCGCGGCCAGAGGCAGCCCCATCGCGGTGGGTTTCTGCGCTCACGAGGTGGGGGGAAAAGTGGGGAGTGGTTTGGCAAACACACCCAGCAAACAGCAGCACAGACAGCTCCGGATCTTGCAGCTCCCGATCCCAAACAAATGCCCCACCAGGGACACGCTGGGCCGGGCGGCAGCCCACGGGATTCCCCTATTTGCTCATGTATTGATCATATTTCTCCTCCCCAATTTTCCCCCTGCTACGTGCCTCTCTTCCCAGCTCCAGGTACACCAGAGCTCCCTGCCCCGCTGCGGGGAGGCTTTTGCCAGCAAGAGATCGAGGACAAGCTAAAAAAGTCTCCATTGTTCTAGATCAGAAGCATCCACACAAACCGTTAGACAAAGGACTGGGGCTGCTTTAAAATTCAAGCCCAAGTTATTTGGAGATTATCTTCAGGAGCAGCAGAGCCCTGAGAAAAGAAGGGGAGGGAATGGGATGAGATGGGATGGGATGGGATGGGATGAGATGGGATGGAATGGGAAGGGATGGGAGTCACTTCCCAGCTGCTGTGGCAAAAAGAAGAGGTGAGCCCAGCTAAGCATTGCCTGTATTTTCTGTCCCCCAAGGACAACCACAACTGCAAAAGGTACCCAGGATTTCAGTATCTTTATTTCCGAACCACACCAGCCCTATCCTGGAAAACCTGCCCCCAGCAGGTCGGCGGGACAGCAAGGCTCACAAGTGCAGGCTGCGATTTCCAGCCTGGCGCTGTGCAGATTGACTTGCCAACATCAGTAAGGGAATATTTCCACCTCTTTTCCCCTGTAGCCCTCCCCTTGTAACCTCCCTCCCCACCCTCCTGTCTCCTCGCAGTCCTGCCTGTGCTGCTGGTGCCAGAGACCGGCTCTGAGCATCACGCCAACGGATGAGAAGGGCTCTGTTGGGAAGTGGAAAGCCAACGGGCAGGAGCTTGGGTTGGACCGGAGCAGCTCCCGTTTGAGTAACAAGTACAGCTCTTCCTAAAGCCATGCCACGGCGGGGCCGAGAGGAGAAGACGCTGTGCCAAGGCGGCAGGACCCCCCCGTTTCTCTCGCCCGGCCGTTGCCTGGCTGGGCCTGAATCGTTTTTTTTTTTTTTTTTTGCCTTCGTGTCGTAACCCACCTGGGAGGAGCTGCAGCACATCACAGCCCCCCGGGGACTAGCTCTGAACACAGCCTCTGAACCACGCCGGTCGTCCTCTGGAGGAGGGGGGAGTCAGATCCTTGCAGGATTTTTCATTTCCTCACGGGAAACCCAAGCGACTTACAGCTGTTTGTCTCAGGTGGAGACGTGGGGCGGGGAGATGTGTGTGAAAAGGGAGGGAAGCTTCGAGATGGATGTGGGATGAGGAGGAGAGGGAGAGGACCGCGAGCGACAATTTCCAGCTGAAAAAGCCGAAGAAAAGCTTCGGTGACGTCCCTTATGACCTCCCCCTGTTGCTGGGACAGTTTGTCCCTGGGCAGAGAGCCGGGATAAGATCCAGGCACCGTGTATGGCTGGTAGAGAATCGATGGTGTGAAATTTCTTCCTGTTCCTGGTAGGGAGAGATGGGTGGTAACCTGGCTTCCTTACGTCACCAACCTGACCAGGGGAGCCCTAAAAGCCCCCCTCCCCCTTCACCTCTTCCTGGGAAATCTGCCCCAGGCTCCCCACCCAGGGATGATGCTCACCCCACCCGCGTACGGCGCAAGAACCGTGACTGTGTGTGACGGCACAGCTTAGGGGACCAGATATCCTTGGCAGGAACTAGTGGCAGCATCCAGCCAAACCATCAGCTCCAGCTTCCCCCTCCCCAAGGGACAGGGCCAGCCAGGTGAGCTCCCGGCTAGTAGCCCGGGGGGCTGTTGCCAGCCCGAGGGGCTGTCCTCCCAGGGAAGAGTTTGTAAGCCCAGGAAAGGGAAAGCAGAGATGGCTCAAATCCGGATGGGACCAAGGAACCAGCCCTCGCTTTTCCAACCTGGAAGCAGCTGATTCTCCACCTGACGTGGGATGCAAAGGAGAGGATCCGGGAGATGTGCTCTTCCAGAAGAGCATCCAGCCTTGGTCCGTGGTCTTTTGCAGCTGGCAGGGCCACGGCCCCCTTCAGCTGTGGGCTCCTGGGCGGGGGGATCGCCTGCCAGACCACAGCTCGGAAGGGAAAAGAGGGCTGCCCTGCCTTTCGATGCCCGCCGCTGAGCTTCCCCTTCCCACGGAGGCTGAGCACCGACGGCGCAGCAGGGCTGGACCCACGCGTGCCCCGGCCACGGCCCCGTGACACCAAGGCTTGTGGCGTTTTAAGGGGGACGGAGATGCTCATCCTCGTGGTCAAACCAAGGTGGGAAAGGCAACGGGGAAAGGTCTGACCTCAGCAGAAAGAGCCGCTGGAGCTAACCGAAATACGGCAAAGAGCTTTCACAAATTTACTCTTTAAAGTAATTAATCCCCGAGGGCTTCTCCAGCATGTTTTTCTAAAAAATCATGCTTGCCTCTCTCGCCAAAACTTTAAGAAAACCTAGATGAAAAAGTTTTAGTTAATAAGTTTTTGATTATTTTTCTGTTGTTTTTTTCTTCTCTCTCTTTCTTTCTTCTTTACCCTTTTCATCTTGTCATGGGAAAAAAATGGAGAGAGGAAAAAGGGAGAAGAGGAAAGACCTGCAAATAAAGCAAAACATTTTCCAGGTGTTGGGGTTTTTTTAGCTCAGCTTTCACTGAAATGCACATGTTTTACAAACAAATCACATTTCTGAAAGGCAAACGGGTTTCAACAAAACCAGAAAGACTGAGGAATATCCAGACCAGCACATTTTCTATAAACTTACCTACCCACCAGAATAGATTTGTCTGTATCAATCTTGCAGCGCTGCTGCTGTGCTCTGCCCTGGAGCTGGCTGCATTTTGTTGGTGGATAAATGAAGTCAACGGAGAAAACTGATAGAGGCTGAGATGTTCCAGTAGAACAGTGTTTCTGGTAGAAGGGCGTTTTTGAAATTATTGTGCTTACGAAACAAATCTGAATTCTAGGTGTTTCTGTATTTGTCCGCAATTACAGGCAAAGGGATTCAGTGACTTCAAATCAACACCTCCTACCACTCCAAGGACGTAGCGGTGGGTGAGCCACTGGCACATCAAGTCTCACTCACATTCTGCCCGACCCCAAATTGTGGCAAATTCAGTTCCAGCCGGCCCCTCTCCTTGGCTGAGCCTGGCCCTCCCCTGCCCTGCCCGCTGGCAACCAGCCGCTACGGAGTGATTTGCAGCAGGTTAACATCCTCCGCCACTGCATCTCTCTTGGTACTCCCTCAAATTCATCCACCCACCCACCCCCCCTCTCCTTCCCCGAGCTCTCTGGGGGGGGTGCCGGGGCAGCTGTGCAGTGCTGGTGGCTGGAAGGGCGGGTGGGAACGTCCCGCAACAAGCAGTGGTCAGGATGCCAGCAGCTAACTGGGATCCTCTGACCCCACGGCTACGGTTTCCCTCCCACCCACCTGAACCGACTCACGGGTTGAGTCAACATTTTTCTCTCTTGGGGGGGGTCCTCGCTGCCTTGCGCAGACCCGGAGCGTCGCGCTGGGGACCCCGCTGTGAGAGTCACCCAGGCGAGAAACCCCGTGTAAGCAAGGGGGGGGGGGGTTCGCTTGGCTGGGGGCTGATTTGGGGCAGCCCCCGTGCAGCCTGGACAAGGCTGGCGACTCCGGGCGAGCAGAGGATGCTGTGGGGCAGCCCCGGAGATGTGCCAGGCGGCGCTGGTAAGTCTGGCTGGCAGGAGGTGGTTCAAGGCCAACAGATGCGCCTGAGCAGGGCCAGCTTCAGCCCCAAACCGGCCCTGGGGACAAGCTGAGGATGAGCACACATGCATGCGAGGATCGTGACATCCTCTGTCCTGTCCCCCTCTGCCCTCCCCCGGCACACACACCGCCCCCCCTGCCAGCCCAGCTGCCAGTTTTCAAGTGGTTTGTTCCAACCTGACCCTGAAACGCCAGCCACAGGGCTGCCCTTAATTAAGAAGAAATAATGCCAAACGAACTGGAGTTGTCAGAAGACAGGAGCCCTCGGGCAGAGAGTCAGGAGGAGCAGCTTGCTTTAGAAACAGGCTCGTTCCAGACCCGGGAGAGACGTGGACACCAGCTCACTGTATCAGGACATGGGGGAGGGAGAAGCTGTTCTCTGGAGGACTGAAATACTTCTGGGGACACTGGAGCCAGCTAAAATGCACTCGGTGGCCCAGAGAAGCAGGAGAGACCATCAAGCTCTGTGCATCCTCCTGGTAGAGAAGCCACGAGAGCCAAAAAGGTGAAATAGCAGAGAAAGATGCTTAGGAATTTAAAGCTACGGGGCCTGTCTCTGGCTGTTGTTGTCCTTGCTGCAAAATAAAGTCGGTCCCAACTGGTAAAAGTCGGCCTTGGCATGGTGAAACAAAAGCAAAGCATGCAGGTGTGCAGCTTAGTGCCTGCCAGCAGCCGAGCAAGGGCTGTTCTGTCTCTTGCTTGCCCAGTGCATGGGAACGAGCGTATTTAAATGCACAGCTCCCATTCGCGCCACTGAAGATTGAACCATCCTGACAATTTCCCAGCAGTGACCTTGGGTAACGCTGCAAGGAGCAGCACCCCAAACACCAAAGAGCCTCGATCCTCTCCTAAGGACAGGCAGAACAGCCAGGCCCTGCTAATATTCACAAGACAGACACCAATTACAGGCACACAGAGGAATTCTTTTACCTTACTTAACCTCCCGGGCCCCAGGAGGCTCACGTCTCTTTATGCTCCATGAGCAGATGTAATCACTCCTGAATTAGCAGCTACGCTCAGATCAACATTTTAGTCTTAAACGGTTCAAACCCAGTCTCAGATCTGCACATTATTAATATTGCAACAAACAGACCGACAGGAATTCAGCCCAGCTCTGGACATTGCTATCCCTTGCTGCACGTCTGTTTAACAGTGACTTCATCCTCCTTTGGTATAACCTTCCCCTTGTGTTTTCCTCCCAGACATCTTCTATTGAAACCAACACCACGAAGTTTGACCAAGTGTGAGAGAGGAGAGCTGAGGTATCAGCAGGGAACAGTACCCTTCTGAAACTCTTCCATTGCACTTCCCCATCCCTAGAAGGTCTCCCTTAGGCTACAACCAAGACGGGGACCAGCAAGTTTCAGCTCAAAGGGAGAGTAAGGACTAGCAGAAAAGGAGTGCAGCCTGGTTTTAGCCGCTCATGGAAATGCAAAGACAGCTCCCTGCTGCCAGCTCCTGCTGCCCTCCACGGGGCAGAGCTGGCCAGTCACAGGCATCCGCATCCTTCCCTTGCTTTCCCAGGGGGAGGAGGCCCAGCAGCAGCGCTCCTTCCAGCCCAGCAAACATACAACCAGCCCCCAGCACCCCCGGGGTGCTGGAGGAAGTGCCCAAGAGGCCAGCGACCAGCTGGGTGTCGAGATCTTTTTAAAAAGCTGTTCTCCATGACACCCAGGCTGAGATCGAGCCCAGGTGCGTTCGTCTGCTCCTGGATTATTCACCCCCTCCCCTCCTGCCCTGGGGAAACTGCTTTCCTGCTTTTTTTGCATCTCCCTCTTGCTTGAGCTGGGGAATCCTCCAGCCGGAAAGTCCCCAGGCCTGCGCTTGCTCCTACGCAGAGGGGTGAAACACCCACCAGCACCCACTGGGCATAGCCCCGCTTCCCCGCAGGTTTCAGCCTGAAGAACCCAGGCCAGGCAGGATTAGCCAAAAGCCAAGGCACAGCACCTACCCACTAGGGCTGTGGGACCACGGTGGCACGGGCAGGGTGAATCCATTGCAGCAAACTCGAGAGGCAAAGGAGCATTATTATGAAATGTAGGGTTCGGCTGGCTGCTTGGCCTAACGCCTGCCAACACAAACCCACCAGCAGCCTGTTGGGAAGACCAAGTCCGTCAATTCGCATCCGAAGGAGTGATTTTTATAGAGAAAACCTGACATTTTACATCCTCCGTCTTATTCCTCTGTCTGTTAATAAAACATGTTGGCGTTTGAAAGGAAAATCTCTGGGTGTTTCTTATTAAGCAGCAGGGGGTCTGCAAAGTCTGCTAAATACTTAATTGAGCGTCAGCAGGTTCCTTTGGTAACTGCAGACCTCCACGGAAGAGACGTGCCGTGTCCCCCCCCCCTGCGTGGAGCAAACTGGAAAGGGTCAGAGTCCTACACCCCCGGCAACCCCCCGCAATTTCATGCCACATTACACTCAACAAAAGGCTTCCACTTGGCTGCCTGCCCGCGGATCCGCACACGGCCAGGCTTTCCGTGTTGTACCCTTGAAACCTGCTCGTGAGGAGTGGTCCAGGCTTGCCTCTGCGTTCTTTAGGGGGTTAAAAAAAGCAAGTGTGCTTTTACTTGTCTCACCCCCCAAAACGAGCGGAGCATTTACAGCGATCTCTCTGGAAAGGAAGGCTGGCTGTAGCTGCTGCAGTCAACCACACTGGTGCCAGTATCAGAAAGATTTAAATCCAGAGAGGGTGCTGCCTCTCTAAAAGCTTGATTTTACACAGCAGCGAACCCCTCTGCTCCCTGCAGAGTCTGGGGCAGACCAGCTCTGTGCACCAGACTACCTGCAAACTGTGATCTGAAAATCCTGGGCAGGAAACAGCAACGACGCTTGGAGAAGGAAAAAAATCCGAAGGGTGAAAGAGCTGCCTTGTAGCTATCACCTTCCACAGCCATGCTGAGCTGAATGCAGTGTCACCTCTGCAGTATTAAACTTCATAAACTTTATTATCAGTGAAAATACAGGTTTGCATCAAAGCGGTCATAAAAAAAACCAAAAAAAAAAAAACGAACAACCAGACAAAAAAATGCACAAGACAGGGAATGCAACACACAGACGTTACGCAGGTCCATGGGGACTGCCATCCCCAAGTGCTACTGCATCTCCTCCTCCCTCTGGGCCCTGAACTCCTTCATGCTCTTCTGCAAACAAGAGCAAAGGACAAATGGTAAGAGCAGGTACCCGAGCGGCTCATACACCACAGTGCCGCCACCCTGGTCTGTGCTGTGACTTCTCTACGCAGCGCCTGGAAATGTCGAAGGATCTGAGTTCTGAGAGAGCTCCAGGTACTCTCAGAAGTGACTTGAGCTTTACAGTCACCCCAAGGGAACGGAAGCCAGGCCACGGAGCAGGCCAGGCAGACAACGTCTGAAAAATCCACCAGGTTTTTCATGTCAAAGGTGCCTACAACACAGGTCTCAGCACATTCTTCTCCCCTCTGAGACCAAAAGATAGAAGAGGCCCCTGAGCTCCCCAGGAATAGTCTCACCTCAAATGTGTTGAGCACGTGTTGGCAAACACCCATCAGGTCGTTCAGCCCTTTCCGGAACGGCTCAACAGCAGGAAGGGCCCCTTCGGGAAAGAAGATGCCTTAGTGAGATGGGAGACGGCTTCCAAAGGGGTTGGCAGCCCTCTCCCTCGCCGCTCTGAGGCAGCACGGTGGTTACACCATGCCCAAGGGCAGTCCCCGTGACGGGGAGAGGCTCTTGCACCACGTACGTGCTCCCACACCTCCCTCCTCCCGGCCCACCACCAGCAGCCCGAGCGCGCGGTGGTCCAGGCTACGGCGCAGCAACAGCAGACACGTACCCTGCAGCTAGTCCCGTGGGGAAGGGGTTCCCTTGGCGAGGCAAACAGCCCCAGCACTAATTATTTTTAGGGAGTTAAAGAGTCAGCAAGCACCAACTAGATCCTTGCTTCCAGGATGTGGCTTCTACATAGCTGATGCTCAAGGGAACAGCCCCGTGAGGAAGGAATGAAACAACACCGTCCCTCCAGGCAGCAGAGAAAGCTGTGGAGCCTGCAGGGCCTGGAGGGGGGGCAGTGGACTGAGCTGAAGGGTTTGGTGTGCTGGGAAGAGTGAGTGACTGCAAGAGGCTCGGAGTTGTCAGGGCTATCTATTACCAGGGAACAAAGTCGCCTTTGGGAGGCAAGTTAAAAGATGGCACAGACTGACGAGGCTTTTCAGAAGAGCTTCGGGTCACAGTGTCATGACCAAAGCTGCAAGGCAGCCAAGGAGGAGAAGCAGAAACAAATTATCTCACTGCAGCTAGGTATGTCAGCACACTTTGGCTTTGCTTTCCAATCCCTGTGCTGATTTCAAGGCAGATGGAGCACCCATCCCCTCTGACGGCGAGCAGCAGATCTGCTCTACCCCAGCACTCCAGATTGGTGCCTATTGCCAGCCAACGCAGATACCCGGGACCAGGGAAGGCTGGGGGCTCCTCGGGCCCCAGCTGGCTCAGCCCTACAGCTGGGAAACAGAAGAGCTGTAGCACGATAGCTCAGAGCAGCCTCTCTGGCTGAGCAAAAGGGCACAGCAGTTGCAGATGGCTAGCAGAGGAGTGGGAGAGAAATGCTTTTCTTTATTTACGTGACTCATGGTGGAAACCTGACGTGAGCAGGGGGAATTGCACAAAGGAAACGCGCACACCCGTACCTCTGGTCTGGATCCGAAAGTTGATCTTGCTTTCAGAGGGGTGCGTGATGCAGTAGCCACAGAACTCCACATCAGGGCTGCAGGAGGGGAGAGAGGAGGAGAGAGCAGTGAAACCCAGGCCAGCCCACCGCAAATCTCAGGAAAGTTCAGGGGCTGAGGCCACCCCAGACCTGCTGGGGCTCAGGATGTTTCTAAAATGACTGAGGAGGGGTTTTACAGGAGGGATACGCTGGAGGGAAGCTACCTGTGTAACCGTATTCACACCCCTCCACCTCTCTCTGAGCTGCAGCTGGAGCTTTGCAGGGGAAGGACATGGCTGGCACGATCCTAGGCACCACCCCAGCACCATCAGCAGCCCACTGGCAGGCCTGCCGAGTTCAAACAGGGGATCCTGGATGCGTGGAAACCTCACTGTTACACAAACCTCTTGCAGTTCTGCTGGGCAAAAGAAGCTGACGGGTCTAGGGCACTGCAAGGATTGACTGAGATGGTTTGCAGGCCGCAAGGCAGCTGCCTTTGCAAGCTGAGGTGGCTGGTAGAACATTTGTGAGCCCAGCAGAAAGCACAGCTCTCTGCAAGCAGCCTGCTGTTTTTCTTGTCATGGTGATTTATCAGAGGAATTCACACGACATTTGCAATGCAACTGTCACTTGAGATGATGCACAGAACTTCCTGCTGTAATTCTTCTGAGGTTTACCAGCAGGTCTTCACAAACCCTCAGTGGTGCCCAGTTTGATAAAATGAGGCAACCAGGGTGAACCCATTTGTATATTTTGATGGGGACATCAGAACAATTAATTCCAGCATCAATTCCTGCATCTCCCTGAAAGCATGAAAGGCAATCAATTTGCTTAATACTGGCTGTTCCTACCCTCTTTTCTGACAGCACTTGTCCCAGGAGGAGACATAGATACTGCCTGACCACATGTACTTACGTTTTACCCAGGGCCAAATAAGACATTCAGAAGTCTTTCACATGTCAGACATTAAATTTCCTCTGTAACTAATCATCAAGGAGGAGTGAGGGCTGGCTGTTCCCGAGAGATGGGGAGCTGGGAGCCATGAACAGTAAGAGAGCTGACAGGGAAGAGGCCTCCCTAGCTAGCCCTGTCCCACAGCACCCAAGCGAGGGAGTAAGGTGGGTGCAAAGGTGGCAGCCAGGGTCAGCCAAGGGTCCAGATCATCAGGCAGGTTTGTGGGGATTGAAGCAGGTTCAAGATCAGGCCGGGAAGTCAATCTGCAGGTCAGTGTCAGGTCAGGTGAGGGTAATGAGAGTCAGACACCCCAGTGATCACCAAGCAGGTGTACGACAAAGAGGAAGGGTTGATGTCAGGTCAGAAAGTCAGTCCGTGGGTCAGCATCCAGGTGAATGGAGGCCACAGCCCAGCACAGGCTGAGCTAGAGGCTCCTACAAACGTAGCCCAGGAGGGACTGAAAGCTCTGAGCTGAGCTTAAATGGTGCTCCAGGGCAGGGTGTGGGTGCAGGCCCCAGGTGTGGCTGGTCAGGCCTGTTAGTGGTCTCAGGGTCCTGACACTAAGAGCACAAGGAAAAAGTTAATCCTGTGAAGAGAGGTAGTAGGTGAGGAGTCTCTGGCACCACGTCTGCTATAAACTCTAGCAGGGGTGCACAGGGGTAGTTTCTGGTCATTTGCCTGGTTTCAGCAACAACTGAGCTGCAGATCAGTAAGGACAAGGGCAGAGTAGGAGACAGAGGCACCACGGAGGCTTCACTTACTTCTTCATGACCATGTACCGGAGGGAGTTGCCGAGCGTGTGGTCCTCATCATGCAACACAAATGTGATGCAGTTTCCATCTGCCCCGTCTGCCTGGACCTGCCACAAATGGGGAGAGAAGAGATGCTGTAAGGCTCTCTGAGGTAATGAACACCAGCCCTAGGGTGAAAAATAAACCGTCGTGCTCAGCTTCACCAGAGTAACTGGGAGGGCTGTAGGTCTGGCTGGGCCATCTCTGTGACTCACATCTCAGGTGTGAAGAGCACCTTTGCGGCAGAGGGAAAGTTGCAAAATTACAGACCTTAGAGAATCCTCTCCCTGGTTAGCAAAGTGCCTGTGCATCCTTTCTCCTCACAGGAGAGAAGAGGAGCCCAGAGAAAGCTGCAGCTTCAGGACCCGTGGTGGAAAGAAGCTGGGAGCAACTGGTCAGGTTGGTGTGATCCCAGATCCCACCACCAGCCCCTGGCTAGACAGGAAGGAGAGGGACAGTCAGAAAATCCCCAGGGAGATTTCCCTGTCAGCAGGGAAATCTGAAAACAGAAGGAGCTGTAAACCCAAGTTCACACACTTAGGATGAGCCTCGGGCTGCGGAGCTCCACGTGTAATGAACCCCACGATGCCAGCAGCCAGCCCCTAATCCCCTTGCTGCTTTTGGCTCAGGTGTCCAAAAAGAGCTTTACCACCTAACGCTTCCCGAGAAGACCGGTTTGGGTTCCCCTCCAAAACCAGCAAGCCATCTCAGTAATCGTTGAGCTGTCAGAGGGCTGCCGAGCCTCTGACCTTTCCCCAGGCTCAGCGTAGCCACTGTGGAGCCTGCCATGCCCAGACAGCCCCCAACCGCTTCCTCTCAGCAGCAGAGAGAGGTTTCAAGGTTAAGTGCAGAGCAAAGACAAGCACTGATCTCTCTGCGTCCTGTCCATGGCCAAATCCTCAACTGCTTCAGGGGTTTTATGACCCCTCACATTTCCCCTCGGGTAGTAATACCCTCCTAGTAGTCCCATTCCTCCTTCTGCAGCTACAGCCGCCACGGGGAATTCAGTTCAGAAGTCATACACTAAGAGCTTGTTTTTTCCAAAAACTACAGGCTTAAACAAAAGCAGACTAACTCCGGAGGCACCCACGTGCCAGGACAGGTCGCCTGGCCCCCAGTTTGCTCCCTGCATCCAGTCACAGGGGGAGAAGTGTGCCCAGGTGCCAAAATCCCAAGCGTCCCCCCGCCACAAGACAGGTACAGCTCTGTTCATCGGGACAGTGATGTTCTTGCAATTTGGTCACAGGATGGGAGTTACACCTTTGCTGAGGTGTAGCTCTGCACTCGTGGGGGCAAACAGATGCTTTTCCAGACAGAGAACACATATATACAGCCGAGTTACAAATGTTGCGTAAAAATTATTTGAAAAACAGGATAACTGGGAGTTTAACGTGCAGTGCTGGGAGCTGCAGTGCCTTCAGACTCCTTCCCAGCACTGAAGGAACAAGTGGGCATAGGAAGGAAGGGACAGACACCTCTGACGTGGTGGCTGGGCCAGCTTGTGGGGCTGCAGCAAATGCCTCTGAGCAGCAATCCAATGAATTTAAGCTGTCCCTGCCTCCTCAGCACAGCGTAAGTACCCAGGGCATTCATCTGGCAGGTGAAAGCCAGAGCACGGCTCTCACGCAGCCAGAAGGAACACATTGTGATGAACTTGGCTGCTTCAGAGACTCAAACTCCCTCTCCTCTTTCCTGTGGAGAGCGCTCGGATACAATCCTGGGTCTCAGCAGGATCATAAGCTTTGCTGCTTCTCATCGAGGAGTTGGGCCACCTGGTCAGGGATCCTGCTTCTGGCGCAGACCTGTCTGATGCTTCTGACCAAAACCAAGATTCCTCCCTGGTCCCTGCAGCAATCAGGTCTGTGCCCTGAGGCAGAGGGCTGAGATTTATCAGGGTATTTCCAACTCTCATCTCAGAGGTGTCCAGGTATCAAACTATTCATAGAATCACAGACTGGCTTGGGTTGGGAGGGACCTTTAAAGCCCCCCCAATACCACCCCCTGCCCGGGACCCCTTCCCCCAGCCCAGGGTGCTCCCAGCCCCGTCCAACCTGGCCTTGAACCCTTCCAGGGAGGGGGCAGCCACAGCTGCTCTGGGCACCCTGGGCCAGCGCCTCACCCCCCGCACAGGGAACAATTTCTGCTTTAGATCTCATCTAAATCTCCCCTCTGTCAGTTTAAAGCCATTACCTTTCATCCTATCACTACATGCCCTTGTATTCATCACAGGAAAACTTGTTCTCCTATGAGCCAACTTGTGAAAAAAAAATAAAAAATAAAAGCCCTGATGCCCTGGAGTAAGGAATTCTGCTTGTCTGGGTTTCTTCCTCTTTGGTTACACACTGATTTGCTAGTCTCTTTACCAAATTGTCATTGTCCTTGTTATTATGGTAGAGGCGGGAGGAAAAGCTGATGAATTTCGAGGCAGCTTTAGGATTTATCAAATTCACTTAAACTGCTCAGAGACAAGAGAGATGGAAAAGCCCGCACCTCCCCTAAGACGATCCGGGGTACACCCTCCCAGCAAGGTCAGGATACGGCCCCTGTGACCCAGACACCCTCCTCCTCTACCGGCTACACAAGCCTAAGAGCTGCAATCTCACATCACCCAGAAGCTCTCCTGCTTAGAGGGGCTGTGATTGATGATGATGAATTATTTAATGTTGTATTTGGTGCCTAGGCAGTGCTGTGGCGGATACATTAGCACAGCACCGAGATAGGTGGGATCAGCTAGACATGAAGTGGGTGGGCAACAGTCCTAGAACTCACTTGTTCCTAGTTCTCTGCAGTGCATGCATAACTTGTCTTTTCCTGTCAGAATATATAGTCCTTTGCTGGTCTTCAGGAGCCAGTATCACTTTCTACACACCCTCCTGTTTTCTGTACGGTACTGCACTCCTCATGGAGGGATCTGCTGGTTTGCTGCCAAGGGCCTCTCCAGTAAGTGCAGCTCTTCAAAGGAGAATTTCATTCATCACATCAGACTTGCAGGATTAGGACTGGGCAGCCTGGTGCAATTGAGACTTTCAGCCTGGGGCCTGCACATCTCTGGAGCAGAATATGGCTCTAGAGTGCCTGAAAAAGGTAACTAGCAGAAGCCAGACTATCGCTAAGAGAGCCTTGTCCCACTAGGAAAAGTTTCGGGGCTGTAGATTGAGAGACTACGGAAAATTGTTGCGTTAAGCCTTCCCCAAAGGCAGCTTTTAAATCTGAGCAACTTATAGAGCCCGCTTGTTTCTCCTGTACAGATGTCGTGGTGCTCAAGCTCTCCCCATGTCCTGCTGACAGACAGACAGACAGACAGGCACACAGAGCACCCAGCCATCCTGTGCCAGCTCTCCCAGTCACCCTGACTGGGATTAAGGGCCAGCTGGGAGCCTGCAGCCCTCTTACCGTGAGGTGCAGTGCCATCTAGTGCCTTCTGCTGCCTGAGCTGGGTCTTGAGGACGGAGAGAGGGTCCACCGGCTCCTGCCACAGGGCTCAGCACCCTGCGACGGGTGCAGGAGAGGGACCAGGCACCCTCAGCACCCTGCGACGGGTGCAGGAGAGGGCCCAGGCACCCTCAGCACCCTGCGACGGGTGCAGGAGAGGGGACCAGGCACCCTCAGCACCCTGTGATGGGTGCAGGGGAGGGGACCAGGCACCCTCAGCACGCTGTGATGGGTGCAGGAGAGGGGACCAGGCACCCTCAGCACCCTGTGATGGGTGCAGGAGAGGGGACCAGGCACCCTCAGCACCCTGCGACGGGTGCAGGAGAGGGACCAGGCACCCTCAGCACCCTGCGACGGGTGCAGGAGAGGGACCAGGCACCCTCAGCACCCTGCGACGGGTGCAGGAGAGGGACCAGGCACCCTCAGCACCCTGTGATGGGTGCAGGAGAGGGGACCAGGCACCCTCAGCACGCTGTGATGGGTGCAGGAGAGGGGACCAGGCACCCTCAGCACCCTGTGATGGGTGCAGGAGAGGGGACCAGGCACCCTCAGCACCCTGCAGTGGGTGCATGCTGCGGGGCAGCCAGCTAAGAGGCAAAGCCACCCAAGTCCTGACGTTATACTGTGGGGCAATTCATCTTTAAAAAGCACGGCTTGTTTTAAAGAACGCTATATAGTTTTAAAATATGTTAGTCCAGACCCCTAGCTGCTTCTGTTCCCTACACGACATCCCCCAGGGCCTAAACTTCAAGAAATTCAGCTAAAAGCCGTGTTCCTCTCTGCCCCTCCTGTTTCAGGAACCAACTGCTCGCTTTTCCTCAGCTTTTCTGCCTCTGCTGTTCCCAGACCCTGCTGCGGGGCAGCCGCTCCCTGCCAGGTGAATCCCGCCGGTTTTAGGGGTTTGATAAAAGCCGGGCAGGGCCGCGGCTCCTGAGGGGGAGGGGGGGGGGGGGTCGGGGACCCGCGGGAATGCCGAAGCGCCGTCGGGGCCTGTTTGCAAAGGGATCTCCGCCGTTTCCCGCTGCCGGCCCGGAGCACCGTGGGGTTTATCCCCTGCGCTCACCGTCTCCAGCGCGGCCTTCCTCTCGCCTTCCTCCGCCATGGCCGCCGGACTACAGCTCCCAGCAGGCACCGCGCGGCAGCGGGGGGGTGGGCCTACAGCTCCCGGCAGGCACCGCGCGGCGGCGGGTGTCGCCTACGGCTCCCAGCGGACACCGCGCGGCGGCGGGGGCGGGGTGGGCCTACAGCTCCCGGCAGGCACTGCGCGTCGCGGCGGCCCGGTACCGGGGCAGGGGGTGGCGGGGGGGGGAGCCGGTTAACCGAGCGCTCCCTCCTGCCGCGGCGGCCGGGCCCCTCAGGAGGAGCGTGCGGAGCCCTCAAGCGAGCGGCTCTGCCGCCGGTTGCCGTCCCTACCGCCCCCCCCCGCGGGAGGTGAGGTTGGGCCCGGAAGGGCCGCGGAGCCGTCGGGGCTGAGGGAGGAGGAGGCGGCGGCGGCTGCCCCGGGGGTGCCGGCGGTCGGGCACCCCGGTCGGTGTCAGCGGGCGTTGGGCTGGGGAGGCCGGTTGCGGGAGTACGGGCCTGGGCGGGCCGGGGAGGGGGGGGGGGGGGGGGGGGGGGGAGGCCTTAACCCTGGCGTTACCGGTGTCACTGGGAGCAAAAGCTCGCGTGGATTTTAAAGACTGGATAGCGATAAATAATTACGGTTAGCCTTGTGATGGGGGATGCGGTGTGTAAGCGTGCTTCAGAGTGTATGTGTCGCCTCTCTAGAGGGTTGTGCCTTCAGTAGCTGTCATAGTCCCTTCCTTCACCCTTCCCAAATATGCCACGCTGCCTTCTGGAAAAAGGTGGTGGGCCTGGAAGAGACGCTGGATTGATCTTATCTAGCGATTTGTTTCTGTAAGGATGAAGTGGAGGTACCTGATGTAAGCACTGCAGGCCCAGAGGAAGCTGGACTTCTCTTAAGTTGCTGCATGAATGTCATGCTTTGCAGGCTTCGAGTGAACAAATAATTTCCAGGGCTTAATGCTGGAATATCCTGTAAAGTAATAAGAATTTGGAGATGACAAGGAAGGGTTAAAGGGAAGTCCAGACTTCTTTCTGCTGAAGTCACCCTACTTAAATGGTCTTCTTGCTGCAGTCTGGCAGTTTGCAACTTGCAGCGTTGCAACACCTACACTTGTTTCATGTTTAAAACCAGCAGTAATGCGATGCCTCTTGCTCTCCATAAAGACAATTTCTGGAAATAGAAGCAGCGATCTCCTCCATCACGTGCCGGCTCTGAGGCTGTGAATCTTCTCGTCGGGAAGAAGGACTGATGAGTCCCCCTTGGCTGGCAAGGGCCGTACCGCTGATGGAGGATGGGTGCAATTTTCTGGGTTCACTTCTTGCCCCAGCTGTCTTAACTGCCACCCGATAATTCATTCTAGATCTTCTGTGAAGTGAGAGCAAGAAACAAGTTATTTTGTGTCTGGCTTGAAATGAATAAGTCATCCCTGCTGAAGTTTTAAACCTCACGTTGAAGGCTGAACCTGTGTTTCTGGCGTTCTTTAAGATGCTGCAGGTTTTTCTGTGCCCTTCTGTCAGACACCATGAGAGACCTCATAGGCAGCAGCACGCTGCGTCTCGCAGCATGACTTGCAATGAGTAAATAGTCACTGCCAGACAGCTGCAATACCCGACTCACCTTTGTGCTCCATCTCTGTTAGCTGCCAGATGCTTCTGGCACTGCTTAAGGAGCTCTTTGGATCCGGGGGGTTTTCGGGGTGGCTGAGGAGTGCAGCCTTTTCCCCCTTTCCCTGCTGATCCAGAGCCTTTCCGTGCCAGGCCTTCCTGATATCTCAAAGTGATTTTTTCTTTTAGGAAGGTTTGGTGTTGGCTACTTCCAGCCGTTCTGTATCGTAAGTTTAGATAGAAAAGCGTTGTGATCTGTAGGTTATACAAAGGAGTGGATTTTAATGGATTTAATTCCTGTTTTGTAACTTTTGAGAAAAGATGTTCTCTAGCAGTTTAATAATTTGTATTCTTAACAAGAGTAATATACAAGTTTTACAGGGCTGCATGAGGTGCTGCTTACAGAGAGAAATATGCTCCTTTTTAATCTGCTTTACTTCATTTAATCCATTCTGCCCAAAGCTGGCGGCGGGTGTCATTGCAGAGTACATGGCTGTTGTCTCCTAAGTGAAGCTGAGGGCTGTGACTTCGGGGAGTTGATTTCCTTGCTGCCACAGGACAGCGGGATCCCGTGGCATCAACAAGCGTCGCTTTATTTGTGGTACTATTGAACTCTCGCCACAGCAGTGTGAGTTCCACAAATATCTAACAAAGAATGGAGACTTTTAGAAGTTGTCTAAGCCCTTTTCTAATCCTCAGTTTGAAGCTGGAGTAGTTCTACTCTGGGAATTAAGGGGTCTCCTTGCCTGTGTGGGCTTTGTCATCTTTGGGTTGGTCACTCACAGCCTCGCAGGCTGCTGATCTTTTGCCGTGTCAGTGGCGGGGGGGAGGGTTTGTGGATTTTTTTTTTTTTTAACCACCATTCCTTTATATTGGTCCTGTTCGTTGAGTGACTGCAGTATGAAGAGATTGGTTTCTTGCTACTTGGCAGTCAGCCGATTGCTCAAGCAGCTTAGTTGTGTTTTACTCCTGGCTGTGACCTGGTGTTGTACCACACACCACCATGGTTCTGGTTCAGTTGTTGGACGGGCCAGGGCATTGCAAACAACTCTATCTTGGTGGATCTGAAGGGACGTGATTGTATGATAAATTCCTCTTGCTTTTGTTGGCATTGGTGCAGCTCAGTGTGCTGTTGCAATTGTTCACAAATTCTTTGACTTGTGCTGCTCAGCAGTTCCTAGCTGTTAGGAAAGCAAGGGTTGGTGGCACCTGAAGAGATCAGGTCTTCAGTGAGTGGGACAGAATAAAGTGCAGTTCGTGGAGTTTGCATCTTCTGGCTAAATTAGTCAAAGCTGAAGTGTGTAGGATAGGGGATGAGTCTGAGCTTGTAGAGAATCACTTGTGGAGCACTGGACAGTAGAATATTATTTTATTTTTTTGTTTTGACCACCACAGGTGTTACTTTTTTTCTGGGAAAATATGTGCTCTCTGTAGCCTTCTCGGACAGGAGTGAGCTGCTGTTTCTTTACTCAGGAAAAACTAGGAACAGTTGTGTGGCAGTTAATCATTTCTTTTTACAAGATCAGAATCAGCTGTGTGGCTGCCCTTGCCTCTGGTGTGATAAACATTTAACTTGGGTTATGCAAGGCTTAGTTTTGTTTCATCTGCCTCTAAGCACGTTGGATTTGTGGTTTTGCTTGGCTTCTGCTTCAGCTTCTTCAGGTGGAGGTAGTGGATCCTGCAGGAGGTTCCAAGGAGTTTCTCATTCCTTCACGTTTTAGTTCTGAGTAATCTGCACTTCTGCTCAATGCCATGTCCAAATACTCCTGTCTTAAAGGACATTGCGAGCATCAGGCTAAAGATCTTTAGGTCTGTGGAGGGGGGACTTGTGATTAGTAACTTACTCAGCTTGTGTTTAACTAGGGGTAGGGGAGTCTTGACTTAGAGCACTGGAGTCCCACTTCGGGACCCTCAGACTTGCTTGTCCGTAGCACTGTGCTTTGAAGATCTGAGAGCAGCTTTTTAAGGCCAGAGGTAGCAAATTATCACTGGAATCTGTGGCTACTTTTCCTGCTTTAATGCAATTAACATGTGGTTGATGCAGCAATTTAAGGCTGGTTTTAAAAAAAAAAAAAAGGTGAGCTCTGCTAAGTTGGCCAAGTAAGTCTTTTGTGGCAGGATGTCAGAGAGCTTGGTGCTGGGAACACCCCCAGATGGGCTGCATATATGCAGGTTGATCAGTCTGGACTCTTCTGGATACGGCTTTCTGGAAGGAAGGTTGGATTTTCTGTAGTGGGGCAGCTCTAAAGCACTCTCAGCAAAGGGAGATCTGGCAGGCTGGCTCAGCGATGCTGGAAGGAAAAGGTTGTGGTCGGGCTTCTGCGAGGCTTCGCAAATGACTTGGCGCTCTGCTCGTCATGTGATGTTCCTGGTAGTTCAAGTGTTGCAAGAGATGACAGGATGCCTTGGAAGTGTGCTTTTAAACACCATTAAGGCATCGCTCTTAACTGGGGGTGCTGGGGCTTAGCAGGCCTTTGTAGAACTTAACTGTTCCTGTGCGAGGAGAGCAGTGTGGTGAGCAAAAGCAGCCCTGGAGCTCAAGTACTGAGAGTCGTAACTGCGGCTGGACCATGGGTCTGACTTGGCAGGCCACCTGCTTTTGCTGCTTCAGGGTACTGCCTGCTCTTCCTAGTAATTCTTCCTGGACAAAAAAAATCCCGAACTTCCGTGGATTGAGTGATTCTCAGTGTTCCAAGTGGCTGTACTGCATCAGGCCGAAGGTGTGACTGGCGAGATGCCTCGGGAACAGTGGAAGAATAAAAGAAACTCATGATAAATTCCTGGGCTCCAGTGAGCGGCTGCTTGGGTGATAATTTGTTTAATAGTGCTTCTTTTTCTCCATAAACTTGTCGGTTACTTTCTGAGCTCAGGTGAACTCTTTTTCCTCCATGATAACACCTGGGAACAAGCTTCGGAGGGTGCATTGTGCGAAGAACTACTTCTTTCTGCTGGAACTTGGTCTTGAACTTTCTTTCCATTTTCATATTACAGATAGCAAGTAATCACGACTTTCTTCTCTGCTTTATATTTTTTCTCCTTGGATATCTTTGAGCTGACAAGTTTCCTTGGTGTGCAAGGGGAAAAACTGTTACTCTTGCTTTCCCATGTTCTGCAACTTCCATAATCTTCAGGTGGACACAAACACTACTTAATTGAGCATGATAAGCACCACCTGTCCTCATGTTTAAAGTTCATCTCCTCTTAGATGTAAAAGTATTTTTTTTTTTTTCTGCAATGCTGACAGGCCAGTTGTGAGCCTGCAAGCCAGCATACCTATGACTGTGGGAGGAAACAAAAACAAACCTCGATGTTTGTCACCTCTTTGTACTGATGTTTTTAACGAGCTGGAGTCTGCTTGCTTCAGTCTGGAAGGAGGGAGAGGGACAGGGCAGGGGAATGGCTGTTTGCAGACCCCAGTTCCTTCACCAGGAGTGAAAGGGGGGGTCTGCTGGTCTGGGGACTCTTCACCTCCCTTCTTCCTAACAGGCTTTGTGCAAGCGTGGCAGCTGGATATAAATCCTGTTGTTTGAATCCCTGAGCCATGTCGAGATGAGGTTGGCACCTAGGTGGGAGCAGTGGATGGGAAACAAGTGGTGTGTGGGCGCTTGGATGCAGTAAGTGGGGGCAAGGGAAGCTGTGGTGCCAAAAAGAGCAGCAGGTAAATGCAACAAGTTCCCTTTGTTCTGAAAACTGGTCTTGCTCTGAGACAGGGTAAACAAGAAGCAAGCAGTGCAAAGCAGCGCAGGGGGCTTCCCTCCTGCCCTTGGGAGAAATGAAGGGGCACATAGATGGGTGGGAGCAGTGCCAGGTTTAGGCCAGGAGGAAGCAAAAGCAGCAAATCTGTTTGGGGGAGCTGCTGCTGAGTGCTCTGGTGCTTCCTCCCCCTTCCAGTTACTGATGCCCTTTTGTTGTGTTCCTGGTCAGGAAGCGCAAAGGGGAACGGTTCTGGGAACTTGCTTCTGCATGGTGCGAGCCTTTGTCTGGGGTGCTCTCCCTTCCCATTTACTGGCACTGTGAACTCTTAGGTTTTCTAGAGCGTGCCTGGCTGGGTGCTCTGCTCTGAAGCAGTGTCCTTTGAGACCTCTTGCTGTTCTGCTTCCCGTTTTGCTTGCTGTGGCTGCTTGTCAAACTCATCCGTTGCCCTCTGCTCCCTTCGGCGGTGCCGGCGCTGAATGCCTCGGTGCTCCCAGGTGGTTGTAGCTTAGACATGGACTCTATTCTCTGAATAAATCCACGAGTTTATTCTTTTTTTCCCCTCTGACGTTGAGCTCTTAAACCTATGGGAGATTTCCTGATTGTTGCTGGCCAAGCCTGAATCTGTCAAGATCAGACTAAGTGAGCCCCGATGCAGCGGGCTAGTGATTGTGTCTCAGCTTCACGGCCTCGTTACCAGCTCTGCATCCCTCCGCCGCCTCTTCCACTGTCGCTGTGATCGTTTGCCCGTCAGTTTGCATGAAAACATCAGCTCTTCAGGGCAGATCTGTCTGCACAGTGCTCAGTAGGGCAGAGCCCTGATACAGAAGAGATCGATAGGTCACTTCAGTCAGTGCCAGAGGGGTGGAAAGCCTGGCTGGGTGTAGCCTACGTTCAGCCTTTCTGCCCGTGGTCCTCCCATCCTGAAGTTAAACTACTGCTTTTCTGCTGTTCATACCTATTTCTGGAGAGCTCTCCAAGCTACTTGGTTGCATTGAAATAGGTGTGTGATCTTTCCAGCCAGAATGCAGACATTTCTAGACACAAAACAAGGCAGGCAACATGAGGGCAGTCGAGTGCAAAGTGAAAAATAAGATTTGGGGGTTTTGCAGGGTCAGAAGTCTTCCCTAAGCCTTTCCTAATCAGAAAAGAGGCTTATGGATGTACTGGATCAGCTGGGCAGATGACACAGCTGTGGTCTGACATGTGGTTTCACATGTTAAATCTTGGGTCTGCCTGTAGATTAATGTGATGATACTTGAGCTGATTAAGTGTGTCCCTTTATATGAGAGCAGTTGTGTTTTTCCAACTCTCGACACTTCACGGAAGTCTGGCCCTCGAAAACAAACACACACACACATGCTGGAACCTGTCCTGTTCGATACGTATGCAAGAGTGTTGGCTTGTAGAAATGGTGTGCTGCTGAGGAAAATCGGTTTGCAAATGTGCTGTCTGGCTTTGAGAAGGGCAGGTTGCGTGGTTTTACAGAAGTCTTGGGACAACATACCCTTAGCGAGTGTCTCTAGAGCATTGAAAGGGGATGTGCATGGTGTGACTCTAAGCAAGTGGTAGTTTTAATACTTCAGTTTGATAGCAATCTAAGCCAAGGCCTTACCCTTAAAGAGGCATGCGTTGGGGATGGTGGGCTTGGTCTGTGTAACGGGCTGCTGTTAACATAGCTGCAAGACAGTTACTTCCTTTCTGATCTGGAGCTTGCTGGTCGCAGGCAGCTTTGTTGGTAACATGCAAGAAAAAACTTAAGGGCCAGCTGAAGAGAAAAAAGATGTGCTGATAGCTAGAAATCCAGGTGGAAACAAGGTAGGCAAAACTCCTTATGGGATCGCTGCCTGTAGGACACCATGCAGTTAAAATAAGAAAAACCTTCTAGAGGTTATTGTAGTCTTGGTGTCATTCTGAACAGAACCTAAAAGGGGAAATGAGAGGTGTTTTCTGATAGTGGTATCCTGTCGAAGTATTGAACGTGCTTAGGCCTCCCTCCCGTTACGTTGAAGGCTGAGAGACTACTGTTAAGATTATGGTGCTTTCTCTGCTGAATAATGTGAGTAATTCTTGCAGTTTTTTGATTTCCAGGTAGTGTGAAGCCATGGCTATCCTGTTTGCTGTCGTGGCGAGGGGCACAACCATCCTTGCCAAGCATGCCTGGTGTGGAGGAAACTTCCTGGAGGTGACAGAGCAGATCCTGGCGAAAATACCATCTGAAAACAACAAACTGACCTATTCACATGGGAAGTGAGTAATGCTTCTCTCTGAGTATGGGAGGAGAGACTAGTGAGCATGCAGGAGGATGGGAATAGATGGAGCGTGGCCAGACTGGGATTTGGCTGTGTTAGTATGCTGTTTGAATGTGCAGTCAGTTCAACAGCTGCTTTTTTTTTTTTTTTTATCTCCCCCAGAACTTTGCAGCATAACCAGGATTTGAATTTAGCTTATGCAGTTGATACAAAACCAAGTTTTCTATTTTTATACAACTCCGAAGTGAGTTGGAGGGTGCTCAGCTGCGAATATCAACCTGTCGGAGTCTTTGGTATTTGGCTTGTGGAGGCTTTTGCTGGCTTTTCTGAGGCTTGAACATGGCTTTAGGTAAAAACGTCACCCTTCTCAAATCACTTGTTGCTTTGAGTCGTGCTGCCAGATGTTGTAGAGTCATTCTGAGCTACCACAAACCCAGGCTGGGGGACAGAAGGATTTTTCCCAGGCTGGCGTAGATCTCTGAGCAGCCCTCGGTCAACGTTGATAGAATTGGAGGGATTAGATGTTGCATCTCCTGAGACTGTGCTGACTTACTGCACATATAAAATAGGTAAGTCAGGGTGCTGGTGTGCAAACAAAGGAGAGAACTGTGGAAAAAGCAAATTCAGAAGTGTTGGACCCTACTTCAGCTCTGTCTTTGGAATTGGCAGTGTGGCTGGATTCTCAGTATTGCCCAAGCTGCTGTGTGAGAGCTGTTTTGGCTGCCCGAGGATTCCGGAGATAAGAACTGGGGTAGTTTTCCTGCATCCTTCCCTGGCTTAGGAGCACTAGAAGTCCCTGGGGGAGAGCTTTCTGGGGAAGCTGCCTGCCCTGTGATCTAAAGCACTTTGGATGCTGAAACTTTTTTTTTTTTTTCCATACTGTAACTTTAAGGGTACGGTTATTTTCTTTTGTTTTAAATTTGCCTTGAGTGCTGTTCAACCAACTACAAAGTTGAGTTTCAGGGGTGCTGTAGTGCATTTTTAGAGGTGAAAACTTGAATGGTGGTAGAGATTGGTTTGTTCTTTGCTGGGGAGCACTGAGAGATAGATAACTAATGCATCTATGCTTGCAAAGCATGCTGCGAAGCGTACAATCTTTTGCTCATTACCGTTTCCTTAATGAGGATTTAACAAATGTAGCAGAAGATCCTTGCTGTTTGCGGTTGTTCTGCTTTGCACTGTGCTGTTAAACCATAGAGGTGCCATTCTGCAGCCCTGGGCACTGAGCTTAGCATCAGTGTGTCTCCCCTGCCAAAGTTAGTCTCTTCTGACAAGTCTTATTTTGGCTTTTTTTTTTTTTCCTGTGATTTGGACACCCACCTCTTCGGTCGGAACCTGCCAACCCTGCCTTCCCTCTAGGGGAGGGGAGAGTTCCTATTTTCACACGCACATACTTGAAGCTGGGAACTTCTTCCTGCTGTCAAAACCCAAGGGTTTTGGTTTCTAGAGATATAGAAAAGCCTCTTTTCTCCCTTGACCGTGATAACTGGGCAGAACGTGAAAGCTGTGAAGCTGAGTGAGCACAAGGGGTTGTTCTTCCTGTCTGTAAGGTTTCGGGGATCCTTCTGCCTTGCCAGGGTCTCGGCTTGCAGGGTAGAAAATTGCCCTGTTATCTGTCTAGGATCATTTCTTCTCTTCTGAAACAGGAAAAAACTTGAGTCTCTTAACTTTGTTTGGACTGCTTAAGCTCATTTAATGATTTCTTTTTGGTTTTAAGAGCTTCCGTGTCTCTTATATAATCTCCAAGGAAAACTAGCCCTCTAGCAGCAGGAGTTTTTGGGGTTATTCTGTCTCTGCTGTTAGGATTCTTCTACAAGTCACTAGGGAGCTTACAAGGTAGTACCAGACAAGCTTTACCTCTCTCCTTTTAGGAAGGAGGGGTGATAGTTGTGGATATGCAGGGTTTTTTTTTTTTCTTTTTATGAGAACAGACCTTAAGGGCAGTAAACTATACTCCTGGCCCACCCCTAAAGCTTAATTCAGTGTTGTCTTATTTACAGAATACAAAACCTGAGTTTGAAAACTCCTGAGCTGTACAAGGCGACCGCTGTGCCGCACCTGCATTAACTTGCTTTTGTTCTGGAGCTTGTGTGAGGGTCCGCACGCTTACTGGGGAAACTTTTGGAAATACACAGATGTCAAAGTGAAAGGACGCATTGAGTTTTTTAATTAGGGGGGAAAAAAAAAAACCAAACCCAAAAAAAACAAAAAAAAACAAAAACAAAAAACAAAACAAAACAAAAAAAAAAACCACAAAAAAAAAACCCAAAGTATTTGTGTGGCCTTTTTGCAACTCTATTCCTATTTTGTCCTGCTGTACTCGTCAGAAGAATACATCACCTGCTGCAGCATCAAATGGTGGTGAGGGGGCAATGTAATAAAAGAGCAACAGCCAAAGCCAGAGCGTTGAACTAGAATGCTCTAATCAGTTCTGGTTTGGGTTTAGTTATGTACAAACTAAGGCGTGGTGGTTTTTTTTTTTTTTTTTTTCCTGGTGGGCCTAAAATAACAGCTTGCTTTAATTTTGGTAGGAAAATACTGCTTTGAACTGGTTTGCACTGTTTTTCAGGATAGTGAGGGTTGCGTTTAACTGACATCTGTGTTCTCTCAGCACCACCGGAGGCATCTTTGCACGAAGAGTTAACTTAGCCACGTGATTCAAGCCTGTTTAGCCTGATTGTTGTTCCATCTAATTCATTTTCTGCTGTGGCTGCTTTTGTCTCTTGGCCTTTGCGATGAAAACCAAAGGCAGCGCAACGCAGGGGTGGTACAAACAAGGCTAAAGCAGCAAGTCTCTGCACCAGCCAGCCTCGCTGAATTATTACCTTTTGAGTTGCTCTAATTAATTGCAGCTTGTCACACGTGAGCTCGTGCATGGATGCTTGCATGCACATGGATTAGGATTATTAGTCATAAATCTTACCCCTGGGTATCCTGTCGAGGTTGTCTTCTTAGAAGTAGCTAAAAGAATGTGGAGCTGGGGTGGTTTAGCAACTAAATGTCCCAGAGCTCTTGCTAAGCCTGGAGTACTACGCAATACGTGAGGCCAGAGACTCTTTAACACAGAGGCAGTCTCTAATTGAGTGTAGTTTGCAGGAATGGAGACACTTCCCTGAACAAAGGTGGCAGGGGTATGTTGGCACCTGTGATTTCCTGCAGGGTAACTGGAATTTGCTCTTCTCCAGCTCCTGAAGGCCTTACAGGCAATAGTGTCTTCTAGAAGATTAATCCCGTGGCAGTTCCAAATGACCTTTTATTTTTTTTCTTCTCTGCAGTTATCTGTTTCATTACATCTGCCAAGACAGGATTATATACCTTTGCATCACAGATGACGTAAGTATTTTGGCTCCAGCTATTGCGCGCACAGGTTCTTTGCAGGTTTTGGTTTTTTTGTTGTTTTTTTTTTTTTTTCTTTTTTTGTATCTGTATGTCAAAGGAAATCAATAATGGATGCTAATCTGAGGTGCCTTTACGTTCCATTGGAGCTACTGCTTGTGTTCTCAGTCACATCAGCTCCAGCTTTGAAGTCTAAGCCTGGAACTCAAATGCATGTGAATAGTTTTGCGGTTCAGTTCTTGGGTTTGCCTAGTTTCTTAGCAGCCCCAGTGCAGTAGAATCTAGATGCAGGGGCTAGCCTTTAATTGTCACTGAAATACACATAATGTTCCTCAGTTCTGGAAGCGTTGGAGCAAAAACTTCTCCCTCACTGGAAAAAGGTACCAGGCACAGAATTAGAACTGTGGACACCCCAGTAAAGTCTGCTGCCAACTGACGTCCAGGAGGCTGAGACTGAAATCTGGGTGCTGTTCAAACCCCAGGATAAGCAATCAGAGCCCACAGTTCTGTACAGCATGCCTGCTAAGAACTGATAATTACAGTTTCTCTGCAACTGGCTCCGTGCCCCGTTATGCTTCATTATTCCTGCCTTGACACAGCTCTGGACGTGGTCTGCTCTCTTCCTTCCAGGACTTTGAACGATCCAGAGCCTTCAACTTCCTGAATGAAATCAAGAAGAGGTTTCAGACCACATATGGCTCAAGAGCACAGACAGCCCTTCCCTATGCAATGAACAGCGAGTTCTCAAGTGTCTTAGCTGCACAGCTGGTGAGATCTGTTGCTAAATGGGATTTCCCTAACAAGCCAAACTTCTCCCCTGAAATTCTCCTTTTATTTTCTCGCTTGGAACTGAGGCGTGATGCTGAGTCTGGGTATAAAGCCAGGGGAACTGGCTCTTCTCCCCACGCTTACCCTGCATCTGGGTTGCTTCACTGCTTTGGTAAAAATGAGTTGGGGTTGATAGTGATGCCCTGACTGTTCGTACCAGGTCGCTGCTCTGGAGATTAGGTCTGAGTGGTGACATCTGAGGTGACAAACCCGGTTCCGGTTGCCGCTCCAGTGTGAGCTGACATCACTGTCACTAAGAGCAAGACAAACACATGTTACTCCATTTTTGTTATACTCAAGTTCTGAAGTTTAGTTTCTAATGATCACTAACTGCCTCTCACTTCTCTCCTTACTTCATAGTCGTTCCAGTGGCACACTGCTGGAGCGGGACAGGGTATTTGCTTCTGATGCTGCCTCCTTTTCAGAAGGAGAGAAAACTGGGTTTGCATCACAGTCAGGTGCTCTGTACAGAACCGTGGTAGATTCTCCAGCTTGGACAGAGGCTCCAGGGATTCCCATTCCCCAGATAGGTAGGGGGTTAAAGAGCAGGATAAATGACACGTGAAATGGCCTGCGTTCTCTGAGTTGAGTTTAGCCTTGGGCCTTTCCAACCCCAAAACTCAAAGTGTGAGAGTACTAGAAGAGTGAGGGGAATATCTATTTCACCCTCACCTTGCACTTTTCAGCTGAGGCTGTTTAGGATGATGCTGGATTCCGAGCCGAGGGGCTGCAGGCAGTGTAGCCTTTCCCAGCTGAGTTGCTCCACCAGTGTGATTCCAGTCTGGAGGGAGGACGACGGCCGGGCCCGCGGCGCCTGTGCAGGCGCTGAAGAGCAGCACACGCAGGGCTGGGGGGGCAGAGCCACGGCCGCCGGGGTCCTGCCTGCAGCAGGGGGGTTAAGGGTCGGGTCTCGCGGGGCCAGGGGCCAGCGTGGTGGTTGGCAGGGGGGGTCGTAGTGGCCCCCCTCTCCTGCCCTGTGAGACGGGAGGGGGCTGCCCTGGCTTTGCCACCCGCGCAGCTGCTGGAGCTGCCGCGTTCCCCGGCTGGCACTGATTTTATCGGCCCCGCCGACATCTCAGCTAGAGCAGAGTTCTGCTGGTTGCTGTCGGGGCACGTACAGAACGCTGTCCATCTCCTCCTCAAGAAACTTCTAGCATTCAGAGCACTCTATTCTAGCTACTCTGGGCTCCTGAAGGGAAAGGCTGGGCTGGAATCTGCTTGCCTCGCGAAGCGCAGGGCGCTGTGCGCTTACTTTGCTTACCACAGGAATCGGACAGAGCCCTGATGCTACCATCCCCTTCCACAGAAGTGCTTTGCTTGCTGCGTATTGCATCTGAGGTGTGGCAAAGCCCACCGCTGCCAGACGGGAGAAGGAATTGAAATAGTTGTGTTCCTCGATGTATTTTATTCGCAGCAGTGTATGGGTGGAGCCCCTGAAGTGTTGAAGTGCACAGCGCAGTGTTTGCATTTCCCTTCAGCCCTCTCTAGAATGAGATGCATTTCACAGATCTTAATGCTTGACTTGATATGTCACCTGGGTCTGCAAACTCCACCCTGCCCTGCTTCCCTTGGGTTTCTTTGTGGGGGAGAGGAGGAGAGAAAGCAGGGAGCAGTTGCTCTAGGTGGGGGATCGGGCTGCTCTTAACATAGGAGCTGTTAAGGTAGTGGGAATGTTGCACTTCTCCCTGGTGTTTGGTCTGCAGTGCTGTACTTCCAGCACCTGCAGAGAAAAAGAGGCCTGGGGAAAGCACAGGACGTAAGGTCAAATTAAATTAATGAAGTCAGATGGAAAATAGAGAAGGAATAAATAGCTGCCCTGCAACTCGTATTATCAGTAGCCTTATTAGTGCACAGAACCTCAGGCTATACCGTCTGCAGGTGTTTTGAATCTTCTGTTGAAGACTTAAGAGTCCTCAATTGACTAGAAACAACCTCATAACCTGAGCAGCGCTGTTTTGGGGGTACTTTTGAGTTGGTTTTGAGACCTCTCTTGAATTAAAGAGGAGGTGTCCTTGGAATATTGCCTTTCAGAGCTTGCGCACAATCTGTACCCGGGGCGACTACACCTGGTGCTGTCCGTGAGGATGGAGGAGGTTCTCCCTTTGCTCTGCTGTGGCTGGTGAGCGGGTTGGTGCTGCTGCTCCCCCTCTCCGTGAAGGGCTTGGCTTTTTTCCCCCCCCGATCTACTGGAAGTGCCAGGTTTGGTGCTGTCACAGGCGCAGGAGGGGAGGCCCTGTGCTGCTGACCCGCGAGCGCAGCTCTGGCCTGCGAGTGTAGGAACCGGGCAAGCTTTGTGATGCTCTCCAGCAGTGAGAGTTGCCCGTTGAGGTGCAGGGTGACGGCGGGACTCCGAGGTGGGTGAAGGTGAAGTGAGGGCTTGCGCTTGCCCCGTTGCTGCCTGAGGGTTGTGTTGGAGTTTGGTGAAAGGAGCCGTTGGTGCTGGTGCCCTGGGTGACTAGCGGGGGTGGTCTGGGGCATGTGGAGTTGCAAATAGTTGACTGCAGAAGCTGTTCTGCAGCTTACGCAGCAGGTGGAAAGCAATGAATGATAATGCCAGTGTGGCTCCAGAAGGGCCTAATGCATTGCACGTAATAAATCAGATGAACTTCCTATGGGTGATAGGACTGAGTTTTTCTTCTCCACCAGGCTTTGATATATAGAGATTTGAGACTATGAAATGATGACTCATCAAACTATAAGCTGTTTGTGGCTGGAATAAGCTGAATGAATTGCCTTATCGGAGGAGCCAGGGTGCTGATATTCCTCTCTAAATCCCAGCCTTTCCATCTCTCTAAAGCACGAGAGGAGCTGCCCACCTTAGCTTTTGCATACTGATAGAAATCCAGGCATCAACTAATAGCAGTTAAGCGATGACAGAAAGCTCTTCCCTCAAATGGCCCTAAAACCTGCTGAGACGAGAGCCCAGTTACACGTAGAGCCAGAGCAGGGCTGTTATCTGGGTGATTCCTGTAATTTAAAGAGTTTAACTGGTGTGTGGCCACGGGCGGAGGAAGAGATCGGGTGGCAGCTCAGCGATCGCGCCAGAGCTCAGGCGTAGCGCGCAGATGATACTGGAAAAGGGAGGCCAAGCTTCCAGTAAAACCAGTGACCAGCTTTGATAGCGTGCCAGTTCTGCACCTTCTGAAAAACAAACTTCAGAGGAGAAGGGGCGTTCAGTGCTATAGCCATTAATCATGACCCGAGTACGTGGATGCCGTTAGCGTCGGAGACTCTTGCGTCCCGTGTTGTCAGAAATGGATGCACATCGAGCACCTTCTCGGAAGAAAATTGGGGTTTAAGTAGCCACGGGGTAGTCCTGAAGTAGAGCAGTCGGGAGCCTCTGCTGTCAGGCTCCTTAGATGGTCTCTTGTTAAAGCAGAGATGCTTCGTGCAGGTCTTCAGGTGGCCGTGAAGTGGCTGCAAGTTTTGAGGAAAAGAGCGGTTTACCTGTGTGTTTTGCTAGAGGCCCGTTTCCCCGGGTGAATGTGACTGAAAGGGAGCTGGGGTGAGCAGTGCTCGACTGCAGGGGACCTGCGATGAGAGCAGTGACTTAAAATCAATCCAGAAATAGCAAAACTTCAACGCTGGCCTCACCTCAGTTTCCCTCCTTTGATTCTGCGAACGCTCTGAGACTCCTTTTCGCCTGGGGGCGTCGGCGCTTCCCTCGCCCACCAGCCCGAACCCCGCAGTCACCAAAGGTTCACTGACGATCTCAAAAGCTGGAGGACAGCCTTTGAGCCAAAGCCCCCTCACTGAAGGGAGGAGAATGGAAGGGGAAGGGCTGACCGGAAGGGTGCGCGGGGTTTTTTGGCAGAACCCACGCGTGGGAGCGGGACCCCCCCCCCCAAGGCGTTTAGTGACCCGTCTCGCCCAGATTCTTGTCCTGACTTCCCTTCCTCGCTGCCAACTGCTTAGGCTTTCAGAGGGGGCTGTTCTTCCTGGGCGCTCTGGAAGTTGCAGGCAGCTGCTTCCCTCGCAGCTCGGGCGGAGCAGACGGACGCGCGTGACCTGCAAGTGGCTGAGGGGGTCGGGTTTTGGTCTGCTGCCCACTTACAAACGTCCCGGGTAATTTGAAAACTCACATTTTTTTCTTTTTTTTTTTTTTTGTGTGTGCGCTGTTCCGCAGTGACCAGGAGGTGCCTGTTTTAGTCTTAAGGAACCGAAGGGCAGCGTTGGGGGTCCCCGCTTTCACCGACTGTTCCTTTCTTACAGAAATACCACTCGGAGAGCAAGGGCGCCGACCAGGTGGTGGAGACGCAAGCTCAGATCGATGAACTTAAAGGAATCATGGTTCGAAACATAGGTACCCGGCTTCCCCTCCCCGTGCTGGTGGGGAGGGGCCCCTCTGATGAAGAGGGGGGGGTGGTCCCAAACTCGAGCTCCGAGTTTACAAGCTGTGTTGGGCTTTGAGGGTGGCCCGTGGGTGCGAGGAGCGCCGAGATGAGCTGGCCCAGCTTGTGACGGGGCAGAGCGCGCTCTGGAGTGGGTGTTTGTCACCGTGGTTTTCCCGCAGCTGCTGTGAGGAAAAAAGCTCCTTGGTAGATTTTATTTTTTGTGTGTGTGTGTGTGTCAGACTCTGGTTTGGCTTTCGACAAGTCTGACCACTTAAAATAGAGGGTTAGACCTGGAATTGGTCAAACCAGAGTCAGGTCAGTCCTGAAATGCCGCCTGGGTCTTGTGAACCTGTTCCCCAAGCGCTACTGCCTGGCAGTCTGAAAGGCTGCCAGCTGCCTCGTGCCTGAGGAGCCGCTGCCAAGAGCTCCTGGCCTGCGGTTGGGTTTGGGGATCGGAAGCAGCTTTTTTTTGCGCTTGGGGTTTCACCTGCGGATTGGGATTTTTGTCTCTTTCTCCAGACCTTGTGGCACAAAGAGGGGAGAAGCTGGAGTTGCTGATCGATAAAACAGAGAATCTTGTGGATTCGGTAAGTCCGGGCAGGAACTTCGCAAGGGGGGAAATAGTGTTTCTGCATCACTTGTGCTCACGGTGAGCAGCGGGGGCGGAGACCAGCATCTAGAGCCACTTTTTAACAGACCCCGAAGCTCCCAGGTCTCCAGATAATCCTTCCCTGTGTCAGGCACAAGTCCCGTCTCATTCCCCCCCTCGTCACTGTTCCACAAGCCGCATCCCGGCCCTGCAGCTCCTTGAGGAGGATGCAGGTAGCCCGTGCGTGGCCGTCCCGTGTCCCACCGGTCCCGCTGGGGTTTGTGGGTGACTGCTAAATACCAAAACCTCTGCTCCCAAAGACCTGCTGCCCCGTCCTGGTAAGGAATCAGCTTCAGCTTGTTCCTGCTCGCTACAACCAGTGCTGACACGCTGCCAGCACAAGCTGTTGGTGTTTCTTGTGCTCAAGGCGGGGAAAATCCACTCTTTATCCGGAGTGACAAGAAATCCAAACAGCTCTAAGCTGGCAAAAACTATTGGTGCTTTGGAGAGGTAGTAGAGGCGCCTGGAGCTTTCCCAGTAGGGAATGCTGTCCTCCAGCTGTCAGGTGTTTAAACCTTACTGGTGGCAAGTAGTAGTTTAACCTCAGGTCATGCTTTAGACAAATGGACTAGAATTCCTTCAGCCGTTAGGTGGAATTCCTGCACAGGATCTCCCAGGGAATGCTGGTTCTTGGAAACCAAGAAGGAAGGGCTGGGGTATAGTGTGAACGTCTTGCAGCCTGACGGTGAGTGTCGTAAGAGATCCAGGGCTGAAGGTGTTAAAACTTCAGAGCAGTGGGCTGTGTCTTATCAGTCCTGTGTGAGCCCTGACCACCAGAATATTGTACATAAACCAAACGTGTTGGAACCCTCCCAGCGGTGGCAAGGGCCTGCTTTGGGGGGGGGGGGGGGCTGAAGAAGCTGGTGGTCAGAGGACTGAGGGGGGGGGGGATCCAGCAGCGCTCCCAGGTGTGGAGCTGGCGCAGCTGAGCAGGAGAAGCGCTCCCGAGGTGCCGCCGGTGGCCGAGCTTGGGCATCGGCGTCAAGTCGGAATTAGAGACCCCGGGGATGCGGTTGTGCCCGGCGGAGCCTCTTCTGGAAAAGTTGGGGGGGGGGGGGATGTTTGTGGGGAGCACCTGGAGCGAAGGGGCAGGGCGTGCTGCGGAGCTGGCCGGCCCCGGTGCTGCGGCAGGCGCAGCCCCACAGCGAAGGCGGCTGAAAACCTGTTACAGCCTGGTGGGTGTTTGGGGCCGTTCGGTGACCCAGACCTGCCTGGAACGGGTGGAATTGCAGGGTCCGGAGAGGAGGCTGGGAAGGGGACAACCACAAGCTCTCTCTAAAACGCAGCAAGCCCAAATACCGGAGGCAGGTTTGCCCGGCTCCCGTGGAGCTGCTGCCCAGAGCAGCCGTAAGGGTGGTGTGGCTTTGACCGGTGTGTTTTCAGTGCTAAAGTTGCGTGTGATGTGGTGGTGATCAGATCAGTAGTTCCGTAGAGATTCTGGAGCACTCCAGTTCCCAAAAGGTTGGAAGTCAAACGAGAACCCGCCCAGCGAGGTTCTCTTTGTAATTCTCCCAAGCTGAGTGTGGGAATGCACAACCCCAACCTCGTTCTGGACTTCCTCTTACACTCTTACCTTGTCCCCGAAGTATTTTGGGAGAGTTTTCTCTTGACGCCTGCTCAGTTTTGCACTGGTGTAACCACAGGAGTGAAATGGCTCCGGAGGGGGTAAGGGCAGTGCTTTGGTTACGGGGGAGGTGGTGGCTGGGAAGAGCCTCCCCGCCTGGGGACGCAGCTTCCCCCGCCGCAGGCTCGGGAATTAATCCCTTGTTTTACTTTCTCTTGCAGTCAGTCACTTTCAAAACTACCAGCCGGAACCTTGCTAGAGCCATGTGTATGAAGAACCTCAAGCTTACCATCGTCATCATCATTGTATCAATTGTAAGTAGTGGAGCACGATGACCTTTAGCTCTTAGGTCGGGCATTAACCAGTGGGAGGTGCCGATGCAAGTGCTCAGCTCTGCTCCCAGAGGGGCCTCGGCTGGAAAAACGAATGTTTTGGGCGTGTGGGAGGCGAGAGGAGCGTCGGGCTGGGCAGCTATTTGCCAAGGCAATAGGAGAAGCTTCCCAGAGAGTTCTGTGCAGCTGCTACGTCCCTGTCCGAGGCGGCTGCCCCCGCTCGCCCTGTCAGGAGCTGAAGCAGGGACCGTGCTGGAGCCGCTTTTGGGGCCTCAGAACACCCGCTGGTGCCTTGGCACTCGGCTCTGCAGTAGGTTTTTTTTTTTTTTTTTTTTCACCGCGGCCTCTGGCTGGGGGGACGGTTCTAACCCCGCGCTGCTGCGGGGATGGGGAGGCAGCGGCGCTGGCGCAGAGTCCCGGGGTGGTGGTGGGGGGCACATTTGAGTTATTTTGGGGGTTTGACACCCTGGGGGTTCCAAGCTTGTGTCTTGATTGCCCGGCCAGGTCAGCCGTGGACAGAGCGAGGGCAGTGGAATTCTCTGCTGAGGTGGGTGCTTTCTCTCTCCAGGTTATCATCTATATCATCCTGTCAGCTGCCTGCGGAGGGCTCGCCTGGCCAAGCTGTGTGCAGAAGTAACTGGAGGCAACTGGTGCTGGTCACTTGGAGACGAGAATCACGGGAGTGTGAAGAAGCAACCTACAGAATAACTCTTAATCTTTCACTACTGACACCTCCTCATTCTTCCATCCCTCCAGGACTTCAGACTTTTTTGCCTTATCACCCCAAACAGGCCCAGCCGGTCGCGGCTGCTCTGCAGCTGGACCCTCAAGAATGGGCTGTTTTAAAGTACTTGAAGGGATTTCTTTTTTTTTTGTTTGTTTGTTTGTTTGTTTTTCTGTCCCAACTACAGCCTTCTCAGCTGGGTGGGCGGTACGTCCGGCTCCGGAGGGTTATGTGCATTCTCACCCGTAGAGCTTTGCACTTTCACGTGAGCGTGCGAGAGGAGAGCGGTCCTGCCGGGGGGGGGGGGACGGGGGACAGTTCAGGGGGGCTCAGCCAAATAATGGCAGAAGGACAAGATTGGGTCTGTGTGTGACCTCCCACTTTCTACAGGCGCCGGGTGCCTCTCCCTGCGGGTCCGGCCTCGTGCCGTGTCTCCGCGGTGCGGGCGTAATAGTGGCGGCACCAAAACAAAAGGGCTTTTGGGCTGGGGCTTTGGGGCACCGTAAGGCGAAGGGCGAGATCTCCCTCTTCCTGGGGGTCTTTCTGCAGGTGGCAGGAGGGTGTTGGGTCACCTCGGCGTTTTGAAACGGCTGCCTCTTCATCCTCGCTTCTTCCTCATCTCCCTCCCGCCTTAATTTGTGGATAAATCAATACAGTAAAGGAGATGGTTGCGTATAGTTAAGGTTGCAGCAATGTATCTGCTTTCTCACACGTTATTTTTCCTCTTCTTGAGAGTGGACTGAAATGAGTGCTGATGTTCTCACTTGCTAAGGTGAAATTGGGGGCCAATCTGCTGATCTGGCTTGACACGAGGGGTCAGGGGGCTGCCGCTTGTGCTTCTGCAGGGCAGGATGTGCGCTGAAAACCGCGGACAGAGAAGGGCCAGAAGGCTGGAGGGGCGGGACAGTTACTTTTTCCGTGGCCTGACGAAGAAAGGCTCTTCCAGAGGTTGGTCGTAGTAGCACGTACTCCTCTGAAAAGCAGAAAAAAAAAAAAAAACCAAAACCCCAAGGCTAATAACCAAATGCGGGATGAGGTGTGCCGAGGCCGGGGGCTGCCCTGCCCGCGGTGGCCACTGGGTGTGTGTCCCAGGTGGCCACCGGCCCCCCGGGGGCTGAGCCTGAGCGGCGGCTGCGCGGGGCGACCTGTGGCTCCCCGGCTCGTTCCCAGGAAAAGAACCAGGAGCAACGACCCAGGTCTTGTAGAAGCAGCTGCTGGTGGGGGAAGGGGGAGCCGCATCCCCCGGGGAAGGGGGAGCCCGGGTGGGTGCTGCCCTGGAACGGCGGCTTTTCCCCCCCCCCCGGAGCTTCCCGGCGGGGGCTGGGGGAAGGGTTTTCCCCCCAAACCTCCTGCGATTCCGCGGCTTTGTCTTCTACGAGGTTCCAACTGAACGAAGGGTGTTTGGCTCCTGGTGGTTCTGGTCAGCAGGGTTGGGCTGGCAGCTCTTTCCAGTTGTGTGCATTCGACTGTAAAGCGGAGACACCCTTCCTCTTCCCTCCTCCTCCTCCTCCAGCCCCCCCCAGCCCCCCCGTTTCAGTGTACAACTGTGCATGTTTTAGGGATTGGTGATGTTGCTGTGTTCATTTCTATGATTTGTTGTCCTGTGTACAAATACTTTTTAAAGAAAATCTTTCCCTTTTAAAGGATGCACTGAGGCATTAGTGTAAAAACAAAGGCAACTCGATTTAAATAAAATTATTGTACAGCCAGCAGCTTGCCCTAGTTCTGTGACAGGCGGGTCTAGCAGCCTGGTGGTAGGAACCACTCGAGGAGGAGACCAGCGTGAGGCTGAGGCTCCGAGTCGCCCTGGGTGTAACGCTGCTGGCCCTCCCCACGGCTGCTCGGAGGGGGCACGCGTGGAAGCCCTGCTGTGAAATCGTTTCCACGATGGCTGGGCACAGCCTCGCAGCTCTGGAAGGCTGCTTTTTGTTTTTCACGTCGTGACGTGACGGGGGTGGGGGGGGGGGCCTGCTTCTGGTGGTGGGAAGAATCCGCTGCTTCCCGGTGCAAAGTGGGACGGAGGGATGCTGAGGGGTGGAGAGAACACGAATGATGAAGCGATGACGCAGGCAGGGGAGATAAAACTTAATTTTTCAAGGCACTTTTCAGTGATCTAACCCCCCCCTGCCCCTGTCCTGAGGGGAATCCCCGGCACTGGGTGCCTTCCCTCTTCGCTGGGCAGACCCCGGGGCTGCAGGAGGGTTTAGGGCAGGGACTGAGCCCCTGCTTGCTGGGAAAATGCAGCAAAACCACGCTGAGGGCGTATGAGGTTTTGGGAGAAGGCTCGTGCATCACTATGAGGGAGTTTGGGATTTCCTCTTAAACTTGCAGAAACTCTTTTGAGTTCAGTTGATCGTTACCTTGGTTTGAGGCAAAGTGGCGTTTTAGTGGTACCTGCTAGGGCTCGGGATGACGTGGACTGTGGAAAGCTGAAGGGAGATCACTTGGTGTGGGAAAAATCTCTTGGAAGATCGCTGGGCTTAGAAAAATGAAAGGATAAAAGCTAAATTAACATCTCTGCGTGACTGATAGTTCCAAGAGCTGGATTTTGTGCTTCGTGTTCCTGATCTATGGCCCAAAAGCAGACAGGGGGCCCTTGCCCACCCTCTTCACGTGCTTGTCCCTGTCGGATTTACATTGGAAATGCCCCTGAAGCCAAGCAGAAGCCAAGCCCGGAGGAGTAAGGCCCCGCTTAACCTTGTTGCTTCCTTCTCTTTCCAGCCTCTGGTCTGGCAAAACCGCGTCTCCAGATCTGTTCTGCAGTTCTTCGTAGAAACAGTATCACGTGCCTGATGCAGCCTGAGCTAGAGTTTAACCTTGAACTACTTAAACGTTTTACCTTTCAAGACAGTTTTTGTTCTTCACCGGCCGTTAAGTATCTGTATCCAGTAACTAGTAGCTTAGGAGGCTGCAGGTAAATGCTGTGCCTGGAAAATGCACCTCTGGGCTACGGAGCCGAGTGAAGACAAAACTCTCCAACAAGAGAGAAATCAAACAGAAGTGGAGCTGCTCCTTCCTCCCTCTGTGCCCGGGGAAGGTAAATAAGTTCCACAGGCCCAGGTTTGGGCTTTTCCCCAGGCAGGACCTGCAGAGCCTCAGCGGGGGGGGGCCAGAGGCCTCCCTGCAGCACCGGCTGTGCGGGGAGGGAAGGTGTGTGTTTAACTCCAGTCGGGTCTCAGCTGCACCAGTGCTCCCACCAGGAACCTTCCTTTTGGCCCTTTCAGCAAGGTGGAACTGGCTCCCGGACTTCCAAAGCTGCTCGGACGTGAGGAGGGTTATTTCCACTTCAGGAAAATAGGGGTACGGAGCTCTAGCTTAAGGAGTTCATAGCAGAACATTGCTAGGCAGCAGAAGGGGCAGGTGGAGCCTGAGAAAAGCCCTGGCTGCTCTTCAGTTGTTATTCAGGGGCGCAGCTCAAGGGGTGACCAACCAACCCCCCCCCGGTGCTGGGGGGGCTGGAAGAGCCGCCTCCAGCCGGGCGCTGCAGCGACACACCCAGGAGCTGCCCTGCAACAGCCGTTCCATACCCACTGCCTCTTCTTTTTTTTTTTTTTTCTTTCTAAAGCAAACTTGATGCAAAAAGTGCTCTCTGCTCTGCCGAGCTTCCTCTTTGCAAGTGTCTCCCGTATTTGGTTCTGCTTCAGCCGCTTGTGGATGTTCTCCTGGAAAAGATGTGAACTGAGTGCTGTGAATTAAGTTTTCCTTTGCTAACACCCACCTGGTTCTTAGGAAATCCCCAGAGGTTAAAGGTAAATATCTGCATCCTAGGAGACTTCCTCTGCTGCCCTCTCTCCCTTTCCCAGCGGGGCTGGGCCTGTCAGGAAAAGCCTCAGTCCTGGCCCAAAAACCACGCAAGTCGGGCTCGCTGTTTGAATAAAGCAGATCTATTTCAGCACCATAACATTTTATTAAACTACACTATCAAAATCACATCGACGGCAGGGAGAAGGTTGCTATCAGTGCATATTTTCTGTACTAAGACTGTATTCACAGCATCCGGCACTCGCTGAGGAAAAGGACACTGAAACAGAATCCTTCATCGCCAAAGGGCAGAAAACTTCTACAAAAATCAGGGCAGGTAGGAGCGAGACTGAAGGGGAACACTTCAAGTCAAATGAGTTTGGGGGGGGGGGTGGGTTTAAAAAGTCTGCTTTTAACCAGTGTTAGCTTCCTCAGCTGAGATAAGATGCTGGTAAACAGCCCTTTTGAAATAGCAACCCCTGTCCCCTGCCTGTTCACAAACCCACACAAATATTGTGTACTGCTCCTTCACTTGTGAACTGTGATGCACACGCTTGAGTACAACAGCCTGGAGTGTCCTACAGTTATAAAAACCTGCTTCATCTTCTAGAACAAACAATAAAAAGTAGCAGAAATACATTCTATACAGAAGTAGAAAAAAAAAAAAAAAAACAAAAAACAAAACAACCAACCCAACAGTTGTGTTTCGGACAAATATTAAAGTACATCAGGTTGAATTTTAAAAGTCTTACTTCTAACATCTATACAGCTATTTCTAGTCTCCCGCAGGCGCTGGTCCAGCTGGGCCCACCACCCCCAGCAGCCTTTCAACCAACCCTCCGCAGGAGCAGCTCACAAGTTTTTTCGTGACAAACCTTCCAAAAGGGCTACGAGTCGAGGTTTCTAGGAAATAAGGCTTATTTTCAGTCTTCGGGGCGAAGACTCGTGTTCCGGTAACGTTTTGGATGGTGGAAAGGCAGTAAAGGGGTTCTGTGTTCCACCGGTGAGAGCTCGGGCTCGGGGCAGAACAAGAGGAAGGATGTGCAGTGCCCCGGGGCTCCAGTTGCATTTCCCAGTAACGTCCTTTCTTTCCCAGTAACCCCCCGGGCAGCTGGGGGGTCAGTAGCACCCATCCTTCCAGGAATCATCCTCCACGGCCTGAGTGGGTGGTGCCGACTGGAGAAACCTGGTTTGGGAGACCAAAAGGGGGAGAAAAAAAAAAAAAAAATAAAGGGGTCAGCAGGCAGGTGGAAGGTGCAAGGGAGCTCGGGTTGCCCTGGGCTGCTGCAGAGTCTCTTTTTCTGACGTGCCAGCCCGCACCAGGCCAGCAGCCATCTCGAGAAATTCAGTGACTGCCACGGGGCACTGAGTGATGGATTTATCCCGCTCCACTGCTGCGGGTTTTTTCCCATGACTCAGGCCAAGAGAAGTATTTTTCCCTGCAAATAGAGCTGAACAGGTGAAAAACATCATCGGGTTGGATGCAAAGTACTACTTCAAATGAAGAGTTTAAAAACTCCCTTTTGAGTATTTTTTTTTTTTTTTTTAAAAAGGAGAAACAGTTCAATTTAGTGAAGGCTACAACAGGGCGTTAAAAAAAAAAAATCAGCAATTACTTCCTGCTTATTAGTCTGATACTGAATCGACTCCCCTCAATCACTACAACTGTACTGCAGATAGCTGTCAAAAATAGCTTTTGGCAACGTGGTAGTGGATTACCTACACACAAATGCACAGGAGAAGCCTGAGGACAATGGGATAAGACCCCACTTGGCTAAAATGGCATAAAGTGGCCCAGGCATGGAGTTGTTACAGGCATCTCGGAGGCCTTACTCTTTAAAAGAGATTGAATATAGCCTAAAGCAACAGCTCTTTAGTTACAACATCTGCAAACTATAGGTATCCACTGTCTCAATATTTAGGATGTTAATCGTAAGTGTGAAAAGCTAGACATAAATGTAAAAAGAAAAAAAAAACACCCACAAATCAAGTCTGAAAACTCACTGCATCTTTCTGGATCAAGACACGGTCCCCAAATCAGTTCAGACTTGTGCAACAAGAGCAAAATCCGCACGTTTTTGGAAACCATTATATACGCTCTGCTTCCACCCCGTTGTATGAGGTTACTATAATGATACAGAATCATGCTTAAGCTGAGCCTTGTTAATTTGTCCTACTTTTCAAACCCTTCTAAAAACTCCTTAGGCCTCGAACGATGCCCACCTGACTCTGAACTAAAGACTGAGGAAGGAAAAAAAAACCCAAACTTATTTTACCAGTGGCAAAGTCAGAGGCACCAAAGGAGGTCATCTGGGGAGACGGTTATATTAACAGTAAAGAGAGTTTATTAGATGTATGCACCAAATAATTACGTGCCATAATGTTCGTTTCTTCTAACAATGAATTTGAGTCTATGCCTCTTCATTTGCCTGGGTAATTAGCTTTGTTTAAAAAAAGCACTTTTTTTTTTTTTTTAAGCAGATGGAACAGTGAAATCCTGAGTGGTTTGGCCACAGATTACGCGGTAATAAGGGGCATCTCACCCAGAAGCTGCCGAGTGCCAACCTGTCAGTTCACACCTACATTCACAGAATTTAATTTTAGTGGCATTTAAAGGAACTGCAAAGCCTTTGCCTCTTGACTGGGGGGCAAAGCACGTAACGCCCCCCGAATCTCCCGGCTCCGCAGGACCCTTCCCTTACAGGCTCCCCAACCCTCCACCGCAAGTGAGTCGGTCAGCCCAGCCCTGCACCCGTGTCGCGCTTTACAACCCGAGCTGACCACCACCACCACGTAAAAAAGCATTTCTAATTGTGAAATAAAGGCAGACGGTCAGGTCTGGGAGGCCTCAAGTCTCCCACTTACCTCCTGGAGGGTGGCGTCGGCTTGCTCTTGGGCGCCGAGATTCCCCCAACGGACGTGCGGGCTTTCATGGGGGAATTTTTTGCCACAGTGCCCACGTTACCGGCTCTGGGAGCGCCGCTGCTACCGGAGGAGCCCGTGCTGAGAGGAGGTGCCTGTGGTTTTCGGACCCCGCTAACAGGATTTGCGTAACTGCAGGCTTTCACGGGCTGCCTGGGGGTTAGCAGAGAGTTTGTGCAGGCCCCCGCTTTCATCGGCTGTCGCACCGTTAAGGGAGACTGGCCAGCACCGGAGGAATACCTGAGCTTACTGGGAGCCAGACCTAGAAATGGAATAACGGAGGAATAAGCCGGTTGGCAAGAGCAGCTGAAGAGCACGTGAGGATGCGGGGCCTTGGAAGGGCCTGGGGGCTGGGGGGGGTCGCTTGGCCGGACAGAAGGACGCGGCTGCCCTGACCTGCTGAGCGCTGCTGAGTTCTGGGGATGCGGCTGCTCGGCACCTGCAGGTCCGACTCCAGGCTCCGGCTGCTCCGCACCGACTCCAAAGCTCGGAGGCTCGTCCTGGCCAGGTTGGGCATGCTGTGGCGCATCTCCTCTGAAACCAAGAGCAAATTCTCTTATTCGCCGCTTGCGGGAGCGACGGAGCTGTGTAAGGGATTAGATCACCTCCTGAAAAAACACAGGCACTTAGGAGAGGAGCGTGGAACTAATTCTGAGCTTCCCCTGGCGGGAACACGGCGGCATTCTTTTCGCTGACTCGTATCAGCAGCTGACGGCCAGCTTACCTTCGCTGTTCGCATACTTGAGCCGGTCTTGCATCGGGCTCTGCACAGCTCTCCGGGGCGGGCGGATGCGGGACGTGGGTGTCCGGCCGTAGTCGGCGTTGGAGGAAGGGGACTGGCAGCGGGGGGAGCTGAGCGGAGACGGGGAGTATCTGTGAGCGCTCCGGTACGACAGGGAGCAGTCGTAGTCGTCCTCATCCTCGAGGCTGTAGGTGTCGAACTCCTGGTCGCTGTAGGTGCCTCTTCGCAGGGAGTGAAGGGAAGCGCTGGAGCTGCGGCGGGACACGGAGGCGGAGCTGGAGGCACAGTCCTGGCGGAGGCCTGGAGAGAGGGGCAACAGGGCTCACAGTCATCCCGCTCCAGCACAGAAACTCCTTACCCGGCCGCAACGCAACTCCAGAAGCAAACGCTCTCCCCTCGGGGATTCATTTCACCTCGGGAGGAGAGACGGGTTAACACCGCTCTTTGCTGAAGCCACTCGCCCCGCACGGACAGCGTCACCCCTACCAGTGCTGCTTAATTAGAGCAAAGAGCCACCATTCCAACTGAGCCGAACTGCCCCTTCCGCCGCGCACGCGAGCGGCTCTGATGGTGGACTACCTACTGCCACGCGAGCTCCGTTAGGTTCACTAGGTACAGGAGGCTAATTTCCAGTATGAACTTCGGTAGTTCCGTTAATTACACGCCCACCAGCGTTTCAGCAGGTTGAAGCACAGATTGGAACTTCTGCCTCCAAGTGAAAACACGCCCGCTTTTATTGACATCCTCAGTGCGCCCGGCCGGTTTATTTACAGGCCCTCCCCCAACTTACGCCTTTATTCAAGTCTCCTTCCCTAACAAAATACAAGCAACTTCATATTTAGCAAACCGGTTGAAGGGACTTTTGAGGAAAGCATCAAATTTCTGAAAAAACCTCTTCTCAGTGCAGTCCTTTCATTGCAAGGATTTTTTTTTTAAGGAAAAAACAAACAAACAAACAAACAAACAAGAGTTGCCCACTCTTCTCCCTTCACAATGCAAATATGAAAAGCTTCCATCATTCTGAGGATGACGTGCTTTTCACATTTCACTGGAAAATTTGTGATGTGACAAGATTTCCTTGACTTTTTTTTTTTTTAAGTGATCACAAAGCATAACATAAGAAAATACTCAAGCTTAGAAAGAAAAAGGCCATTACTCGCTTTATTCGCTTTAATACAACTTTTCCCCAGCTGTGTTCAGGTGTAGTAAAGTGATAACAAGATCTTATGTCTTTTGCTCTTTTTGATCTCATATTCCAATTCCTAGATCATAGGATTTTTTAAATTTGTAGAGGCACAGTACTAAAAGAAAGTAAATGTTCTCCAAAAAAACCCCCAGAACACTTCATTCTCCGTTTCCTGCATATCAAATGAATTATCAATTTGCACACAGACATAGATCCAGGCACTCTGTTCCACCTTGATCTTCAGTTAGGACCTTAGCCAAACCACACTGAAGTCAACAGAGAGTTTACCAATGATTTAATGGGAACAGGATCTGGGCTGACTGGATCAGGCAGAACCCCCCCGTGCCCTGGGCTGCAGCCAGAGCAGGGGGGGCAGCAGGGCCAGGGAGGGGATTCTCCCCCTCTGCTCCGCTCTGGGGAGACCCCCCTGCAGCGCTGGGGGCAGCTCGGGGGCCCCCAACAGCAGAAGGACCCGGAGCTGCTCGAGCGGGGCCAGAGGAGGCCACGGAGATGCTGGGGGGGCTGGAGCAGCTCCCCTGGGGGGCCGGGCTGAGAGAGTTGGGGGGGTTCAGCCTGGAGGAGAGAAGGCTCCGGGGGGACCTTCGAGCGGCCTCCCAGGGCTTAAAGGGGGGACAGGAGAGGTGGGGGGGGACTCTGGGTGATGGTTTTAAACTGTCAGAGGGCAGATTTAGGTGAGATGTAAGGCAGAAATTGTTCCCTGTGCGGGGCAGGAGGTGCTGGCCCAGGGTGCCCAGAGCAGCTGTGGCTGCCCCCTCCCTGGAAGGGTTCAAGGCCAGGTTGGACGGGGCTGGGAGCCCCCTGGGCTGGGGGAAGGGGGCCCTGCCCAGGGCAGGGGGGGGGCACTGGGGGGGCTTTAGGGTCCCTTCCCACCCAAAGCACTCTGTGATTCTGTGATAATACTTTCAAGGCTATCCTCTGCTTTAAGAGGGGTCATCCTGAGAATGTTACACAACTGCTACGTTTAAGTGGCAGTTTGGGTCTGTAGATTTTTAAAGGAAGCCCTTACTAATCACCAACATTTCAAATGCTCTATTAAATTCTCTTTTTTTTGTTGGGGAAAGGCAGAAGAGAACAGTTGGACTCCATCTACGATTCTAAAAGTGTAACACAAAGGAGATTGCTGTCACGTACTCTCTTCCTGAAGGCGTGCCATAACCTGGACGTCGGTCAAGTCCTGCAGTTTATATCCCATCGAGATGGAGTCGTCAGACGTGCTCAGCTCACTGTCCACAGACGACTGAGAGCTCAGTGCAGAATGCATGCTCAAGTAACCTGTAGTAGAAAAGAGGAGGGAGGAACACACACAAAAAAAAAAAAAAAAAAAAGCATTCAGCCATCTACCTACAAAACAAGAATACTCTGCTGCTCCTTTATTCCAGTAATAAAATCAGTGCAGTTGTGAAGTTGAGGTAAGGTCGCTAGAAATAATTAAGAAGTTAGAAATTACTTGAGAACTCAGTATTTTAACCTGCAATATTCAGAAGGCAGTGTGCCTTTGTGCAGGGAAAAAAAATTGTGAACTTCTGTCCAGAAGCTAGCAAAGAGAAGCTTGCTGATTTTGAGCTTAGAAACACGCTTCAAAAGATCAGTATGCTGTCTGCCCATTTTGAGAAAGGGGCAACTATCGATTCTACATATTAAGCAGTAAAGTTACACAAAGTGCGTGCTAGGGTGTTGGTGAGCAGTCGTAGGATTAAAAAGATCCAGATGACTTTCAGAGTACAGTACCTCAAAAATCAGTCATGCAACCTGCTTATGCAAAGCGGAGTTGACACTAGATTGCCTCCTCCCCATTCCTGCCATTTACCTTTTTTCCACCCCACTCTCATCATAAATCAAACTCTCTTACAGGGAGGGACACAGCTTATTCACACAGCAGGTCTTAAAAAACAAACTGGAATGATCTTCCCACCAAGGAAGTTTTTCCATCAGGCTGGCGTTAGGAAGAGCCACAAATAATTTTCCTTTTGAAGAATAATAATAAAAATATCATCATCTTAACCATTAAGTGCAAATTTTACCTACCAGTACTTTTTCTTAAGCCAAGCAAGTCAGTATTTTCCATGGCATAAGAGTACTACTACTTGCTACTGAAACAGGGAGATGAGAACAAGCCGTGTAACTTTGGGGTTATACTGGTACTTGTCCTTCAAATGTGGGAGGCCTGTAAGTAGCCCTATACACAGAAATGTGGTATCACAGCTGCCTTTGGCCTTCCTCTGATACTCCTCTTCCCCAGATACTGCTCGTCTGGGCACGTGGGACAGCTGAGCATCACCCAGCCGTCAGCTTATCTCCATCTGCAGGTGGCAGGCAGCTGCAGGCAGTGCCAGGAGAACCTCACTACCCTTCCAGCCATGTCAATTTGGGCTCAGGGTAGTATTTCTGAGAGCGCACACACAATGCTGAGCATACCTCCCATCTTCTTTTCCCATTTTATAACTAACATACTGCTTTGTTTAAAAAAAAAAAAAAAAAAAAAAAAGAAAAGAAGAAAAAATTGCTAGAAAATTTCTTTGAAACACAGAAGGAGCAGTGAATTTAAAGCCTCTACATGGCAAACGTGCTTATCTATGCTACATTATACAAAATCCCATAATATGCTCCTAGCATAACTAACCCTCCAACACAGACACGTAAGACCATATAAAGTCCAGAGCTATTTTAGGAGAGAGTACTTCATTACTTTAAAGTAATTCTAAGACACGGTTGCAATTAGTACTATATAAATTTAGACACACACCCACTTCCCCCTCCTCCAAAATATTAAAACCCTTGATGTGATAGAAGATGAGACAAAGCTCGTAGGTATGCAAGAGCTTAAAAGCACTTAACATCACTTTCAGCGAGAGCAGGCTTAAGAAATACAACTCCTGCTCAAGCAGGGATTCGAGATGATCACTTAAACAAAAAGCAACAAGGAGGCTGTAGCACACCAGCCGACAAATCAAGAATGTACGTCGGCCTCCCAAAGCATCTACATGATGGCATTCAGCACTGACTTTTACTTTAGCTCACACAGTTTGGCCTGCTGTGTTCTCAGAAGCCTTGAAGGCAGGGCACCTACTGAACACTTCTCCACGATGACGCTAGAAATAAAGATTTTGTCTGTTCTTGGCAGCGCATCTAAAACTCATTGCTGAGCAACACTTTCAAACAGCGGCTAATTCCAGTCAGGCAGGAAAATGCAGCAGGTTCCCAAAGCTATTCCTTCCAACCCGTTTTGAAGAGGAGTAACCGATGACACGGAAAACACATGTTTCAAGGCCAGGCATAAACCACATTTCCTACACGGACGTTGAGCAAACTGCTTTGTACCAGTAAACCTCAAATTCTTCATTTGAAAAGGCAGAAAGTTTTTCCAGTTTCAAGACGCTTGCAGAGTGCAGTGCAAGTCAGGACACTCCGGTATTCACACGCACTCCTGTATGACATAAACCCATTTCTGTCCTCTGGTGTCAGGAAAAGACACCGTAAGCAGTTGAAATAAAGCCAACACGAGAGCAGGGATTGCACCTGTAGGATGTAGGATAAGGAAGGAGCACAGGTTTCCTGCTGTAACTAACACCACCTTTAATACTAAAAGCTGTATTATTAATGCAGCTGTATCTTGAAAACAGCTTTGGAAGACACAAAGTTCCCGATTCAGCTATGTGTGTTTAGCTTGGCTGTCGCATTTCGAATTGCAGCTCTACTTCAAAACAGTCAAGGAGAGGAAGAACAACATTCACATTCTTTCATCAGTAAAAACGGTTGTGGCTCAGCATTGCAGGATGAACTGATTATGGTTTTCATTACAGAAACTTCAAATACACCACATCTGGATTCTATAAAAGTTTTTTTTTTTGTTTAGTTTTTAAGGGAAGTTACTGTTAAACTTGTTTCATTTGAATGGTAGGGAAGCTCCTTTTTTCTTAGAAATAAAATTAGATTTGAGTCAATCAAGCTGGCAGTGAACTTCAAACTCATGTTAGCACTTACACAAGTCACAAGGGAGGAGCCACTAAACAGAGGAAGTGAACTCTCACATATAATCCTCCACGGGCAAAGCCTGCTCTGTACTTGCCTTTTTACTTGGTACCCTTGAGAACTCCAGATTTGCAGTGAAGGAAGAAGTCTAGAAGTTGCACTGACACTTTGGTTTTACACATCAGTAACTGTTTCTGCATGAAAAGGTGGTTAGACATCTAGATTGCCAACCAACCACACATTAAAAACAAGAAACTGATTTAGAGATTCCTCCCTGCAGAATTCAGCTTGCAAATATAGTCAGTCCTGCATGCATCCTTTTGTTTGCAAAACAGAGATAAGTGTTAATTTCTATTTACAGCAGAAAACCAGCAGATCTCAAAGGCCTACCTGCAGCTGTGAAAACATCCATATGCAACCCTTTTATTTTTTTTTCCCTTAAAAAAAAGAGGTTTGTTTAACATGAAGCTTCAAGGCAGGAACTGTTAAACATGCTTTATGGTTTTAAACATGCAAATTGGGATACAGCAATTTCCACAAAAATCAAACATATCAAGGAAGTCTCCTCTGATAGTAAAGCCAGCAGGCAAAGCATTTGTACGAGGAGAATGAACTGCATCCAGGATAAACGAAGCTCCTGAAAGAGCCTACGCTGGACTCCGTAGGGGCAGCTTAAATGCAAAGGCAGACTTGAGGCCAAGGCGTTTAGGAGAAGCTTCATTATTCTACCTACAAATCCAGGCTTCTAACAAGATTTTGTGTAAATTGCCTCGAAGGTCGGAAATCTTATTCCAAGCACAATGAAGTCTGATGGAAAGCTTTTGTTATTTTGCGCTTAGCTGCTCATTCCGCCAAAGCAAAGGCTTATCCTGGAGACAACACCTTTTATCTTAAAGCACAAGGCTTCTTTCTGTTGCCTACATTAATCAGTATTTCCAAAAGACACTTCACAAACTCTGCAGTCAGAAAACTGAATCCAAGTAACTTTATCAAGTTCACATCTACATATGATAACATTATTCAAGAGCAGTATTTTCTTTGCCCCAACAGCTGCCTTCTGTTTTAAGTCGTTTAAAATTAGTACAATTTATAAATATATAGAGAGAAAGTTATAAAAACAAAACCATGAAATAACTACAAGACATTTAGAATGCAAGGAGGTTCTCTCCCACGTAACACGTGAAACCTGGGTCAGTAAGTGAGCAAATTTAAAAGGAGAAAACCTCATGGGTGGACTTGCATCTCTTGACAACTTTTCCCCGTGTCAATTAGTAATACTCCTTGCATTTTAAACACTACAGGTTTGCACTGCTCTACTGACATGCCATACCTGAGCTGCCACAGGTTAGTAGTGCTTTGTTAGTCGATTTGAGATGCCCGGGAGAGTTTAGTGCATTGCTACAGGAGCCTGTCTCTGTATTCAAATTATGTGCGCTTGGTGATGCCAATGGACTGCAATACAGGTTTTTCCATCTACTGGCTAGAAGGAAAAATACAAAAAAAAACCCATAAAGGTCGTCAAATTATTTTTAAAAACAGAGAGCATAAGATAAAGAAAGGCATCAGATAAACAAAACTAAATATTGTAACAGATGTACTTCAAATAAGACATCTTGATGGTGTCAGTTACAAGCAAAGCAGCGCCTGTTCCCTCGCTCACTCTCCCCTTTAACTTGTTTTGTCACTTCTGAAGAATTCCAAAAATAACTACTGACAAACTTGGTTTTAAAGCAGCCATACATTTCTGAAGGTTTCAGTGCTGGTCTTCAAAAACGACTGTTTTCATAAATATCTGTCACTTCTACACGCCATCCTCATTTTAAAGAACTCCACCGAACTCTATGTTTATGCGTGTGCTATTTTGAATTTTTGATGATGGAATCAAAAGAGCATTAAACCACAAAAGCTGTGCCTTTAGATTAAAAGGAGAGCAAATGCATATATGAAAAACAACCGTTCTGAAATATTTATTCAGCACACAGATTTTGCATACGAGTTAGTGAAACAATCAAAAACAAGCCAGGTAGCAAAACGTAGTGCATCCACGCTCACTGGAGCTGAAAATAAGCAGCTACAGTGCTGCGGAAATGACTCAGTCTATGACCTGCACATATTCAAGGGGCTGCTGACCTGCCCACCGAACCCTCACCATAACGAAATAATGAAGATTCACTATATAAACAGTTTTCATTTCCCCCCCCCCAAATATACAAGGTCAGCCTATTTTAGTTAAAAAGGAGTGACAGAGTACAAATAAAGCCTGATACATTTCAGACAAAGCAAAGAGTTCATCAAATGAACCTTCGTTCAAATTTTCAAGCCCAGATGGTTTATAAAAGTAAATGAAGTTTGTTCTCAAACTACATTCAGTTATCTCAAATCAGGAATTTCAAGGCTAAACTCAAAATAAGCCTGATTACAAGCAGTGCCAAAGCACTGTTAGTACGTAAACTTTAAAAACAAACAAACCAAAAAACCAGTGGTGTCTCAGACTTAAAGTCCCTGAGGTCAAATTACTGGTCAAACCGAAATCAAAATTATTGTATTCACACAGAAGATAAATTTAGCCAATTTAAAACCCAGGCAGAGCACTACTTTTGTACCAAACTGGGGGTTGTATTTTCAGCAGTTAAGAACATCAGCGAGCTTCAAAACATCCATTCTCTCGCAAACTTCACTTTTTCCAACACTGCTAACCACAGCTTTTGTGTTTAGATGTTCCCGAGTCAAACCAGACAGATGAGGTTGCGACATGTCCTGCTCGGCAATGCTTTTCCACGACGAGTCGTTAGGAGAAAATAATACTAGTCCATCCCTCCAGCTGCAGGGTAAATCACAGCTGCCAATATAGGAAAATTGTATGATATAGCAAAGGATTACATATGCACTTCGAGCCCCTCAGTGTCTTGGCTATCAGCAATTCAGCCCAGGCCTCGCACCTTTACGTACAAGCCTGGATCGTGTTTGGAAAGAGGAGGGGAGGCTATCCACCCCGTGGGCTCCAGGTGCGGCACTACAGCTCTGCAGAAACAGAACCACCACCGCAGTTTTGTCAAGAAAAAAACTATGCCTCTACCCCAGCAGCCCTCACCCTGGCAAAAGGCTAAGATGGGATTGATCCTTCAGTGTGCTGGAAAAGGAGAAGAAAACACAGAAACCTACGACCCCGGAGTAGTGACTACGATGGAGGCATGGGGCACAGCTGAACGGAACGCTCCACGGCCTTCTCATTTCAGGCGGGTTAACAAGGGAGTTTCCCTCGGTGGTCAAGTAACACAGCTGAAAGCCACCGCCAGGTGATTTTAGGGGATGATAAAACTGGGAGGAAAAACTAGGTTTCCAAGTGACACCATTTCTTCAAGTTACAGATTTTATTGTTTCCTTACTGTAAGCTTTGAGCATCAGACAAATATTTTACCCAGATAATACTACTAATGGTAAGAATAATCACCATTAGAAACACTCAGCGACACTAGAACTTTTTATACAGAAAAAAGCTGCAATAACGGTTTCATATGATTCTCTCCCCCACTCCCCAAAAGCACATTTTTTCCTCTACATGTTTTTAAAGATGTTTAAATATTAAAAAAAAAAAAAAAAAAAAAAAATCAAGAGCCTGACAACACTAAAATATATTTTTACTGTTTAGGCTCTGAACATATTAAAAAAAAAAAAAAAAAAACAAAAAACCAAAAACAACAGAAAACAAGTTGGTAAATTCAGCAATTCATTTGAAATGCCTGCATTTGTATCTTAAAAAAACACGTAGAGGCAAAACATCAGAGTTCAGTTTGTTTTGTCTATTACCTGTAATCAGCCCAGTTTTCAGCACAGTCTTCTTACTGTTGACACAACGATCTCTTACCTTCCTCAGCTGAGCCATTACCAACATAAACCAAAAGCAGGGAGGCTTTTATACAATAACAAGCACGGCTGTGCAAAAATGCACCAAGAGCCGAGCACGGGAGGGGCGCTCTCTGCAGATACTCTCCACTATAGCAACCGCAAACTTCACGTCTCCTCTGCTTTACTGTTTCTCAATCCTGGGAAGGACACGAGTGGAAATAACAAATGCTTGAAGCAGCGATGCTTATAGTTCACGTACCTTGATCAAGTCTGTTTATAAGAGTTCGGCAGGCTGCTTCTGTCTCGGGACTGGGATTATCCAACACCTGCCGGCACCATTTTAAAGGTGAGGCCGTTTTCTGATCTGTAGTAGATTTTCTCGGGGACACATAGAGCCTTTGCAAGGGTTGAAAGGAGACAGTAAAAAAAATGCTCATTAACTCAAAGCATACAGCCAACAAAGTAGCATTTACAAAAGTACACCTAACAGTAAGGAACAGAAAAACTATCCAAATTAAACACAGGGAAAAAAATAAATTGTATGCTAGGACTCAGAAACAAAATTGACTATCACGATACTAAAATTCACTTGAAAAGGGCTTCACAGAAAAAGCACAGAGCCTCCCAAAGGCAAGGTTCAGCCTGGGCTGCTGGAGTACATTCACCATCACCCGCACCCCTGCCTCTGCCTCCACTGCCCCCCAGATCTCCTGACAAAGACAGCAAGGGTGAGGAGGTGCTTCTAACTTGAGATTCAAGGTGATCTCGTTTCAGAAGTCTAACTAGTAATTATCCCATTAATTTCTGAAAACTCCTCCTGTTTAAAAGATACAGAAACATACTACGGGACTCTCTGTTGTCAGGCGTCCTACTCACAAACACAATGTTTGGCCAAGATAAAACATACAAACAACTGGGATATTGAAAATACTGTACTGGCACCAAAACATCTATCTAACATACTGCCCTGTCTCCTATCCTGTATTACAGGAAAAATCAATCCAAAAGCTTTGCTGATGCAGAAAGCTGTTCCAGACTCCCACAGTTTTGCAGTTCGGGGCTATTGGACCAAGCAACAGCTCTCAAAAGAATGGTTTTCAGTGAATCCATCCAACCTTTGAATTCATACCTGCTTGCAGCACCCTACTGCAAAGGGTCCCACAGTGCACCGACGCACGAGGTGAAGAACCACCTCCATTCACTTGCTCTGAAAATGTCACCTGCTATTTGCTCCTGATATTGTCTGGTTCTTGGGGGATAGGGTAGAGGTGGAAGGCAATTATTCTCTATTGCCTCTTGACATGCCACTCATGACTTTCCAGACCCTAATAACATGCCTGCCCCTGGCCAGACCCATCTTTTTCAGGGAGTAGAGATTCAGTCTCTTTAGTCGTGTCTCATACAGAAGCTTTTCCATATCAACCTTCACACAAAGCCACATGCAAATAAAAAAAATCTAATTTGCTATTGACAAAATAAATGCTAAGAGACATGAACACAAATATTCCTGAATATGCACTGTTATCTTTCATAAAAGACCCCACAAGCATATCTTGCTGCTTTTCTGCATGGGTAAATGAGCATTACAACCACTCAGATCCAATAAAACAGAGAAAGCAAAGCACTCTCTCTCTGGATTTATTTTACAGTTCAGACCAAAAAAGCAGCAATAAAACCATCAAACGAAAAAAAAAAAAAAAAAAAAAAAAAAAAAGAGGCCAACAGTCTCCTTAGGGCAGGTCACGCTGTTCTTCACATATTTTAGGTTAAGGGAGAAAATCCTGCTCTACTTCAGGACGTTGTTGTACTACCCACCTCCTCCCAGGCTTCTAATCATGTTTCTACCCAGGACTATCAGCTGAAAATGAAAACACTTGTCTGATTGCTGGAACTGTTTCCACATGGAGCAGAGCTACCTGCTCCCCGGGGTGTCCGAGTCCTCTGCAGTCTGCCAGAGGACTCTCCTTTCTCAGCTGACAAGTCTACTGGCAAGAGATGGTCTCACTTACAGTGTCACCAAACTCAATTAAGTAAGTACAACTCAATCCTTCCGAGCACTGACAGGCAACTTAGAGAAAAGAGGAATTCTGGTTTGATTCCACAGCATCAGGTTTACTGTGAGGGCTCAACATACTTCACAAGCTAACTTTTCAAAAAATGCTGCCATAGCTTATTCTTCTGGAGCACTGCACACCATCAACCGATTAACTAAAAACACCAGCCCCACAAGCAGAAGTGAATATTTTTCTGGACACACTATTACCAAAAAAGTCACCTTTGACTAGAGGCTCCCCCCACCCAGTGTCATCCCCGTTAGCCCCCGCGGCACAACTGCCACCGCCAGTCAGGCCAGGTTCATACAGCACCACGCTTCCAGCTGGACTAAAACAGGCTTTTGTGATGAAATTCTGCATATTTTTAAACGGAGCAGAGTGAGTTCAGTTTATTTCTGGTAGTTTTATCCTCTAAGGCTGTTTGATATTTCAGGTTAACATAATCCAATAAGCACTGGAAAAAATGTACTCAGGCGCGCCGTAAAGTACGCATAGGACTGCCAGTTTACGTGTCAGCCAAAGTCTTTTGCATTTAGCAAACACCTGATTACAGAATAAGCTTTACCTTGCATTTTGTTCCTACAGCTCAGCAGTTTGGGTGTGAAGCATATTCTGTTTGCATGACAAAAGGTTATGCTTTGAATATTTTGTCAAACTGCGAATGACAATTAAGTAGTTTGGGTAGTTACGAGGCTTAATACAAAATTCCAGAAGTGAACATTTGGGCATATATTCTCAATTTGATGTATTGGGGTTTTGCTGCATAGCTTATTAAGTATGCCTAAGATTTTCTTCAGCTGCTGTGAGGAAACAAATAAAGCATCGTTAGCTTCTGCTTACTAGTGTGTGGGTTTCACTTTCCCATATAAAGTATTTTATGAACTGCACCCCTGGTAAGAGCTAAGTCTTTTTAGTTGTGCAGCAAGCATGACAACAGATTCTTTTTCCATTAGGAACGCAGGCACTCAAAAATAAATTAGTGGGATTCTTTGCGCTTTATGCTGATACATTCCAATGTACTAAAAGCAAAGTATCTTCCAGAGATACTGTTTTTCTTTTGGGGTCAATGTCACAGGAGGACTTACAGGAGTTAATGGCCACTATCGTTTGACTTTGAGGATACTGATTTGAATAACCCCCCCCCAAGAATCTAGAAAATACTATGACAACTTGAAGTTTTTTAAAAGAACTCGCAACAACAGGCTTCACGGTTCATCTCCTGTGAAGATCATTATTTTTTTTTAAACTGTAAGGTTTTTTTTGTTTTAGTAACACATCAGATCAATTATGACAGTGCAAGCCAGCAGTACCTGAGAATAAGAGCCTAATCACACAGAATATTTGCACTAGTAAATCTATAGATCATAAGAAGAAAACCGAGGCAGCTGAAAGCTCTGTAACTAGATCACTAGTAAATTAAACTGAAAGTAAAATGAACCTCAGTTTAAGACATGTGCTCGGTTTATTACACATCTTCCACAGCACTTGGCACCGGTAGCTACAGCGCTACCAAAAATGGCAGACACTGCACTGATTTTCAAACCTTTCGAGTTATACACATCAAAGCAAGGAGAAGGAGACCTGAGGCAGCTAAACACGTTAAGAACAATTTACAAGACACTCCTCCATGAAATGCTAAGAAGGCAGCTAAATTTTTCTATAAAGCATGTATTTCAAGCAAATGGTGCATCATTTTTCCTTTCCTTTATGTATCAGACTTCAGAGAGTTGGTTTGCAGATTTACTACTGTGCTTATGCTGTTCTAATCTCTAATCTAAATATTACTGTTGAACAGAAATACCAATACTGACGATACAGTGGTGTGGAAAGTGACACGGAAACAATGCTGTCCAGGTCTTGAAATGATGGAAGCACAAAAGGAAAAAATTAGAAAAATCCTGTGGAAAACACTCTACACAAAAACATTATAGTATTAGTCCAAGCAGAGCTTTGAGCCTTTATTCACAAGAAATAGAAATTGGAAAGAGAGGAAAAGAATTATAGTGCAAAACCCAGAGGAGGCACTGCTTTTTCATGTCTCCCTAGTGACTAATCCTGCTGAACAAAATAGCACAAACCTAGTCCCTAAATCACAGAAGCTCTACACACCCCATCAGCTTAATAATCTGGTGACACAGGCAACAGTCTGCGAGATGATCACAGGGCACCCTGGGGACAAGCTCAGGGTCGTGCTGCAGGTGCAGTGCCCAGGGGCGCAGCAGCATCGAGAGGCTTTTGCCTCCGCCCCGGCAGCGCAACCGAGCGGGCACACCGCCCTGCCCACACCTCATCGTACAGAACGAGCCGGGAGTCAATACCTCAAGCACTTCGGTGAGAATTCAGGCATTTTAAGCCGTCAAAAGCAACATAACCTGTGGAGACAAGCAGGTAGATTTTTCCTTTCAGCTGACTCCGCTCTGGCACTGGCAATTGCTGGCAGCAGAGACTGCGGGCGGTGCTGCTACCTTAAAGCTGGGCACAAACGGGTAACGCGCTACTCAGACAAGCTAGGCAGTCAGGAGATGTTTTTGATAAGCCATCTGTACATTATTTAATGTAACACAGCTAACCGATCCACTGCTAAAAATACCTCTGGAAGGTTTTCGTAAAATGACCAGTCTGAGAAACTAAGACCTTGCAAATTACTGTTTCTAAGTCCCGTAGAGTCTTGTCAGCAGGGAAGGATCGCAGGCAAACTAATCCCTGGCCTGTGGAAACGTACAAATTGATTATAGAGAGGAGGGAGTTAAAGTTTTCCCCAAAGCTAGAGGCAGAAGATGCCATATTTTTCACGATGCTATATTGGTATAATACCTGAATTTTGTGCAGAGTGACATCCTCATTTGGTGGAGCTTCTCCAGAAGATTTCTTCCTATCTCTGATGGTGCAAGCAGCTAACAACAACGATATCCTGCAGTATGTTGAATTAAATGCCCTAAGACATTAATATAGAAGCCCACTGGACATGGGGCTGAGGCTGAAAACACGCAGCCCCTGGAAACTCCAAAGTAGTAATTTATTCAAGCAAAGCATACTCCTTCTTCCTACAAAGACTATTTCAAGGGCACCCTACTCGCTGTGTTGAACTTTTGGAATCAAGCGGGTGACAAGACAACACTAAGGTGAAGGCAACACAACCTGTTTTCAGTTGAAAGACAGGCTTTTGGGAAGGAAAACTGCGCAAGGAGTGGGTGTAGCAGCAACACAGGGATTCACCTGAGTGATGTGTATTTCTCCTCCTCCTTCCCCCACAAAAACACAGGAGCATGTTAGGTGAGTAGAGATGTACATTCATGTACACACCCATCATATTTTACATATTCTTCTAAGAGGAGCTCAGCAACTTAAAAGAAACTTGAAGAAAAGGTTCTGTTACATGGATTTGCTTGATTGTTATGGTGTGCTTCGGGGTTTTTTTTTTGTTTGTTTGTTTGCTTTTAAAAAAAAAAGCAGAAAAAAAATACATAGAAAGCTTATCTGAAGCCCTGCTGGCAGTTTCGGTACTAGATGAAGATCTCAAGCGACAGCAGCAGCAATACTGGGGAGACAGGTAAAAGGGCCTCTTCCCTTCGTCAAGGAGAAAACCTAAAGCTGTTCAAGGTCAGGCACGGACAGAGAGCTTGGGACTCATCCCATCAAAGGAGATGGAGGCAAAAATAGTCTAATCCAGTAAAAAGGAGAAGGAATACTGAAAAAGGTTAAGGCTTTTCACTCCTCCCATTTCTTTATCTCTTTCTTTCATCCAATGACATGTTCATAAGAACACTTTATAGTTCAGAGGGGGTTGGAATTTTTATCATTTCATCGCAATTCCAAGTCAAAATGCTCTCTCCCAAGTCTTACCAGGAAAAATAACTGACAGTTGGCAAAACACCAGAGAAGTAGCATGGGAATGCACAACAAAACACTGAACACAAATCACTGCACGAAGAACAATAAACTAAACGCACAGAAAACCACAACTTAATTTTTATACACGGGGAGCACCGAAGAATGACAAACAGCAAAGAAGACAAACACGGTCACGCTACTGCAAGCGGATCTTTTGTTCCCTTCCCCAGGGGTAAGAGCCTTTCCCCAAACCACCGCCGAAGCGCAGCGCAAGGCAGCGAGCTGGGAACCGCCAGCGGGCAACCAGCTCTGCAGCCCCAGGTGAGCATCCCGCTGAACTCGGCAGCACAAAGCCAACTTTCACTTGATTGGGTCTCAGGGATATTTACAATTTTGAATAGCTATTTGAGAAAGCGACCTAAGAAAGCAAGTCAAGGGACAGACTCCAAAGAAGTACAGAGTTACAGCTACGGCAGGTGATGCAGTACCTCATGTTTCACGGGGGGTTCAGTCATTGCAATGTTGTTTTTAAAAACAAAACCTCAGACCACCCAAACGTTGCTGAAGCCAAGGGAAGCTGCACAGGAACATTTGCAAGCTTGATCCAAATAACACCAGTAATTTTGTAACAGCACAGAAACTGAGACTCCATCTGCACCTGCAGAGAAGAGCAACGAAACCTCTGACCCCCTCCCTGCTTCTGCCCTGGCCCTCCTAGGGCAATGGTTTTTGCTGTGACCACTGCAGCTCAAGGGGCAAAAACCCACAGGGTAGATGTAGCTAGAGGTGTCAAACCTACTAAGAAGTCATGGGGCATAAGCACAATACCGCAACAGAAATTAACCCTGAAGTGTGGAACTGTTCTTAAAACAAGAACGACGTGGAGACAGAAGAACCAAAGCCTCTCTTTTTAAACACTTCCCGCTCCCCACCCCCTGTTTTAAAGACTCTCATACTTTAAAAGAATACAAAATGAGTTGTTAGTATTCTTTAAAGTATAAAGCATCATCCCCTCTACTAGAAAATACTAAAGAAAAGGTCAGCAAACCAAAAGGACCAGGCTGTTAAAATTTATCAATTCAGGCAGTGACGGGAAAAGACAAAGCCACTGTGAATTTCTCAGAAATTACCAAGAATTGTAAGTATCAAAGTATACATGACATGTTCCAATATTAGCTGCAGTTTTTTTCCTATTGTATAATATCAAAAAAAGGACTGCAACTCTAACAACACAGTAAGCTATTCACTTTGACTAATACACTGCTTGACACATTTAGATTTTACTTCCATCCAGGTAGTACAAAATTCCCCCCAATCACCAAAACCACATTCTTAAAGTTGATCCTAATTCCATATAGCATGAAGGGGTTTTGGTTGGGTTTTGGGGGTTTTTTGTTGTGTGTGTTTGGGGTTTGGGTTTGTTTTTTTTTTTTTAAGCAGCAGCCCACCCTCTCCCCCAAGCCCCGTTTTCTGTTTATTGCCAATAGGAACGCCTGAATATCTGCATGGACAGCATGAGACGTGCTTATGAAGAGAACTGAGGATATTTGGCAATAAGCACAGCTATGCACTATTGACTGTACACACATTATTTGTTCCCTGCTTTCAGCTGAAGGGCTCTAGAACAAGAAGCCATCGTAAAAACAGCTTATCAAGTTAGACAAGACAAAATCAAACCAGACTGAAGCGATGCAACACGATCAAAGGTAATTTATGATAACAGAACTTGCACAAGAGCTCCGTAATACCACCTTTATTTAAGCTCCCTGGGGCACCTCTTTTTAATGTTAGCCTATATTAACCAAATTTGACAAGAAAACAGAGGTATCAAAAACGTGACGATCCTACAAGGTCTAGTGAGAAGGTTACCTGGTAAAGAAGAACGACCTTATTAGCCACCAGCTAGAGGAAAGGTTAATAAAGCGAGCCTCAGGCTGCAGAATCTCTCCCGATGGCACCGGACAGTATTCACTGCCCGTGTAAATCTCAGACTCCATCTGGTTTCTTTACCAAGTCAATATAGTTTGAAGAATCTCTCACGTCACGGGTTATATAAACATGAATATAAAACTAATGTTTTCATTAACATGGAAATAATGAAGCTCGTCTTCCACATTCAATTGTTAAATATATTCCCTTATCTTTTCTTAAAAAAAAAAAAAACAAAAAAACAAAACAAAAAAAATCAAAACAACAAAACACTCAGAATGCTGTTTAGATATGTTAAAGAGTTGCAAGTTAGAACCAGTATTTGGGTTTTAAAAGAAAGTTTGCAAAGAAAAAAAAAAATCTTGTTTTTAATATAACCTTGAACTTAGACTTGAGCTCACGTCATTATGTTATTGAGCTCCATTCCATTAACAAAAGTTTACCTTCACTTATAATGGCTAATGAATTTTTAGAGTTTAAGATTTATTTTGTATTCCACAATCATTCTGCAGCACTGTCTTCACTGCCAGAATATTTTCTAGCTACACAATTTTGAAACACAATTTGCAGATTCCTGAGGCTATCCGACAAAGTCTTAAAATTAAGAACTCTGGGTAAAATCTCAAGTCACAGCTATTGCATGAGCTGGAATTAGACTTGAACTTTAACTAGCTTTGGAAGGGCAAGGGACACTAATCTGCTGATTTAGAAAACAAGTTCTAAACAAGAGCGCTGGTGAGGCAGAGGGTCCTACAAAGTAAGGTCAGTTAAGGATTACATCACTGATCTGTTTCAGTTCATGTCCCTAAACAAAAGAAAGAGGTTAACTGCGAAGAAACAGAATTCGGGGAATTGGAAAAGATTTGTTTTCTTAGATACTAACAAAAGCCACAAATTCCAGGCAGTCTAAGGTCTCGGTTTGTGTTTTACAAAATTCTTATTTAAATACAGTATTTGACAGTTATGTACAAAGCTTAAAAACTCCATTATTCATGCATCTGTGTGCCTTACACATAAATAAACTAAGAGGGAAAGGAAGTTTTCTGTGCTAGCTATAGCAGCGAAAGGAAGAAAGGGTGAAAGACAAGCCTTATGAAGTGATTAACAAAATAATGCTCTGGCACAATGGTCTTAACAGTAAGAATAGCCAATAATAAGAACCGTATTCTTGCTGTTAAAAATCAAAGCGCTGTACAGAAATCACTTTATACCCTTAAAAATTACTGCACTCCTAAACGCAGAAACTCCCAACCACAGCAGTGTAAGTTCCATACATAACTAAAGTTTCAAGATACGTACCAGCTATCTTCTTCTTCATTGCAATTTTCAAGTTCTAACACTTTCACTTCATCCAGGTCTGTGTTATTCGAAAGACCTTCTAGATCTCCACATTTTGCATTGGGATTTTGTTCGTTTATTTTAACTGAGGAATCAAAACCTGCAATGACCAAGTTTCCCACAAGCTCTGTGCTACTACTTGTATCCGTACGTGAAGAACACCTAACGCGATCACCGGTCTCCGTTTCCACCTCACACACGCTGGAAGACAATTCCTCAGTGGCACTGTTGCAGCTATATTGCATTTGGGCACCTATGTCTTTTTTGAAGCAGTTGTGCTCTCCTTCCTCCCTTCTTATTTTGCTCAACTGGTTGTGCAGATCCGCCATGATTTGCAATTCTTGCTTCTCAGTTATCGCATTGATGCTATTGTGAATTTCCATCCCATTAAGACCAGAGCCGTGGTTATCCACACCAGTATGGCTCTCACTCTGCACGTTTGTCCCAAGCACGCCCCTGCTACCCTTCGTTCTCGGGTGCTGATTCTCCATCTCCAGCCTCCTCACCAGCTCCCGCAGCTTTCGCACCTCCTCTAGCTCTGGGCCCACCTCCGCGGGCGCCGGCTCGGGGTCAGGGCCCATGGCAGAGTTCTCCGTGGAGTCTCGTCCTAAGCCAGGCTCCAGAGCATGATCCTGCTGGATAACCGGGGCGCTTCCGGGCACCACCATCATCCAAAACGCACGGCTTCACTGCAAGACATGAAAAGCATCTAAAGGCTCCACAGAGAGGCACAGTATGGCAGACAAACTGGAATTAAACACCAAAAATTCTGACTTTTATAAGCATAAACTAATTACACTGGGGCACAAGGTGGCTGAACTTAATCAAAGTCTATTGAAAAAGAACAACTGAAATTGGTACGAAACATTTCAACAAACGCAGATTACTCACTTTAAACAGCTAGGATGTGCAATGATTATGCTACAAATTAAACTGTATAAAAGGAAGCCGATTTAATCATGCACAATAGTTTAGTTTCCATCTGTTTACAAACAAAATACATGAGAAAAGCACTGATTGAGCAAAGTCAGGAAACATAATTAGCGAGGTGCTGACGTCAGACAATGACAGCATTAAGAAAACGGTAAAAACATCCTTTGTTCATTACCAGGCTTATCCTGGAAAAGCAGAAAAAACCTGAAAACATTTCTGTATCAACTTATACCAGAGACTAACGACAGGAACTGCAGTGACTGTGGTACACAAAAATAAGCATAACTAATGTCTGTACTGGCATATTCTCCTGTTACAACTGAAAAGAGAGAGGCCAGCTCTCTGATGCAAACACAGCAAAGAACAGAAAAAAACACAGATAAATATATCACACCACAGATTACATATTCCAATAAGTTTCATAAAATGAAGCCATCTTTCTGCTTTTCCTGTCTTCAGGGCTACGATTCATCCTGTGGTCGTGTCGAGCAAGGAAGAGTGTGCAGAGCACCCTCACTCAGGCAGCTTTAATCTGCAGAGGTATTCAGGCTTCCCAAAAGCTGTAAAATAATGCTGGTGCACTTAACACACAATTTTACACCACTCACTGAGTAACAAGCAAACGCTGTTTTTTTCCCTGCTAGTGATTTACATGAGTTTTCAGTTCCAATGGGTGCCCTCATTTCTGAATTGACTCTTCAGTGAAAAGCCCCGAATATCAGATTAATGTTCCACAGAGCAAGTAAAATGGATTCCCCTAAAAAAATTAAAAATCCTTTCTATTTTGCAGGAGGGCAAACAGACAGACTGACAGAAGAGGGAGTTAGACAACACAGCCAATTAAAAGTTTAAAAGATCTGACGCAGGCACTACAACTGCATTTGAACCCTGATTTTTTGTGACTGTAGATGTTCTCTCCTCCTTTCCTTTGCTGTCTGAAAACTTCTCCTGGTTTTAAGGCCTAACTGCCAGCAGGTAGAGGAAACCACAAAAATTAAATGTCACACAAAGCAAGCAAGGTTGAAAATACATACACTCCCCCATACACACCTTAGCATCTCCCTGTTACTTAGTTGTTTGTAACAGCAGTAACTGAGTACATTTCCTAAAAAATCCACGTTTTAGTGCTTTGGATTTTTTTTTTTTTTTTTTACCTGACAGGTGTTTTTTTATTTTGGTCCTCCACACCAGATGAAAATTTTAAGCTTATGTTTGAATTAATAGAGAACACAAAAGCACTTACAAAGAGCTGTAGGTGAACAGAGATGACTGCAGCGCACTTTAAACACAGCTTTCAAAATCACGCCTGTAAGAAGCACTGAAGTCATTTTGACTCAGGGAAATTTAATTTGTAGTTACCAAGCAATCTGATTCCTACTCACATGCCCACTTCAAAACAAAAAAGAAAAAAAAAACCCGTGCGCATCCTCACTCCTACAAAATCATCCGATTTCTCGACGAGCAAGGAAACTAGTGTGATTTCCAAAGACATTTCAAAGCCATTGCTCAGTGACTCGCTGAGGATGTGCCAGCGGGGAGTTTAGGAGTTCTACTGTCAAAAGCAAAACACAAAGACCCAAAGGGGGGGAAAAGCAGCGAGGTCTGTCACCCGAAAAATCAGCTCCCCTCCGAGGCTGAGCAGCTGCAAAAACTGCTTTTGCCTTCACGGAGGGGGTAGGGGGGCAAACATATTTAAACCATTTAGCCTTTTCCCACAACCTGTAAGTCTAAAACCCACCCAAGTGAAGCAGCAAGGATACAGGAGGGAAGAAAAATATCAATCTGTAAAACTTAATTTAATTGTGTAGTGGGCTGGGGGGGAAAAAAAAAATGAAAAAGAAGAAAGCCACATTTCAAGCCGCTACTGTGTCGGAGACAATAATTTGGAGTTTTTCAAAAAGACATCCGGGTTTTTAACGGCAGGTTAACGGGTTCTCCTCAGCGCAGCGGACGAGATGCAGCTGTGGGGGGAACAAACGCCTCCTGCGAGGAACCCCCCCCCCCCTCAAAAAAAAAACAAAAAAAAAAAAAACAAAAAAAAAAAACCCAAACCCAGGGTTCCCGCCGCCTCCCTCCTCCCGCCCGGCCCCCGCCGCAGCCGTGGACAGCTCCCGGTGCGCGGGCACGGACCGCTGAGGGAGGAACCGGGGAGGAGGAGGACGGTGAGGGCGGGGAGCGGGTCGCCGCCCGCCCCGGGTGCTGGGGGGGGGGGGAGGCTGCGGCGCGGGTGGGAGCCCCACGGGTGGATCCGGTTGTTGGGGGGGGGGGGGGGGGCGGTGTCTGTGAGGGGAGCAGGGCGCGACCCTCCCGAGGCGCTGCGGGGGGTTCGGGCGCGGCCAGACCACGCCGAACCGAAGCGCTTCCCCCCCCCCCCCCCCAGCCCTTCCCCCTTCATTCCCCTCACACACCGTACCTGCTGCCGCGGCCACGGGTGGGCAAACACCCACCGACCGACCGACCGACCGACCGGCCGCCCCCCCCCCCCCGCCGCCGCCGCCGCCTTCTCCGGACCCTCAATCGCAAACGGCGGGAGGGGGAGACGCCGCCGCCGCCGCGCGCATCCTCAAGCCCCGCCCCCTCCCCGCGCGCCCCCGTTACCGGGCGGTCGCTCTGCGCCTGCGCAGCCGCCCCCCCCCCCCCCGCCCTTTTTCTCTCCTCTCCTCAGGCGGCGGCGATGGCGGCGCGAAGCGGAGCGGGGAGAAGCGAAGAAGCAGCGGCGTTTCCAGCCTTGCCCGGCCGCCGTTCCCCCGCGATTTTTCGCAGCGGTGGGTGCCGCCCGTCCCCGCGGTTCTCCCCGGTGCGGGGAATAGCGCTGGGGTTTACTAAGGGTTTCCTAAAGGTTTCCTAAAGCTCGGCGGTCTGGGGAGGAGCGCTGCCTGTCAGGGAGGGGTGAGGGAAGGGGAACGGGGTCTCTCCTTGTGCCTACGGTCCGGAAAAGAAATACGTAAAATAAAGATAAGCGGAGGGATTTCCCGAAGCTGTGGGGAGCCTAGCGCCGCAGGCCACGGCTTCCCACAGTTGCCATCGTCCTTCTTTCCACATCCTGCGCCAAAATGGGCATGTTAGGCCCAAATGCACCCGCTGGCATCTTGATCGGTGTTGGAGGATTTCTTGGGGCCATCGAGGAAAAGGGCTCTGAGGAAAGGGGAAGGCTCCTGGTGAAAGGAGAGCTCTTGCTTGTCGGTGGAAAATATGTGACCTCACCCATCACGTAGGAGAAATCTGCGTGCAGTGATTCTCCACAAACACATGGCGATACCAGCAAACGGGAAGATTTAAATCTTTAAATATTTTTTTTTTTTTTTTTGGAGTGGGGAGGGGTAGGGCAGCAATTCTTCAAAGTTCCGGCCGAAACAAATGAAAGCATATTGTTTTTAGAATAGCTGCAGGTTCCTTTTGGGTGATACGCGCCTTTTGGGAGGGAAATGCCATGGGACCAGTTGTGAGCCTGATCCCGGGAAACGGGTGAAGAAGGGAGAGGCAGGACCGCGGCGAGCAGGACTGCAGAGCCCTGCCTGGACACAGACGGGGGGAAATTTCCAGATTAAGGCCCAAAAGCACATTTAGGATGGTACACTGTGGCTCAAGGCTCCCTTTTCCCCAGGTAACGGCAGGTTTTCGGAGCAACCAGGCTTAAATTGGGGGACTATCAAATCCCATATTTGCTAAGCCCATTTGCTGAACCCACCCCCTCCTCGGAGAATCCCTTTTCTCTCAGGTGCCCTTTCTTCTCCTCGCCCCATCTTCCAACGGACCATTCGGTGGCTCTACTGATGGGTCATGCCCCTAAGCCACCCAGAAACTAAAAATGTCAAAAAATGGCTCAAAGGGCACCCAAGAGGAGCGTGTTAGGCAGAGATGCAGGCGAGGAAGCTGCACGTGAGCTTGGACCGTTTATTACCGAGGTTAAACAACTGCTACAGGGAAAGGCAGCGCTGAGGAGCAACGGTGCAAAACATACGATGGACAAATCCCACTCCCCACAAGGAACCCGTCAGGAACTCTGGAATCGGTGAATACGTTATTTCTGCAGAGCATCTTTTCCACGTCCAGCTGTAGTTACAGGCCCAGCTGCTTTGGTAATTTAAACAATCCCCCTTTGACCGTGGCCTGACGGGACGTGTGTACCAGTCATTCCGCAGCCCTGCTACAGGTACCAGTAAGGAACCACTGGCTGTGGTTTTCAGAAATGAGCCATCTGGGGAGATGAGCTGCTTTGTGACGCTCTTCTGTTCAGAAAGTAACATCTCTTTAACATCTTGATAGCTTCAAACCGTAGGCAGCCCGGATTAGTAGCTATTTTTGAAAACCACACTTTCTTGACTGCTGGGGTTTCAGGTCCCTGGGTTGTACCACGCATGCTCAAACTGGAGCTGCCCCATCCCCGGTCACGGACGCAGCTTTAAGGTCTCAACCTGATGCTTGGCAGTAGCTGAGCTGTTACTGGTTCCAGCTGGAACTCCCTCCTGGAGTTGCTTCTGAGGTCATGCCTATAGTTCGGTTAAATAACTGGTACAGTGGCCTAAAAAAAGCTAAGTAGCACTTGTGCCATAAAACACTAACTTGCTAAGCTTTTGCATGCATGCCAGCTTCCATCACTAAAAGAATTATGTAGCTAACACCAGTCTGCATTAGAGCTTTTGCCATCACCTATTTCCACACAAGAGCTACTACAGAACTGACCTGGGTTCTTTGCAGACATTCCTAATGCTTGCAGAGAGAAAATAACTCTCTGGGCACATTCAGAGCTGTACTTTTAAGGCACAGAGGCTGGCTTTCAGGTCTCGGTATTCAGCTTTCTCAACTTCTCAGCATCTGAATTAAGGGCTAAAATTATGCAATTTTGACTTTCGGTAAGTACAGCATCTGCGAGAAGTTCAATTTTGTGAGTGAGCATTTGTGATGTAAATAATTTACAGCGGTAAGAGAGGCACTGCAGCAAGCCTTGGCAAGGTGGGAGGAAATTCAGATTTCAGTCAAGCAGTGCTCCTTGTCAGGAGAGGCAATTGAGATACCTATTCTCTGGCACATCTTGTACGGCCACGAGACACCTACCATCAGAGGCCGAGTTAAACTACCAGGTGAAAGAGAGTGTTATCTTCCCAAACAGACAGCAGACACACATGCTGCTGCAGCAACCCACTAGGGAATAGGCAGGAAAGGGAAATTAAGGCTGACACGCAATTAGAGTAAAGTGAGTCTGCAAGTGCTGCTGAAAGCCCATGGAAAGCAAATGGAAATCAGGCAGAAGCTATTTCTACACAGAATTTGGGGGTGAGCGAAGCAGAAATAGGCTTTTGCTAAGAATTAAATTCAAACCCTCCCAGGAATCCAAATTTAGTGCTTAACACTTCTTGTATCTGCTTGCTTTGTGCCGGCTCACACACGCTCAAGCTGCAGCCTGATTGCAGAAATGAACGGAAAAAAATAAAACATAATCCGAAAAGGTTTCTCGCAATTAGCTTAGATAGGCCTAAGGAGCTCGCTCTGCCTGACTTCCAACACAGGGAGCACTCTGGAATCTTAATGAAGCTAAAGACAGGCAGAGGGGCTCAGCACCTTTGGAAAATCAGCCCACTTATCTTCGTAGATGACGCTGCCTTATCTTGTTAACGTTGGCACTTGTCTTATTTGCAGCTGACAGCATAAACTAGCGGATGTTAAACTCATTCATTGTGATGAGGCAGTGAGAGGGAAAATAACTTGAGGGAAAGGGGGAGCAGGAATTCTGCTATCTTAGCCAGTCAGGAACGGCTAGATACATTCTGATATGTGCTGCTGAGGACTTTCCACGGGTTGCCTTCTCCAGCTTTGCAAAACCCTGCAAGCAAACAAAGAGCAGGTGAACACGGGAGCTGGGTACCACAGAAAACACTGCCTTACAGAGAGAGGTCAGTGGAGCAGATGAGCGTCCAGGAACGGGACCAAAAAGGCTAGTCAGTCACACTGCATCAAGAGGCAAACAAAGCAGGGGGGTTTGCAGTGAGGCAGGTGCCCCTTTCCCTCCTTCTCTCTACCACGGGGCAGAGGGAGGGACAGAGGCCTCTTTTTACACCCTCCGGGCAGTGGCAGGGCTTTTGGTTGCCACCGTGGTGACCCCTGCTCCCTCCAGATCATCCGACAAAACACAGGTCCCGTATCCAACCTACTTCCTTGGTGCGTGGACAAGAGAGCGTAAAACTCTTTAGTTTTCCCACTGGTTTCCATCTCAAAGGACCTTTACGTAAAGCGGTAACCGTACCTGGCACGGACACGCTGCCTCCGTGCCGGAGGAACGTTACAGCTGCAGCCAGCACCCAGGGCTAGCCCAGGAGGAGCTCTTTAATTACCTTCAGAGAGGACTCTCAACCTCCAGGGGACGTTTCTCTCATCACTCAAGCCAGCCCTCTGCTTGTCTCCCCCACGTGAAGCTAACACAGCCTGTTTGTCACATTATGACCAGAGATTCTGGGTCTAACCAAGACCCCTGGGACCAGCTCTAGCACGTTTCTAGCTAATTCTGCAACAAGGGTCGCTGCTTCCCACTAAAAAGCAGGAGAATCCCTGTATGGGTCACTCAGTAACTGCGAGGGTTAGATGTTCTTCGTTCATTCAGTAAACTCTGTGAGCGCTCTCATCCAGCCATTTATTCTGACGCTGTAAAGGGGCACTCACCTAGAAGAGTTTCTCGTAGCACTTGTCACAGTGGACAATGTCCCGGTGGATGAATATTTTATCCAGAAGATCTCCCATTGCTTTATGGCAAATTCCACACTGCCAAAGGGAAAACAAGGTGGTTGGACAGTAACCAAAGCACCACGACAGCGTGGAGGGGGGCAGAGAAACCAACAGTCCCTGTATCGTTTGATAAAGGTGTGAGGGTGCCAAAGCAGCGACCTTTGAGGCTAAACTTTTCCCCAGCAAAGGCCACTGCAGACTTTCTCCTCCCACACTCACCATCTCCACAGACTTTACTTGCAAATTTTACCAGGTTTGAGAGATTCAGCAAGACCTGCACGGGGGCACAAAAGCCACAAAGCAGCAGGTCTGCCACAGAGACAGGGCCATGAGGAAAGAGGGTGCTGCTGCTCTATCAGATGTCAATAAAGAATTCTCCTTCTTCTAATACGCATTTATGCAAGGAGCTGAAAAACTTTCGGGGACACAACCAACACCTGTGACTGTGTGGTTTTTTTTGTTTTTTTTTTTTTTTACTGTCCCGATGTGGATGCGAGCATTTGGCACACAGTGTATACATTACTCAAAGTCTGAGGATGGAATCTGCACCAAGATTTCTCCTCCCACAACTCCATTTCACAGCAGCACCTAGAAAGCAGTCAGTAGCCAAGGTGGTTTTTTTTTTTTACCCTGAAACAGTATTCGTGGCAGCGGATGTTAAGATGCTCTATTATGATCTTAGGGCAGTCTCGGATCTCACGGCTGCAGTAGCTGCAAACAGGTTCACTGGACCTGTGAGAGAACAGAAGAGTGAATTCCCCTGTAACACAAGCTGGTTCCAGTCCCAGCACTGGTACCAGAGGTTTTTTACCAAACACCAGCACCGCCTTCCAGGAGCTGCCTGCTTCTACTTGTGTTTGACTGTGTCAAGTGACAGTACAGAGGGACATGTGTTATTCCGGGGATGCAGAGACCAGTGCAGATTTTAAAGTCAACGTCACTGTATTTACCCAAGATCACTTACACTTTGTGCTGTTACTTCACCAAGCACAGACCAATATTCTAAAAAAGCAAAACTTTCAAGTCATTTTTGTTTTAACGGTTTGCTGACCCCGCCCTGGGCAGCCCTGAACTGTCCTACCTCTGCAGGGGAGCGCTGGGCAGGTAACTGTGGTGGCTGTAGGTCACTCTCTCCAGATCAGTCAAATCCGCAAGGCTGCCACCGGAGACAGAAAGAAATATCAGCACCTGACAGTGATTTATGGGAAGGGCATCCCGGCTGGAATCGTTAATCATTAACTTAAAGTCCTAGCTGCAAGGTCCCAGCTGCCTGCTCCCTGGAGAGAAGGGTGCTCCTTCCTAACCAGCCCTGAAAAAGCGTTTCCCCGACAGGGAAGGCCACGGCGACTGACGGAGCGGGGCTGTCAGCAGCGGCGTCTCCCTCTTTGCTGCACTGACGCCGCAGGGGGAGCAGCATCCCCCCCCCCCATCACCGTGCCTCGGGTCAGACCCGGAGCTGACTGTGGGCTCAGCCTGGCAGATGAGGTTTGAGGGGGGTAGGCACCTCCGAGGGCAAGCAGCGACGGCAAAAAGCTGGTGGCCCCCCCTCACCTCAGAGCACTTTCTGAAAGATGCGGCTGGCTGCTGCTGTCACCCCGGGGATGAGGCAGGATGTGGGCAGGGGGGCTGGGAAACTGGGGCACGCGCCCCAAAATGGGGCCCCTTCCAGCCCCAGGGGGGTGGCACAGGCTCCCCCAGCCTGTCACCCTCTGTGCCAGGAGGAGCAGGGGCTGGCAGGAACCTGGTGCCGCTAGTCCCACGCCAGGATCTGGCAAATGCAGCTCAGGAAGGGGCTGAGAAGGCCTGACCACTTTGCCAAAGCAAAGGGGAAGGTATTGCTCCCTCTTGCTCTTTCCCTCCTCCGGTATCTTCCCAACCACATGCTCCCACCCCCTTACTCCTTGCCAGCCATCAGGCCCCTCCACGAGCCAGGCCGTCTCACTGAAACAGCAAAAAAAGGCGAGACTGGGTGGGCTGGGAGCAGGGATAAAAAGAGGGGGAGCTGGAGAGGAGGAGGGGGAGGAAGGGCTCCCCTGTCAGCCAGAGCCCCGGCGCTGCTGCCCACGGGCCCCCAGCACGTCATCCCGCAGGCCTGGGGTTGGGACATGCGCAGGCTGTGCCCCAGACTACGGGCACCGACATATTTTTCCGCTGGCTGCCAGATGAGACTTGCAAAATCCTGCGCTGGCCGCTGGCCGGGCAAGCTGTGAAATCCTGCCTCCCACAGACTCATCGGTGAGACTTCTCTGACCTCACTGGGGGTCACAAACAGACCCTATAAGTAATGCACCTAATCGTGCATTGTTTTCTTCTGTTGACATTATTCATATGTTTAGTAGTAAAGTAAGAACTGTAGAAAATGCTTAATTGTGTCATCACATTGTAGTTGTAATATCTGTGCACTGTATTACTTTTATCTAATAAAATAAAATGGTATGAAGAGCCGACATGGAAGGATCGTGGGGGGGTTAGATCAGGAGAGAAAATGATCAGAGTATTGGGATTTCAACATAGTAGATGGGAATTTTGTTCTTTTTATGACGCGTCTCAACCGAAATTGACATTAACGATTGGACTTGACAAAATTTTCACCAATTTGGACCCAGGTGGACGGGCCACCTTTACTTAACTCGGAAAAGAAACATATATATAATTTATATGTGTTTGATAAATAGCAGCTATTTTCACTGCTTGCTAAACTCCCAAATCCTGAACTATTATGCAGGGAAAGGCACGGAACACGTCCTTACTCTCACACAGCTGAGTGTTCCCTCTCTGCCTTCCGTTTTTTAGGCGCTGAGGCAATACGCTTCTCTCTGGGTGCTGACATCTGCTTTGCCAACCTACAGGAAAGGCTAGAGATTTCTGGAGTCTGTAATCAGCTACCACAGCGATGCCAATGCAGCACGGAGGGAGGATAAGTGCCGGCAGGGAGGCATCAAACCACGTGTTAACTGGCTGCCACACCAACACCAGCACGATGTACGTAAGGCCAGATCCTGCTCTCAGTCCCGCTGGTGTCAATCTGAGTAGCTTTACTTAGTTAACTTTGAGCAGAATACAAAAGACTGAAGATTTAAGCTTGAAAATGGCATCTTTTTTTCTAACTCGTAAACAACTTCTGAGTGAGCGCCCTCGACCTCCACGGTTTTCTCACCGATTCCAATCTTTTGTTGATGTGTGCAAATGCACAGCGCAGCCTGACAGTGCCAGATACTCAGCCTAGAAAACCGCAGCGTAGTGTTTTCGTCCCATCACCCACCTTAGAGGCCAACCCACGTAAGGTGGGGGGGGGGGGGGGTTACCCCTCCACGAGGGGCTGTGGGACAGAGGTCCTGCCGTCACCGCGACGGGGCCAGACACAGAGATGGGTCCCCAAAGCAGCGCTGCCGGCTTAGCAAAACTCTCTGCCCACCCAACGTAATAATCCCTCCAGGGCTAATTAGCTGGGGCACAACGGCACGCTGACGCAGTGCTAACCGTGCCAGCTGGGAGCCTGCTCGGTGTGTGCTAGCTGGCAAAGCCACACCGCTGTTGCTTTGCACACGTATGGAGAAGCATGACCGTCTCCGGACGCTCCTCATACCTGCCGTAGCGTGGGGAGGCTGACGACTCGCTGCTGTTCACGTACTCCTTCACAAAGAGGACCCCTTTTCTAGGAACGGATGGAAACGGAGAAGCATTTGCATTAGAAAAGACCGGAGCTAATGAGAGACAGCACAAGGGACACATGTGTGCACTTGGACACGTAATGCGTGCTTGAAAAGGCACGGAGTGAGACGCTGTTGTTCTTGAATAAATACTGAGCATCAAGCATTGTTGCTAAATAACAACCTAGTATAGCCCTCGAATTAACCCACCAAACCAAATCAAGTTCATTAAAAAGAGTGGGATGGGTACCTCTTTCATCCAGTTATCCCCTGTTTTGCAAGGATAAGTCTTTTTCAGATCATGTCAGGATTACGCACACAATGAGTATTTAGAGAGCTTGGGGCTCACAGCGCTGCTCGCCGTGACTGTTTTGTCACTGGAATAATCTTCAGTGTTTTCATCCACTGTAAATTGCTCCTGGTTTGTTTGGGGGACGGTTTTGCTTACAGAGCTGAGCTTTCTTGCCTATCCCTCCCTCTTTAAAATGCCGATTTCAAAATTACGTGCCCCCCATCTGTCTGTCTGTCTGCCTACCGCTGTCACAGATCGAGGGCAGACGCAGCGCCCACCGCCCTGAAATGAGCTCAGCGGGCTCTTTCTCCAGGGTGCGCTTTCATTGCTGCCTATAGGCTATGATTAATCCTCCCTTCTTCTATGGGCAAACTAAGCCATGTCACAGCCAAGGAGAGCAAAGAAAAGCTTTTGTTTAAACTTTGCACAGACACTTCCCATGTCAAGCGTTTTCAGATGAGAGTCTCCTACGTAGACAAGTGATAAGCAGGCTGCAGCGGGGCCAGGGGCACCCCAATCTTGCCCATCAAGGTGACCTCTCGCCACCTTCGACCCCCCTCTCTAAATTGTGCAAAACTCTGCAGCAGTTTTCACCTCTGAATTGGAGCCCGTGGAAACCACAGATCCCAGAACACGGCTCTGAGCCGAGGGCTGCATGCTGACGGGATGCTGCGACCGATCAGGGGCCTGGGCCGGCCCCCCCCCCCCCCCCCCCCGAAATCTGAAACACCGGCTGTAGACTGCTCGCTCGCTCGTGCCGGGCAACAAGGCAAAGAGTCTCCCAAGAGCCCCACGCCTGTCATGAGTGTGTATGGCAGGAGGAGCTCCATCGTGGCCCTCCAGCTACAACATGTTACGGAGGACTCACAATCCTGCCACGCTGAAGAGAACAGACACAACTCCTACAGCGAGCTACATCCCGGTCTGTGAAAAAAAAGCACCCGGAAAAAAAAGTACCCACAGCCCATCTCTGTCTTTTGGGTGACTCTGGCCACCACAGCAGTGTCTGTGCTTTTGGCCAGAAGCGGCTGAGAAACGCCCCTGTCTTCCCCAAACAGGATGGCTGCGTGCAAAACCCGGACTGCAGCGGGAGGGTCAGGACCAGCCATCGCTCTTTACCCGGCAGCGCTGGAGTCGGGCTGGTACCCAGAGGCTGCTGGGCCGCTGTGGGCCAAGGTGGCCACTGGACTGCAGATCCTCTCACTCGAACCCGAGAGAAGCCTGGTGAGAGAGAGAGAGAACAGCCTGTGGGCTCTGGAAACGTGAGCCACGGCATCATCCAAGCTGGCAGGCAAGAGAAGACCCACCACTGCTGCTAGGAGGGTAGTTTGGGAGGGTGCGGTATTAAGCTCCTTAACCATACAGATTAATTTATCTTTATCACAGACCAAAAAAGGCTCCTTTGTCTTTTTACACCCGCCACATAACAGTACTACTTCCCTGGAGAAGTGCTTTGGAGAAGTCTCATTTCTAGGGCCGTGGGAGAAAAAAAATCAAACAAGATCTTCCAATAAGTACAGACCGTGAGTCACGTAAGGGAGTGGCTACGGAGAGAAAGGGCTCACAACGTGTTGCAGGAGGGGAGGTGATGGGAACGTGTGGCCAGAGTCCAACATGACTGTCCCCAGAGTAACTCTCCCCAACCGAATAACGTCAAGAGCTGCAGAAGGGAGAACGTGGCAAAACTATGGCTACTAAAATGTTTTTGGAAAACAGCTCTGCCCATCCACTCAGCTGCGAAGTTTGCCTGGCAGGGACGAAGCTGACCTTGCCTGGAGCCAGTCCCACGCTATCCAAGGATCTTGTGCCTCCTGTTCACACCCACAACACACTCCCCTTTACAGATCCAACACTCAGACCCAGGCCGGTGCCTCCACACAGTGTCAGACCGCACGCAGGTGGACTGACACTGCCATGAAGGACTGCAGAATGCCCAGGGTAACCTCCTACCCCTTCCAACAGCCTTGTCCAGGACCAGTTCAGTCACTGAATCATTGACATTCTGGAGGTAGTGATCTCTCTTGACATCTCTCTTTGCTTTTTCCTCTCTTTTTTCTTTTTTTTTTTTTTTTTCCTGTAGCCTCTGCAAAGGCCGATTTCTAGTTAAGGGAGGGCAGCCAGGGACCAGCCCTTTGTTCTCCTGTCACTCTGTTCTGGTACTCCACTGGGTGAAAATTCTCCAGAGACCAGAGATGGATGTATTGCAGACCCCGTGCTGGGTACCTTGCGCTAGGAATGGTTTAAGAGTAGTTCTGTGCCTCGAGATCACACATCCACTCGCTGGAAACCAGCCATCTCTTTCAGCTCTTGGCTTTGCTTTCTAGCTCCTCTTCAACAGGAGTTACATGGAGCTTTCCCTCACAACCATCAAGACTACCCATTTACCTGGTGCTGTTATAGTTTAAGCTGTCCATGTAGAACGGCACCCTGTGGCTTCTCTGGGAAAAGGACACGGTGGTGTCTCTGGGAAGGGAGTCGTGGCTATGAAAGGAAGTGATACAATCTCAAGCACTGAACTTGAGCACGTGAGGGATTCTCACAAGGTGCGGAGAATCTTGGCTAAATGTCTCCCTGCTTAGCATCAAAATCACCCACGCACCACAGCCATCCGCGCCAACAGCACCTCACTGCACACGCTCAGAGCCAGGGAATCGGTGAGAAGTGGGCCAGGACACTCCAGATACTGAACGAACGTAGCAGTGGGGTGTCCTCTGGGTTGGCAAGCGTGGATCCCACCCTCTGACTTCTTACCGTCCGGCCGTGGGGCTCAATTCACAGTGCCCCCTGGCACTCGCACTGTCGTATCTGCTGTTCCTAGGGCTGCTTCTCCCATCAGAAACCCCCGCTTCGTAATCTGGGGTGGGTCTGGCAAGGAAGCACAAAGCCCTGATCACATTGTGCCAGCGGTCACTGGAGTCCCCACCGTCGCTCTCCTGACGCATTCTCCCTTCGCTCTGCCCTTGGTCACCTGTGCTGGGCCTGCAGCGGCAGCATGCAGACAAGGCTCTGAGGCTAGGAAAACAGACTCCAAGTCTGGCTCTCGAGAGTAAAGCCGAAGCAGTTCATAAATGGAGAGAAGTTCGATATCGTTTCCTTCCCCAGCACTCACCGAACCCACCACTGCCCCATCTGCACGTGGGAAGTGCTGACCAGCTGGCCCATCTGCGCGTCAGACCTGCACGTTCTCACTTTTCCGAGACAGAACTCATTATCGGAATGGCTTTAACCTGTGGGCAGAGCTCAGGCTCTTTCAATAGAGAAAATGAGCTTATGGCTTATGGCCATTCTTTCCTTGCAGTGCCCTGGGGCACAGATTATGTTTATATTGTATATCGGCACTTTGATCCTGATTAAAGCTTCAGGCAACTGTATAACTTAATGTTAAACAATGCCGAAAACAGTGCAAATCAATGCGGCATTACAGAGAGAAAGAGGGACAGGCTAAACTCATCATAAGATGAGAAAAACGCTGCTCAGGGCAAGACAGGGATTTGGTCTAGGATACAAACCCAAGGGCAGGAATGAAGCGCGCGTTTCTTGCGCTGCAGAGAGGCACCAGCATCACACAGTGCCAGGGGAGGGACAACAGGCTATGGGGTACGATAAAAGTCTGTCCCACTTTTTCTAGTCTTAGTCTGCAAACGCCTCCAAAAGCAAATGAGAGCTCTGTGATACCAACTTTGTGAAAACGCTAAAGGAGGTGAGGGTTACGTTCAGCTCACATGGAGGTTGATATATATATATATATATATATGTAGTTATAAGTGTACAACTTGTCTCTTGTGTCATTGAGGGTCATGAGAAATAAAAGACAGACTGCTCCTGTATCATCACCTCTGCAGTTACAGGGGAGAAGCAGATGTGGTCTCTACCCATCTGACAGGTTTCCAGGCACCCTGTAGGTGGTCTGAATACAAGCGAGAACTCTCCGGCGTCACAGAGCACCCATCAGCTCAGATCCCCTGAACCCCTTCTTCAGCCCTTCGGGTCCAAAAGTGATCTTGTTCCGTGTGTTGGGAGACCTGGCAATGCTGTTGCCTCCCTTGGGAACACAATCCTGTTCTCACTTCTTGATGCAGCATGATCAACCAGTCCAACCTGGACCAGAGTTTCTGGCAAGTCTTTCTGCGCCAGCAGCTTTCCCTGTCTCTGCATCCCAGCCCCAAACCCTTACCTTCTGGTGCTGAACACTTGGCTGTCTACATAGGACGGTATCCTGTGACTGGGTGCTGAGAGGCTGCTGCTAAAAGGCTGGCGGTCCGTGTACAGAGGCATGAGATGCTGGCTCTCATACGCACTGAGAGCACTCTCTTTTGAGCTGAAGTCAGACCTGCTAAAGAATTAGAGCCGATGTGACCATCAAGCCAATGACTGTATTCGCTATGACCGGCTCATACAGGTGTTCAGAGTTTGCTGAGGCTGGATCGTGCCTCTTTCTACTGGCAATAAGGCAAACCTGGGACACGGCGCTGTTAATAGGTTCTTGAGGTCAGGGGAAATGGCAGAGGCCTCTACTGCCTCCCCTCACCTACACGAGCCGAATTCCCAGCACGATGAAATGCTGCACAATTCGGCAGCCTAAGTTAATTTGATAAGTGAAATGAAGCACAATCATATGTGGGTGGAATCCTAAACCCAGTATTCCTTTTGCGGGTATCATTTGACTGGCGCACACTGGGCAAGTTTGCATAGGTCCAGGACTTCAGCCAGGTTTGTATCAAGGAGCAGGAACGGCAGAGAATGAGGATTTGGGGGGGAGAAACAAAGGGATAGTCCCGCCGTACCTGGCTGCCACGGGGTGAGGCTCACTGTGTCTCCAGTCTCCTGGGCCCTCCTGGTGACCCTCTGTGGTGGGGCAGGTTTGCTCCTCAGAAGCTGGAGCGATCCTGGTCAGGGAGGAAAAAGCCTGTCAGCAGGTTTAGCAGTTGTGTCTAAACCCGTCCACTGTGGCGAGTACGTGCAGTAACATCACGGTAACGTCGGCTTCGGAATTCACTGGCCAAGAACTGAGCGTTTGTAATGGGCGACAGGGAGGGCAGGAGATGTGTGAGGCAGCAGGAAGCTTCCCCGGCCCCCGGCTCCTCACCTGTCCCGGCACGAGGCCAATTCCTTTGCACGTGGGGTCTCTGGAGCAGCGCTGCTGCTGGCTCGAGGGGGAGAGCTGGACCTGCCAAGGCAGAAGATCATTATAGTCTGCGGAAGCGCCGCTGCGTGTAGGATTACGGGAGGATGTGGAATTACTGGAGGATGTGGAATTACTGGAGGATGTGGAATTACTGGAGGATGTGGAATTGCTGGAGGATGTGGAATTACTGGAGGATGTGGAATTACTGGAGGATGTGGGTGCAACCCCCGGTGAACCTCCTGCCTCAAGAAAAGTACAATATCCCTGCGTGGGAATATGCCAGGTGATCCAAAGAGAATTGAAAAAAAAAAAAAAAAAAAAAAAAAAAAAAAACAAAACAAAGGGAAAATACAGATCTCTTCAAAAATAACGCTGAAAGGGAAGAAAAATAAAGCTCCTGATCAGCATCAGTTGCCTGTTCACTCTTTCCAAAGGCGACATTTTAACTCTGGTCATTTAGTTATGACCATTATCCAGGACCTCAGCATTACAGTTCAGATTGATCTGGCCTCATTTGGGTACCATCTCAGAAGTGTATCCACTAGATAAACCCACTGCAGAGCCACCCTGTATTTCCACCTGTCTACACTCATCTAGGGAAAAGTTTGTTTGCTTTTTCTATCTGGTGTCGCACCTTTGTGCTCACCAACCCCTCTGGAAATACCGATACCCTGTAGAAAATCTGAAACTGGCTTAGATTCCTGCATGAAAACTGCATTTAATTAGACTCTAAGAAATTAATTCTCAAAATGCTTTCAAAGATCCTACCCTGAAAGATTAAGGTTGATGAAAGAAGAGGCAGCTCTTACGCTTTCCTTGCTACTAGCTGAGGGTTTCCCTTCACCAGCATTAATTTGATCCCTGCAAGTTTGCTAAGGGAGTAAGCCAAAAAACCAATTGACACAGTCACCCAAGCGAAAGCGAGATCAATTTATTTTGATTCCTTTGCAACAAATGTAGATACCTCAAATTCTGACTTCTGGCAAAACACTCATGTTCACTGAGCTACAGATTCCCATTCAGGTTGGGATGTTCTAAGTGCACAAGAAGATGTGTTCGTCCAGGAGCTCAGACTCAGAATCAATTTACTGAAAAGAGCAGGAGGTAACTCCCAAGTCCTTCAGTCCTGACTGCTCCCTTGGTGAGTCTGATCCAAAGCCCCTGCACCTGGCAGCACCAGGACTCCCAGTTCAGGACTCTGCATTTCTCTTGGTAAACCTGAGGCCTTATCCAAAGGAAATCCAGGGACTGGGAGAGGCATGGAGTGGGCAACAGATGGAGTTTTATCCATCTCGGTCACTTTGCTGAGGGATACTGGGGAGAAAGGGGAAGTTTAAGCCCTAACCCCAAACACACCATCCTCAGTCCCTTCTCCAGAACCACCGGCAGTAAATTCCCCACGTTCTCTCCTTAGAAAAAGCGAGCCCATTATTTCTCTTGCCTTCTTGAAGCGACTTCTTCACTCTGCACACAGGGCGACGTTCCCTTGCCAACGTCCGTGCTCTCGGTAGTGCTGTCCTTGGAGCGTGGCACGGACCTGGGCGAGAGGAGCAGTCTGGTTTACAAGTTGATCTGAAGATGGGTTGCTCACTGAAACACATACGTGGGGGAGCCCAATCTGACCAAAAGCCTCAACTCTTCAAATTTAAGGGGCAAATATGGACAAAAGCAAATAAATCGGTCCACGAAGTCCTTCCATTTGGACATTTAGCCCTGGACTGTTTTGCACGAGCCAGGCTGGAGGCACTGAGACAGCCACCCCCAAACCCAGTGGAGTCACAGCGGGAAGGAAAGTGGTGCCAGGGTGGCCAGAGCACAGCCCGAGACCTGACGCTGACTGGGTAAGTTTGGAAAGGAGACCCAGTGTCACCCCAGAGGTGTTACTGGCACATGTCTCCAGATTGAAGGTTTCAGGTTTAGGCAGCAACTCCCGGCAGCCAGCTGGGAAGTGTTTGATGCCTCCAGATAATAAGGATGTTTTCTCCCAGGCTTTCAGGTAAAACCATGGTAAAAGGTTCGCTTGGTAGAGGCAGCACTAGAACCAGGCACAAAAGGAGACCCTGGGAGATCTTATCAGTCTATTTACGGGAGGGAAGGCATGTAAGGAATTAACCCTTGTCCTCTGATTCCTTACCCAGTCATGCTGGGTTCACGTTCAGCACGTTCCTTTGACCTGCGAGGCTCTGGGTGGGCATCACGGTCAGGAGGTTCTTGTCCCTTCTCGGTATGGTTGTTTGAGTCCAAAAACCTAAAATAAAGATCTATGCTTAAGGCAGGGGAGAAAAAAAAACACGCCAGGGTGGGTAGACACCGATTCCCTAGAGAGGAGTCATCAGGCAGGGAGCCAGAGACACTGTTTGGCCGGAGCTATTCCGAAGTGCCCTGGCACCGGAGCCGAGGGGAATCACGCGTACACGTCCCACTCTAGCTCGGAGAATCGCGGCTAAAGGCCTCTCGAGTCAGAGTGCCTCGGGCTGACGGATGCCCCTCACGCCTCGGGGCACACTCGTGCGCGGTTTCGCCGCACCCCTAAGCGCTTGGCTAGCGAGCTCTCTGCCCCTGCGAGCACCGAGGGGACCGCGCTGCCGCCGAAGGACCCGTGTCGCACGCTGCCAGCGCAGAAACCGTCCCCTTGGGCTTCTCACAGCGTTTGTCCCCCTCATCCAGCTGGCTCGTCCCGTCGGCACGGAGAGGGGGGGGGGGGGGCACTGCCGGCTGGAACGGGCCGTTAGAAAGTCCTCACCCCTGGGCATGAAGCAGAGGAGCTGCTCTGCGCTCGCAGTTACACCGGGAACAGAGTAAGGCGTGAAGAATTCCGAAGTGAAGAGACACTGCGGGTGAGGCCTTACCGCCCACTTACCCTCCCTGGCTCAGCTCTGGTTTATACTCGTCCAAGGCCTGCGGGCTCTCGTGCCCCCTTTCTCCAGGGGGGTTCCCCTCTTTGAAATCTTGGGAAGACCTGGCAAAGGAAAAAAAAAAAAAAACAAAAAAACCCGCTCGTGGCTGCCAGGCAGGAACACCCGAAGGCTCAGCTCAACGCGCACCGGGAAGAAAAAGTCACCAGGCTTTGGTGGAGGATATGGCAAGGGCTGAGCTGTAACCAGCACAACAAAGCCCTGGTGTTGGCCCAGCCCAAAGCCGCGCTTAGCTGCTTGGAATTCAATGGATGGGCATCGTTTTCACACGCTGAAATTAGCTCTATTAAAATACCAGCCCAAAGTATGTTTTCTCTAGACAAACACGCTGCTTTCCAGCGTGAAAGTAGGTCTGCAGGGTACGGGGTTATTTATTGTGGCTGTATCATACACCAGGATGTGTGTGGCAGGGCAGGCATCACATCTGGTACAGCGTCTGATAATACCTGAGGCAGAATTTGAAATGTTCCTCCCTGTCCAATACTCTGAGTAGGTTTTTTTGTAGCAAGACTCCCTCGTTCAGCGTACCCAGAGATACCATGCAGCACAGCTTCATCTCCCCTTGCCTTTCTAGCTCAAGCTCCCTTTTCTCAGGATGCACCTTGGCTTTGCACAGGACCTCCAGGGCTCCATTTAGCTCTACCTTTTCTGCCGGAACGGGAAGGGCCAGGGGAACAATACTGTTCCAAAAAGGAGTATGTATTAGCCAAGGAAACCTGACCTAAGTCATGCCAGCGAGGAAAGATGGTAAAGACACGGGTGGCCAAACAATGTTGGACTGAGGAGAAATGAGGCCCCTTCCTGCTCCTGCTGCTAATTCAGGATGCAATTCAGCTGTGCTGTTGGCATTCTGCAAGAGGCATTCGATGGAGATGTCTAAAAGGGGTGGCAAAAAGTCTCCAGCGTTTCTAGAAGGATCTTTTTGTTCTCATCTGTGGCAATAGAGGGAATGTGAACAACCACTGCAGAGGAAAAATCCTCTCTCCTGAGCAGACTCCCGATGGGGGAGTCAAGTGACTCCTCCCTCACTGCAAGGCTTTTGGCAAAATCCTTTTTAGCTCATTGGGTTTCAGTTGGCTTATCCAGTGGGATAGGCACCCCTCCGGGGAGCACTGTGACCGCCTCCACTAAGCTTTTAGGGTAGACGGAGCTGTAAAAGTGATGATGATGATGATGATAGTTGTTCGGCTGGTTTTCCTGTGAGTTTTTAGAGACCTTTGCCACCTCCGCACTAGGGTGCAAAATCCAAAATACCCCAAAAGCTGTACCAGTCCCTGAAAAGGACTCCCCGGAGCGTACCCCCAATTGTCCTACTGCCCCAGCTCCTAGCTGGCTCCGTGCCTGGGGCTCCTCCCTGCAGAAGGCGAAGGAGGAACGCGTGACGCGCGCTCACATCCCAGCCCAGGACTGGCACAGGGTGCAGGCGACATCTCTCTCCCGACTCCTAAGCACAGGACAGGTGGAGCCAAAGGGAGATCAGAGCTGAACTGTGCCACACACAGCAAGGCTGGGGGCTGCTGGGAGGAAACTGGGAAATGCTGAACGTGTTTGCTCTGTGGTTAGTCTTCAGTGAGCACGGTAGGAAATTTTACTGCTTCAGTGGATGCTGGAGAGAGGAGCAGTTTCGAGCTGCTCGGACAAACGGCCCTTATTATGCTGCTGTTCTTGTGCTCGGTATCTCCTGAGCAATCAGTGTTTCCAAGGCTTTCAACAATGAGAAAGAACATATTAGCAAACACGGGGTTTGCACCCCAGGTCCTTACGTTGCTTCATTCCAGTAAGGCTTGCTGTATGCTGGGACCTCGGGACTCCTGTATCTGCTCTCCTGGGTGCTGCTTCTCTCCTCGTAGCCCAGGACAGATCTGCTCCCCAAAGAAAGGCCCATTACATCTTTACCATCTGGCACACGAATCACTGCACTAGTGAACACTCACCAGGCAAGGCTCCTCTCAATCTCTTCCGTTCACTGTCCCGCCCCAGGATTTTTCTCTAGGCACCGTATTTCTACTACAGCTGCATTTGAATGTATTTCAGCTGCCTTTCAGCTCCCCTGCTGCCACTCCAGCACCACTGTAGCACTTCACTGCATTATCAGCAAGTGAGGGGGTAGCGACTGAACCCCACCAAGCACACAGGCACCAGGAGGAGAAAAAAACCTGGGGCGCTTGGCTCGTATCAAAGAAGATGGAGGAGAGATGCAACACAAACCTCCTGGCTTACTTTGCAAGCTGCACTTTAAACCTCAGCACAGTTGCCTTCATCCTTGGGACAAAAGCTGTGAAAAGAAGCCTCTTTCCGTGCCAGCCCATTCAGATTTCCCTTAATCCTCAGCATCACTCATACGCTCACTAAATTTACCCCACTCTTACCCTTTAAAGGAACATTCTGTGTCTTCCAGGTGCACAGGGGCTCTCTCAGTAGGAGGAGAAGGGACATCAGGCTGCAAGCTAGGCCTGTCAAAAAAAGGAAGGAATCTACAGCTTGACAAAGGCTTCAAGGAAGACCGGTATGAAACAATGACACTGCACTTTATATGACACCAAAAACCAGAAAAATAAATTTCTCAGAGAACGGGTTTTCCCTTCAGAAAAAAACCATTTTCACTATCTCTAATCAAGAAGAATAGAGGCTGTCAGTGAAACTCATGCAGTGACTTGGCCTCAGTTCACACACATCGTGGCTGAACACATGACTTTCCTGACCTGTCACAGGATCACGCACCTGAGACAATGCACAAGATGAGTAACTTTGGGCAGGACATCACTAGAGGCATCTCTACTAGAGGCATCCCTACATCACCAGAGGCAGCTCTAGGTCTTGGCTTTTACACCATCCTCCTGGGAACCTCGTTCGTGATCCTCCTCACTTCAACTGGGAGGTTTGAAGACAACATATTCTCACCTCAAATCCTTTGCTAAGCCAAGACACGGAGTCAAGTCCCAAAGTAATGGGCTAAGGTAAGCGAAGAAAGCAGCTTCAGGGAGATCAGCATGTTTGGTGTCAACAGCAGCAATTCTTCCCTGACTCTGCACCTCTGACATTGTCGGGGGAGCAAGCACACTCTAAAAAGTGTGTGGGATGGAGACACTTTTGAGATCAATGCTAAAAGCAACGATAAAGCTGCTGTTACCTGCTCCCGTGCTGCTTCCGTAGAAAGAAGCTGTGTAACAGTGAACAGAAAGCATCCTGTCCCCGCTCTTCAACCACCTAAGATTTTCTGCCTCTCCTTGCTTTGTTGCCCAATTTGGATTCTGCTTCCAACTCTACTCTGGGTGAGTTACCTATTCTGCTCCCCCCCCCCCGCAAGCAGCACTGTGAGCGCCGGCCCCAGGCCCTGACCTTGCAGGTTCAGACTTTGCAGCATCCGGGTAGCGGGAGGGCTCGTGCTGGTGGTGCAGCTTGTCTGTAGCATCTGCAGGCCCGTCCCTGCCACCAGAGTGGGGCCTGGTAAGAGAGGGAGATTCGTGGGTCGCAGAAGGAAGCTTAGCCAGTTGGAGAGGAGGGCACGAAGCAAAAACATCAAAACATGAAACTGTCCCGCCTCAAACACAACGTCTTTCCCGCCTTCCCGCTTAGCTCAGTTAATTCCCTGCAGCAGACCTGAAGGGCACACACGTAAATCCAACCAACTCACACGAGTGCAGGGAAAGACGCTGCAAGATCTCAGTCCATTCTGAGCTGGTGGATCAGGTCCACCCCCCCCTTTACAAGTGCATGCGAGTGCTGCTCCCAGAACACGTCTGTTAGCACTAGGTCAGGAAAAGCCCCCTCTCACTCTAAAATCGAGAAGAAAAATTGAATTTTACGCTGTTAATGGGTTTACACTCACTTTGGGAGGTAAAATCCATTGTTGGCTTCTGTGTGTTCAGCATAACTGAAAAGGAGAGACACCAACTTTAGAGAGCATCTTTGGTCTGGTTTGCGTAATGTTCTACAATTATTTTCTTATAATAAAACGACGACAAGAGAGGAGAAGATCCCTAAAACTTCCCAGAGGTTTTCCTCCAGGTGTTTCTACAGGCCAAACGGCAAGAAACTTCGGGGCCATTTGGGGTGTATGAAGTACAAAGGAGCATTTAGTAACTCTGAACATCATCAACACATGACAGGTGCCAGCGGTGTGGGGTCAGCTGGAAATTCAAGGCAGGGCTCTGCCAAGAACAGCGGGACGTCCTGCAGCCCACAGCTGCAACACAGGCCCCTCCACCTGCACACAGAGAAGGGAAGGAACGGCCCTGACAGCCGCTGGCTTGTGTCAGGGGAGCTGAAAATGGGGAACTTCAGGTGCCCCCGTCCAAAAATCGTATGGGTTCTGTTTTCTTGTCTCCAGGCTGTGGGCAGCAAACAGCCCACGAGCGCAGAGCTCTCACTGAACTTCTCTTCTGCACACCGCAGGGGCAACGCCTCTCCTCCCTCACTTCCACTTTCTCGGGCAGGACAGAAGCACAGCCACTGCTCTGTGCAACCCTCCTCGACTTGTGAATCTCTCCCTTTTTTCCAGTGAGGGTGCAGACTCCCTAGCAGACCGCGACTGCCACGCAGAACAGGCAGGAGCAGAGTTATTTTAGTCGCCTTCGGTGGGCCGCTGAGGAGTACCCCCCCAGCCTCACAGAGGTTTCTTGATTAAATTAAACCAGTGTTTTCTGGCGAGGGAGGTGTGCCTCCAGCAAGGTCTGCTGAGAGCAGAGCGTGGAGCCCGGGCAGAGACCCGCGGGCTGGCAGCTTGGTTGCATTCCAGAAACGCCGGTGCCCACGGGAGGGGCAAGATCCTGCCAAGGACAGGCCCTGGGGTGCTGGGGGGCAGGCGATTCTCACCCACACGAAGGGCAAGCAGAGCAGAGGCAGTGGATTCCACCTGGAGACAACCACCAGCTCAGCTACACTGTACTGCCTGTGATTATGGGATGTTTAACTCCTTTCCATGATTCCTTAAGAGCCAGAGGGCAACTTTTCATCACTGAACCGTTGGGTTTGCCAGACAGTTTACAGGATATGCAATTTCCTTTTTGTGTTTTGGGGTTTGGGTTTTTTTGGGGGGGTCTCTTGTTGCAAAAGTAAATCGGTAGGTGGAGGCTGGAGGCCTAGAGAAACATTGGGCGTGAACTTGTCTATACTGTAAAAAAAAAAAAAAAATTACATTCCAGAATTAGTTTACTTTTGGGAATAAACCTGGAAAATGCAGAAATGATGCACAAAAGTGATTATTTTTTGGTATCACAGAAACTAAAGAAAAAAAAAACAGAATAAAATATCGAACCATTATATTGAAGAGGGTAGTGTTTTCTTTTTTTCCCCCTTCTTAAACAAAATGTTAGAGGAACTGCTGCAGTTCTACAAGGCACGGATTAAACTGTGTTTTTCCATCAGTAAATATCCGTTCAGAGTTTCCAGACAGCTCGAGAGCAGCAGTTTATGATTTGCACAACGCTCAAGTCAACAGAAGAATCTCACACTAACTCTACCTTCCATTTGTGGAAACCTCGGGTGCTCTGGGGGCCAGTTCATCCCATGGGAACCGCTCAGACTTCTCCTTCAGAGGTTTGTCACTAGAAAAAAGAAAATGCCAGTGAGATATGACCCGAGAGCATTTATACTGCATCATCCCAGAGCAGCCTAACAACATTTAGTCAGGAGGAGCACAAAATGGGGCCAACTCGATGTATCAGGATAGGAAGGACCAACCCCCTGAGCACAGCGGCCTGACTGCAGCTCGTGGGTTACTCAGGGAGACATGTTGCTCCCTGCAGCGAGACACTGCTAACCCCTGAGCTACAACAGTTGCTCTCTCTCTGCTCACGGGCCAGAAAGGGCCACCAGCTGGACCCTACACCCATCTTTCACTCCCCCAGACCTGTCAAGCTGTGCGCCTGTCTCCTTCCTTCCCTGCCAATCCCTCTCTCTCCGTTTTTAGGAGGCTTAATTAATGAGGCATCCTCTAATTTCTCTGTGAGCCTGACTCACAATTAGGAGCAGCTATGTGACCCAAATGACCCCAAGCACAATGAGTGTGTTGTAATCGGGCTGTCCCTGCGCTGACATACAAGGATATATTTAGGGGCCTCAGCTGAACGACCACGACAACAGCCCAGCCTCTGCCTCTTCTCAAGCACTCCAGACTTCGCTTCAGCCCGAGATATTGATTTGGGAACGTTTCTAGATTTATCTGCACTGATGGAGGCGGAGAGTGAGTTGCAATTAACTGTATATGCTACAGAAACTCATTTGGTGAATCCCAGCCTCCGACAGCTGCTTAAGCACAAGAGCGAAAGGTGAGGCCACATGGACAACTCCACCTGCTTCAGTCTAGACACAGCCAAAAACTCAAGGTGGTAACACGGCGAACAAAAAGAGCCCTGCTAATATGGGGTATATTTTAAAAAGCGGAAACGTTCCAGAGGATGAAAGGCTACTGGTCCTAAGCACGCAAGGAGGGAGTGATCTCTCTCTCAGGAGGGCCAGAAGCTTCCCTGCCCTCAACTGCAAGTTCCCCGTCTCACCTGCGCAGCTACAGTGTCAGAGCCCTGTCCCTTAACGTGCCCAGCACCCGTACCCGTGCCTTGAGGGTCCAAATCAGTTCCTTCCTTCTCCAGTTTTCCTTCATACAACAGAGCTTTTTACACTTTCCCATTGTTCAGCCACTCCCCCCCTGACTCTCTACAGGGTGCAGAGGACCAGAACCAACGTTAGCGGGAGCCGCCACCGACTGAGGTTCAACACATCCCTTGTAGGTGGAAGAAGTTCCCCCGGGAATGGCAGTGGGAAGGCAATTGGAGCGGTAAAAAAAAAATAAAAATGCATCAAGTAGACTCTTTAGGGACTGAGCCAGAGAAGAGAATCCTTGAGGGAGGTGAAGGAAGGGTAGAGAAAACTGAGAAGTTGCTGCTTAGCCAGCAGATGATGCTCTTGGAGTGCAGCCCAGGACCATGACGGGGGAGATCCCATCTGTTTGAGACCACTCGCAGGTATATACTATTTCCAAGCAAAAAGCAGGGTTACGCCTTATGTCCAGCCCAGATCAGCCTTTCTCAACTTCTTACCCGTCCCCAGGCTGTGACACAGTTCCAGATGAAGATTTCCCATTAAGGGTCTGTCCGTTTTCACCATTTCTGCAAGCAAAACAGCGACAACGCTGAGGTAGGGAGGTGAGGGGGCACAACGTGAGGGACAGGAGCTGTATGGCGAGGTGCTTGTTGGAAGTGTGCTACGTACAGTGCAGGCACTGGTTTCACATGAAAGCCTGCTCAGTTTAGGAGCCACAGGGGGCGGCAGTTTTGGGGCTCATATTCTCACCAGAAAGAACTGAGTAATGTTCAAGCTGTGGGAGGCCCAGAGCTTCCATCTGGGTATATTTCCTCCCAGATTGCTAATGCTTTTGTGAAGTGCTGCTTTCTTAGATTCCCTGTGCTACAGTATTTATTGTTCCATGGCTGCACCGTGCCCAGAACAATCATGTGGATCTGGGAAAACACCACCCAGCAGTGCCAAGCTCGCCGGGGCAGCGTGCCCCTCGCTAGCCTGAGTGGGGCTTTAGGATGATGCAAGGCCAACAGACCTACCCGACTTCAGGAGAAGTGGAGATTCTCTCTGAAGTTTCACTCAAGGATGCGGTGGGTTGGCTCTTACTGCCTGTTTCAGGGCTGCAAGAGAAGAAAAAGAAAAAAAGCTGACGTTCCTGAACAAACCAGCTCCCCGCTACAGCTGGCCGAAATTTTCCTGCACTGAAGCGTTCCATTCTGTGAATAAATAAAATGGAAAACAAACATCACTGTTCCCAATACATTCACTTACAAAGTCATCTTATCAGAAGCAATTTTGAAATTAAAAACACCGATATTGCCAGGAATATCTACCTCTGCCGATGATACACAAAGAATAAAAACAGCAGAACGAGGTCAGTAACCAAAGCGCCGTTTGCAGCGCTGTGGAAAACCATTTCAACATTCTTTATACTACAGTCACGAATTCAATCAAACGGACAAAGTTGAGAGCAACTGAAAATCATTCCCCTACACATATTTGGCAAGAAAAAGTTCAGCATGTTTGGGTTTTTTCCTTTCAGGTTTTGAGCGTTTTTATCAGGATGTTGTCAGATCCTTGCAGGACATAACACGGATTTCAGACATAAACATTTTTTTTTTTTTTTTTTTTTGATTCTTTGTGTATCATTCACCTACACGTGGGCTGACACAGCCACAAAAGATGTCCCAGACATCCTGGCTGTGCTGGACCGCTTACCTGGAGGGGGACACTGCTGTTGCCTTTGGCTCATTCCAGGAAGACCCAGCACTGGTTTTTCTTAGCCCATTAGTACTGATAAAAACAAAACAAAACAAAAAACAAGCAACAAAGCATTAAAGACAGAAGATTTTTTTTTTTTTTTTTAGGTGCCTTCTCCTGTGGGGTGACACATCCTGCTTTCTGGCCCAGAGCTCTTGTGCCTGCTCCCCGGGCAGCGAGGCCAAACCCTGCTGTGCAGGGACTGGCAGACGCAGCGTCCCCTCCGTGCTGTCGCATCTGCCTTTCTGCTGAAACACTCCCCGTCTTCAGAAACTGGCTTTTCCTGTTTGACACAGCTGGAGCTGTTTCTCTCCCCAGTGTTTGCGTTTGCCTGGAAAACCAGCTTCCGCCGACGTCCAGATTAAAGCTGAGTGCATTCACAAAACTGATTTCGCTACGAGCACCTGCGTGATACGCGAGGAAGGGAGGGTATCTGCCTCAAGCCTGCTTCACAATGGCACAAAATCGCCACCGAAATTCAGGAGGCAGCTCCTTCATCCTGAAAATAAAGCATTTCGGGCTGAAAGGCCCCATTTGTCGGGCTCCCTGCTGAGCCCACCAAGGACCAGAGTGGCCGAGAAGCTAATAGTGCTGCTGCCTGGCAGCCAGCCACCCCCTCAGAGCCGGAACAGAGCGCCGGATCCCAAATTAAATGAATCTGCTCGAAAACAGTCGAAGGATTCTCCCTCCTAGGGCAGACATTGCCATTTCTGCATCCTGGTCTCAGCCCCGCACCACAGGCCAGCTGTTCCTGACCAGTGTGGGCTGAGGGAGGGTGTCACCACTGCCCCTTTTACACCACAGACAGCCCGTCCCCGCGCCTCATGCACCGCAGCGGGAACGCTCCAGCTTGTCCGCCACGGCTCCGTACAGCCCTGCGAGTGCTCGGGCTTCACAGTGAGAGAGGCTGGGGGCTTGAAAAGAGGGTAACGTTTCCCATCAAAGCAAAGATCAAGTTAAAGATAATGAACCTCTCAAACCACTCCGGTCACACCTATCCGTTGCCACCACAGCAGAATAATTAATTCTGAAGTCTAACGAAAGCAGAGAGCTGCTCGGGGGACTGGAAATAACGAGCTATTGAGTATTTCATGTCTAGGTGATGGGGTCAGTTCACCCAGCCAGGTTTGCTAGTAGAAGAAAATCATCACTATCTGACGGCTGCTCCGACTCCTCGGGGGTGCTGTTTTTCCAGAAGCGCCGCCAGGCTCGTTCCTGTGGCATGTGAGCACCTGGTGAGGCCAGGACTGATGGGGCTGCGGAGCGTGGCCAGGAGAGGGGCTCCCTGGCAGGTTTACACCCTACAACTCACATTAGAGCTGGCCTGTAGTGACCTGCAGCTCGTCACCCCCCCCCGGGCTGCCAGTCGGGTACTTTACACGCTGGCCCTGTTCCCCACGCCTGCCCCAGGTTAACTGATGTCACTTTTCACTCTGGATCTTTCCCTTTTTGCAAGGAAGGGGCAATCAGGCTCTTCTGAGAAGTCTCTTTTGAAAACCCTCCGTCCCTAGTTGCGTTCAGACAGCTGCCACCTTGCAGATAAATGCAGCTGTCTGCAAAGATGGCAAATCAATGTGCCTTGAAATCAAAGAGAGGCAACACACTACTCCAGGATGAGGTAAATACCTGTTGTCATCTGGTGCAAACCTGCACGAACCAGACACAGCTGGACTCCTCCTCTGCTGGCCCTCCTCCTCTTCTATCTCAATTCTTTCAAAAGGCAAAAAGGAAGACAAATATCACATTGTTTCCTACTCCCCACTGCTAGCTAAGCCAGGCAGTTTATTATTGTTTTCCCTTGAGCTATGTTTTCCCTCTCTCTCCCCTAGAGGTAGATTTTCCCTGCTCCTCACGCTGCCTGTGCTTTGCTACTGGTGAGCACCTCAACTGGCTGAATGAAGTGAGTTCAGTGGCACTTTGCTGTCACAGTTGCTTTACAAATGGCATCAGCTGAATGCTGACGTTCCAGAGAGCACCCTGGGCATCATTTCCCCATCATACCAACTGCTTTAGAAGTTAAATGCCCGAAGCCTGAAGAGTATTCACCCTGCTGGCCCTGGAAAATAAAGGCAGCGAACAAATCTCTCCTTGTTTCAGGTTGCCTGTAACCCAAAGCATTGTCAGTACTGTATTCTCGGTGTTTATGACACTGTGGACTCTCAAATCCTGAGTGATTCAAGCCAGAGCATCCTGTTTAAGGGAAGTGTCCCCCCCTCTGCTTTGAAACCCCTGGGGAGCCCCTAGCCCAGCCCTTAACAGCAGCCCTGGTCCGGCACCCGGATGCACAACCCCAGCAGTACTTCCAGGGGGTGAGGGACCTACCTCTTGGCAAACAAGGGTGGGAATTCTTGTGTTGGGCTGCTGTAAAAGGAAGCACAAAGGCAACAATTAGAAGTTTGGAGGGAAAGATACACCTGGGGCGGGGGCAGCTCCCACAGATTCTCTGACCCGTAACCCAGCCATATGGTGCAAGGCACTGAGGGGTCGTGTAACACCGTTTGGGCAGAGCTGCCGGTGACCGGCTGTGTTAAACCTGTGCAAATTACAGACCAGAGGAAATAAAAAGAGGAAGAGCAGCTGCCTGTAACACGTGAAGTAAAGAAGCCTCCCCAAAATGCCTTCTTAATTTGACCCCTTCCCGATGGCCGTTTTGATTCCTGCAGGCAAACCTGCCTCCCCCTTCATACCACACGGTGCTGAGGGCACCAGAGGAACAGCAGCCAGTGCAAACACCCTCACCGTCCTGACAAGCACTCCTCGCAGTCTGGGCACAGCTGGGTGCTGCCAGCACCTCCCCTCCCTGCCTCCTCCCGCACTACCAACCTCCTGGTACCTCCCCGTGTCACCCTGAGTTCCCTCAAGAGGAAAAGGATTTACAGCGAGCTGCAAAAAAAGTCCCTCTCGTGGCTCCTGGGAGATCAGAGACCTTGGAAAGCTGCTTTTTTTTTTTTTTTTTTTCCCCCTCCCAGGAAAGAGATGGACGACAGAGCCTTGAACACCAGTAGCTCCCACGCCTCCTTCACATTCCTGTTACACACCCGCACATGACCGTTGAGTTCTTTTTCCCCACAGAACTATTTTGAAGCTGCAGCTAAGATCAGGGTGGTGTAAATCTAGCTATTGTTCAAACACAACGTAAAGGCAAACTCTGTCGCAAAAAGCTGATCCATATTGGCTGAGGTTTTTATCTGTTCTGATTTTCCCCTTGCACGCAACAATACTGGAGAGAGCTGTGGTAGGAACTGAGTCTGAAAGTCTCCGTTGCGGGCCTCAGGGAATTAGGGACCATTATGGTTTTTCCCTTCCTGAAACTTCATCCCCCTCGGTAAGGAATATCCCCCAAGACTCGGGAAGGATTTCCTCAGTTCTGCACAAACCTGCAGATACCCGTGGCAGTTCTAAAGAGGCAGCAGCAACATCTCCTCCGCTCGCTGGAAGGGTGCCCATCACCTCCTGAGAGCCCCGGGTCAGGCCACCCGCCCTCAGCAGCCCCTTCGCTGCCTCCTGCCCCGCGCCCGCACGCTGACGACTCACCCGTTGCTTTTCTTGGCTGCTGAGAGGACGTAAGCACGTTCCCTGCTGGCAGTGCGTCTCAGGACGCTGTTGGCTGCCTCTGTCCTGGAAGGGAGGGAAAGGGGGGGGCACGTCCTGCTCACGCTGCTGGCGGCTGGAGCCTCGACGCCAACAGCCGAACAGCCCAGCGGGGGCTCACGCTAACCCTGAGAGGGCTCTGGGGAGCGGAAATCCAGCCAGAGCTAAGAGCAGTAACAGTGCCTTAGCCTTTTCTTTAGTACCATTCATGCTGGGCCACAGCGCTTTCACATGGATGTAAAGCGTCAGGCCAAAAAAAAAAAAAAAAAGTATTCCCTCTTCCAGGAGGGCAGAGGGAGTTCTCCTTTTCAAGGCCTGGACTGTTGCAATATTGCATACCGCGGCACAAAAAGCGGGACCCAGGCTTTGTGGCTGACCTGCTGCAAGGACTGCACGTGTCTAGACAGACACCAGTACCACCAGAGGTACCAAGGGAGAAGCGCAGATCTCGGAGAGGATTTTTATTGGGTGAATAACCAGGTTTTCATTTGCAAAAGTCTTGTGTCGGAGGACAAGAATCTTCGGAAACTTGACTGAAAGCAACAGGGACGCTGTCTGCATCAGACGCAGATCTACCACACAGACAGAACACACTCTACTCCTGGTGTGAGAACAAGAGACCCGTCTACATCTGGACTTAGATGCAAGTCCCCACGTGGCCCAGGCTCCAAGGCGCACACGGAGGCTGCGGGAGGTGGGCTCCCCCCCCCACTTTACTGCCAGGCTATTTGTAGGTCTCTATCTCTTCACATAGGCACTACGCGGCTGATGGATTCCACAATCCATTTCCAGCTGCCAAATTAATTGGGGTATGCTGTCAGGTCGAATCATGTCAGGCTTTTAATTATATTTTGTTGGGAGTGCAGTCGCCTGTGGGCAGAGATGCGCTCTGTGTAGAGGTATCTGCTTATCATTATTTTATTGCAATCAGCCCTAATGGCTCAGCTGTCATCATCGTCGAACTGACCCTCCCAGTAATGAAGTTAAACTGAAGTTAGTCCACTTCTCACTGCCCCTGCAAGAAAAAGGTGGTTACCTGGAGGGCATACCTCTTTTTATGTTCATCTGGAGTAAAAGGCACATCCTCCTCATCCAGGTCCACTGATTTTTGCTTGACATTATACGGAGCTCTGAAACAGGGAAGGAAGGGGAGAGCCAGGGTGAGGGAACTGCCTCTGTAGACTGTTGCAGAGGCAGCGCAAGCAAAACCCAAGGTAAATCCAAGGGCAGGGCACGGAGAAATGGGTTCAGACCCTAGAAGTGTTGCACACAAGTGTGGAAGACACTAGTAGCTTTCACGTGCATTGGGGCACACATGTGCCTGTAGGATTTTGTTTACTTAGTACAGGGCTTAAGCCTAGAGGCTGGTTCATAATGAAAGCCCAGCTGCTTTTCAGATTAGAGCCGCGGTCTTTGACATGAAAAGCTGTGCAGGAAATGTCAGCGGTGCTGTTCTGCCACAGGGCCCCTCCTTTCTCCTGCTTTCAGAAAAGCCAGCAGTGCTGCAAACCAAGGCCCCAGGCTGCGTCCTCCCGTTTCTGCCTTAAATTGCTACCAAGTGATAAAATTCACTCCACCCAAAGGCCATTACCAGTTCAGGGAACACCTTACGGCCCCCCGCGCAGGCCTGGAGGGACCGCTGGGAACTGCTTCGGTTTGCAGTGAAAGCTCTGTGGTGCTCGGCTGATGAAGCCATGCCCGGCCAGGCATCCGCGTGCCAGGTGGCTGAGCCTCTGCACGGACAGAAGGGGCTGCTCCCCTTCGCACACTCACAGCTTCTTGTAGTCCTCGGTGGTCATCCGGTAGCCGGAGGAAGAACGGCACAGGCTGCGTCCCTTGGCGGCGGTGCTGCAGACAGCACCAACCACATCTGTTAACGTGACCCTCCCGAGCTCTCACCCTTCACCACCCTCCTTCCCCAGGCGAGCTCCTGCTCCACATCACGGGGGAAGAACAGGGGGGAGCCCACCTAGCCACTCTCTCAACTCAGGGAATGCTATTTCATCAAAGGGTGGCATCTGCCTTCTTTGCGCAGCCTTGGAGCGGGATTTGCGGTCTGCTTTGCTTCAGCAGGGCCACTGTGAGCTGGCAGAGCTGGCAGGGGCATACCCTTGTGTGGGATGGTGCTACTCCAGCCCAGGAACGGCCAGCGAGAAGGAAGAAGACACCTTGTGACATCATCCTCCTCCCCACAAGGGAGAAAAATAAATGGGGTTTCAAAAGGCTTCACCTGAGGCGCACCAAAGCATCTGCTTAGATCAGAGCCATGCTTACACCTTTCCTACTAGAATTAACTGTAAGTGCCTCTCACAAGACAGGTTTCAAAAAAAAACCCAAGTCACACTAAAAACATCAAAACCAAGTGTTAGGGCTTTGCCGGAGTTCCTTGTGATTTGTGTCCCCCCCCCCCCTCAAAACTATTTGCCAAATTAAACCCAAAGCCACGAGTAATTTCATAGCCAACTGCCACCCCGGGCTCTGGTGAGGAAAACACGGAGTGTGATGCCTTATCTTTTCCCCAGGTCTGCTGAGTGGAGCCGGTAAATGAACAGCCATGTCTTCCAGCATTTAGCAGGGATTTAGTGGAGCGCAGTGGAAGCCCACAAGCACTGGCTAAAGTAAGAGGATGGCTAGAAATATGGACAATATTTAAAAGCTCCTTTTCTTGACGAAGAGAAAGACACACGCATACCTCTTTTGTGCTTCATTAGAAGATGAAGAATCTGGCACAGAGGAGGTCTTATCGATGGTTCTTGTGAACACCCCTCTGGGGAGAAGAGAGACATGTTACATTTTTTGCTGGACGTTGTTTGGAACTAAAATTAAGAGAGTTGCGGCCATTCTTTGGCCTAACAATGTCTGCATGTGCTGTTGGGAGGAAAGTGCTGGCTCAGGACACTGAGAATTAGAAGGTGCTTCCTTGGGAGGGTCACCCTGAGAAAACCCCATCTTCCTACTCCCTGGCCTTAGTCGGTGTGGTAAAATCAGCTCACACCCAGGCTCGGGTGATACCCCAGGGCTTGCCAACCCGTTTAGGATGACGGTGGCATCAGAGTCTCCGTGGGCAACAGCCCGTGTGTCAGAGGAAGACGGAGCACACAGGCCCCATCAACTGGTGCTGTGCTGATCACAAGGATGGTGGAGAGTTTTCCCAGCACGATAACCCTTCCATGTGTGATCGTGGTGTCATGCAGAGCCTTGATTTTCTGCTAACATCACCATCAAACGACCCGTTAAACACAATACTCCAGATTATCTCTTCACCCAGGTACTCCCTGAGCGTTGTAACTTCCCTAAATAATGCGACGACCCAAGAGACAGTAATATTTTTCATGCTTGCTGCTCCTCATCTAGCTCTCCTTCCCCTACAGCACAAATAGATGACACTCTATACCAACCTGATGAGGTAACCGGATTGAGGCTTGGAGGCTGAAGACCTGTGCAAAGAACAGACATTGCTGAATTAAGAAACACTGCGGAAAACAAGAGCAGCAGCATGTGGCTGTCAAGGCAAAAATCTACCTAAAATGGGCCTTGAGCGATACCCCCAGCGGCTGCACCAAAATTAACCTTGGAAGGATTCTTTAAAAATTCATAATCATCAGAACAATCTCTGTAACACATTTTTATAAGAAAAGTGAATCTTAGAGTTAGCCAGTCAAAACCAGCCACGCTGACTGTTTTCTGGCTCAAAATGAAGTCCCCGGATTGATGGCACAGAGCGGGGAAATTAGATGCAGTAGAGATCCCGGTTGTTTTATCACAGGAAAACATCATCTTCACACTAACTTCTCTGAGGGTTCATTCTCAGGAAGGGAGCGTGGAGTCGCTCCCCGGGAGGGAAAGGAAAGGGATACCATCAGGTGGGGATCCGACCCCTTGCACCAGGGCAGGAGGAAGCATCCCTGGGACCTGCTTCAGGCTGTCTTGGAGATGCCTTCCTGGGAGCAAGGTGGGGACCAGGATGGGCCTCAAGGACCTGCTTCCCATCAGATGAGCTCAGACAGGCTCCCTTCACCCCTGCCCAGATACCAACCCCTCTTTTCCTGCCCGTCCAGGTGCCCTGAGGATCACAAAATAATTCAGTGAGAAAGCTCAGCAGGTCTCTGGTCTAGCCAGCGGGGGAAGCTGAGAAGTTGTCCGGCTTGGTGTATGGATGCCTGAAGCTTTGAGGTATAAACAGATCCCGAGTGTCCTGGACTCCCCATCACTCGCCTTCTGTCATCTTCAGGCCCCCACACATTCCTGTGAGGATGCTCCTTCAGATGCCTCGTTTCCAGCGTTATAAACACCCCTGGTTTTACTTATCCTGTGCCTGATAAAGCACGCTGCGGCAGAGGGAGGCAGAAAGAGGTAAGGTATGGCAGGGAAACCCTCCTGTCTGATTGCAACCAGAAGTAACAAGGGCTGGCACAGCAAAGGGGAGAGGCAGCAGGAAATTGCTGATGGGAGAGGGCAGCGCTCTCCCAGCAATGGCCCTGCAGCTGGCAAAGAGCCCTCACCTATGACTAAGCCCTTTCCAACACGTATGTTTTAGGACACTGGTCCTACAAGCTCCCGGGTTCCTGAAGAGCCCTCATGCCCTGACTCTGAAGCAAATTCAGCTCCCACGCGGGGCTTCGCTTGCTCCGAGGAGCCCCCAGGCTTAGAGCACAGAGTTTTTGCACCAGCACAGGAGCTGACGCGCACCAGTAATCTTGGGACTGTGGGCTTGAAGGCACCCATTCATCTGCAATAAAGACATCAATCCATCCGTTCGCCTGTCCGGACTTTGCAAGAGATAAACCGTGGTGACAGTTTGTAAAACATCACCCTGAACAACGCAGGCTCTCCTCAAGGACTGTATTTTTCAACACAATCGTAGCAGTGAGGGGGTACGGGGCGGTGAAGAAAGGGCAGACATTTATGGAGAGCCAGTGAAAGCACGCACCGACCCCGTGAGGTAACACAGAAGGGAAGCAACAGCATGTGTCCCCAAAATTACCTGTCACTCTGGGGAGCGATAGGTGTTGAGGCTGGGGATCCCCCACCGGCTCGTCCAGACCTGAGTAAAGAGAAAACACGACGACATCGTTAACTTCTGATCTTGCTGAGCCGCCTTGTTGAACAGGGCAATGAAGTTTTTGGAGAGAGTGGCTACGAGAAAACCGATTTGGGCTTGGTTTTATTTCTAATCAAAGAGGAGCTGCTGCAGACTGTGGTGTTCCCCGGTCCGGGGGTGGCTGTGTGACACAGCCCTGCGAGCTGCAGGGGGAAGAGGCAGACCTGGCTGTTTTATCACTTGAACTCCCTCCCATCAAGGTCTGCCCCTTCATTTGTCACTCCAGAGGTGGTGAAACACAACCCGGCTTCAAAAAAGCTTTCGAGTTCTCCTGAGACTTCAGATCTGCCTGTGCTGCTGAACTCCCTGCTCCCAGGAAAGGTCATTTCTTAGAGCTTCTCCCCAGCCTGCGTTTATAAAAAAGAAACGGGGGCGCTGCTCCCCTTCAGCACTGTTATTTCCTGACAGCATGGGGACCCCAAAACACGCTAACACCACCCACACTTCTGCAGGCTGGAGAACAGAGTACTGATGGGGGGTTGGACAAGGGAAAGGGAAGGGAGGAGTGTTCCTCAGTGGCCACACTTACAGCGGGCTGCTCTTCTTCTCATCCTCAGAGTCTGAGTTGTGGTGGTGGATCCAGCTCTTATCTCCTTTCAGGGTGGTGCGAACCTTCATCTGCTTAATGATCCTCTTGCGGTCTTCATCCGTGGGCGGAATGACGCGTCCTAGGAGAGGCAGAGGGGAAGGAAGGAGAGAGGAGAAGGGCTGCTGAGAAAGGGCAAGAATTCACACTGTCAGCGGGCGAGCTGGGGTAAATCTCCGAGAGCAGGGAGCACGGGTCTCCTTCCAGTCAGAGACTGAAACACTGAAAGAGCCTTTTGCCCCTTCTGATGAAAGATGGAAACAAGCGGTCATCCAAACTTCAGGATCAATTCACCCTGATCTATCACCTCCTCCCATACGTTTTTTTCTCTCCTTTCAGAGGACTGTTGAACCTTAATGACTCATCTTCTCTCAGGAAGACCAAAGACATTCAGTGGGTGGTCTAATTTACAAAGCAGTGAGTTTCCTCTGGCATTTCCCATCACGCCAGCTCTAGCGTAAGGCGTTTTTGGGAGAGGATGGTACGCCTGGAGCACGAAGCTGAGCCAGGAGTTGGAGGTTAGAGGCAAGCCATAAAATGCAAACACCTAGCTGTTAGTTTTCGCCGGTGGCCTGTCAGAGTTGGAGGAGACACGTCCTTTGATTCCTCGTTTCCACATTTCTATTACAAAGTTCAGTTTCTCAAGCCATGTCTCCCTAACAGTGCGGTTCTGACCCAAATCTGGAAATGTCCCATCCTGTATGGTCTCTCTTTTGCTGTTCAACAGCAACTCTGCCACCATCCTCACCCTGCTCCTTGTCTCTGTTCGGGCAATGAACCACAACCACATTGTCTGGTTGAGAAAGTCAGCAAGGGCAATTAAAACATTAAATTAAAATGTAGGAAATTGCAGAAGGTCATGGATTAGGAGTTGCTGAGTCCTCCCAGTGGGAAAAAAAAAGAGTGGGTGAAAAAAGCACAGGTTCATGGGGAGGAGTGTTAAAGCCAAAAATCTTGGGAGCAGGCAGAGAAGGAGCTGGGAGGCTGGGGAAGGAGGAACAGTCTCTCACAAGGGAAGGAAATGTGCAGGTGCCTGCTGTGAAGGGGAGCAAAAGAGCTGTTTTCCCAGGGGGAAACTGTAAGATGAAGATCAGATAAGGAAATCTCCTTTCCTATATATTTCTGACTATCTTCCATCTTTTGCCATTTTGGAAATGATCTGTAAAGGCTGAAAACATCAAGCCTGCTCTCCTCATCACACTTGGACCAATACAGCTCGGGGGTTTAGAGACACCAAGAAGTTACTGCAGCTCTACAGCTTCTTATCATCCAAGCTAAGGAAACTGCCTGCCTGCACACCCATGGCTCATGGCAAACATGAAATAATTCAATTTAGCTACCAGGAAAGGAGGGTCAGCTAAGTCTCTGTATCTTGTTCTCATGATGGGCTAGAAGGCTGCCCAGAAACAGTTATCGCTGAGCAGCTGACATGCAGTAAATTGATTCATTTCTGACACGTGGTCATGGGCTTCAGGTATATGTTATGTAGTAGGGGTAGGATTATTTTTTTTTTTTAAAAAAAACAACTGGTCACATCGGATCGTCTCTAGGGAAAACACAGTCACAGCAATGAAGAGAATGTCCTTCTTCACGTGGAATTCGTGGCAGCGGTTAAAAGGCACAGCATGCAGGGCCACATCTAGGCCAGGGTGCAGTTTAGGGACCAGCAGAAACACTCTTCATGGGGAGCACCTGGAAAGGGAAGGGCTGCTTTTCATAGCAATGAAATCGAAAATTAAATCTACTATCTCATGGAAATAACTAAGGCATTTCCACTCTTCTCCACATTGCTGCTTCAGGTTACCTCCGGAGTTGGAAGCATCATCCCATCTATTCACCTCTAAAGGTCTGGTGAGCATCTGTTGCTTAAAAATTAAATCTCAGAGTCTGCAACAGAATTCTACAGCCTGGGCGCGTTCCTGGGACAACTCAGAGCAACTTGTAGCCCCAGTATGATTTTTTCACGCTCCTTTAAGACATTATTGGGAGTTTATTCATAATAAAGGCAGTGTTGTCCTTACTGTATGGATACTGCACACTGCACAAGGGTGGTCTGCAGCCCACAGACTTTGGGGTTTTAATATCTAGAAGAGACAACAAGAGGGTGTGGGTAGACAGAGATAGAGGGAAGGCATCCTGGTCAGCTGCTGCACTGGCTGCTAACTGCTGCTGTGTTTTCAGTAGACATGACAAAGAGAGGGTCTTAAAAAGAGAATAATAGGGGAGTTTATTAGTCTTTTGCTCATCTCAAAACCTCAGCCAGGCTATAAGCTCTTCAGCTCTCTATACCTTCATGGATACTGAAATTCTAGCCAAATGCATGTCATTTTGGAACTGCAGGTTGGAGCTGGTCCCAGACAAGGGGGAGGTGTCCTCTACCCTTGGACACACTGCACTGGCAGAGACAAGCAGCGACGTAACAGCAGATACAACTGAGCAAAGAGGGAGAGGAAAGCCACGAGAGCGAACAGAGCCCCAACAGCCTGGGGTGGGGAAAGGAGTTACCTTTACTGACACCCAGGGACATCATGGTTCTCAGAAGTGCCTTCCCCTGCAGCTACTGTTTGAAGACAACAAGCCCCTGGAATAAATGAAAAAGGAGAAAAGCAGATTAGTAGTTTTGACATAAAAAACTCTGAAGGTCTGTGGAAGGGAGAGCGTCACAACAGTGTCACAGCCACGGAGCCTGGAGGATGGGGAGGCTGTGGTACGCATCGCAGAGTTGTGATCTCTCCCCGTGCCGTGTAGCATCAGCATCAAGGACGGGAAAAACCCAATGGGTGTGTTCTCCACACCAGTAAGGCTTCAGATCAGCCATGCCAGATGCGGCCTCCCGGGTCTGGGAGGAAAGTGGTGGAGGAGACCTTAGCGAAAGTGTCCAGAGCCACCCAGGTGGGACAGAACTCCTGGAGCCTAGAGAACTCGGAGCAGCTGAGGCTGCTTGGGTGAACCTTGGTAATTTTGTCAAGTGGAAGTAGAACAGAAGGGCTCCTGACAAATTTCGGTCGGCAGAGATATCTCTTATTTCCCCAAGATCCAGCAGAACATCTCACTGCCTGTCCCAGAAGCAAGAGTCACAGTTCTTGCTGCTGACAGCACCTTGGCCCCTCCTTCAAATGACAGTAAAGCAGCAAAGATGGTCTGAGATGAGGAATTTGCAGAGCACCGATTGTTTAGTCCTGTAGTTGAATCAAAACCAACCACAAAATGAAAGTCAAGAAAAAAAAAAAAAAAAAAAAGGTTGTTTCAGATTCTGCCAAGATAATTTTTTCTTTTATTCTGTAAACAAATGAACAAACAAAATAAACCAAAACCTCCCACTGTTTTGAGATTAGTAGAACCAGGTTAATTCAGCACCTGATTACACGCTTATCAGAACTGTTTCTTTTCTTTTTTCACTCTGTAAAGCTTTTCATGCAAGCTGTGGGACGAGCCCTTGTTTCAGGGAAGAAAACCAAGGGCAACTTCCAGCTTTTACAACCCACCATTCTTTCCTTGCCAAAACTATCTGCTGAACCTGGATTCCTCAGTGACTATGCTATTCATTAATAAAAACGCCCAGCCCTATTCGGGAGTCTGTGAATCTAAAATTAGGTTGTTATTATCTGCTGGTGGGCTTGTCCCTGCAATATTGCTGCGAAGCCACATGCCCACAAGGAATGCCGAGCGCTGATCTCATAGCACTGCTTCTTGGCAAAGCCGACTCCTTTGGCTTGTCTCAGCTGAAGATCTACCTACTGCACATCCACTCCTCCTCCAGTTTGCACTGAGATGGTGAACAAGCTCTCTGCTATCTCCCCAAGGCGCTCTCTCCCTTTTGCAAACGCTCCAAAACATTAATTCAGCTTTCACCATGAGCAGACAGCCCACCTCTTTTCTTATCTTTCCCAGAACCCCCTTCCCACGCAAATTTAATTGACCCTGCTATTTAGAGGGAAATGAAAACCATAGCATCGTCCTAGATATACATGAAGAGCCTCTAAATACTTGGGTATCTTTATACTAAAGGTGGGAGGCATGGCTGAAGCCTGCAGGAGCACAGCCGACAGAGCTGTAATCTGGAAATTTTGGATTAAAAAGGAATCACAGCATCTTGGACCTGCACACTGAGAAGCCACGTGCCTTCACGGCCTGCAATATCCACGCGAGGCAGATTCAGAGCACGGCTACCTTGCTAACTGCAATTCGGACGTGCATTTGGTGTTCTCTTCTACTTATTAAATTCTTTCCTACTCCAGGACAACATAAAGCTGAAGCAAGCGGCGGATGAGAAGCAGTGGAGGAGAATTATCTCAAGAGTTTGATACAGCCCTTATCCAAGGCAAATCGGGGACAGAAGTAGATGTAGGCTACGTGCTGCCATATACTGGAGGTATTTGGAAACTGGAGAGCTGTTACCTATCTGGCAGCGCAATCCAGAGGCGATAAGCCCCGCCCCCCCTCCTCCCAGCACAGATCTTTTGGAGGAATAAGCAGAGGTTTAAGACCACGTAGGAAAGATTCTCAGGAAGATCCGGAGCGAGGGCTGGAGCTCATGGAGGTGCAGGGCTGAACTCAGCTCCCAGCAACACCCCGCAGCTCTGCCTGGCACGCGCTGCAGGCATCGCGCACCAGCCCTGCGAGAAGCGACGTCCCCCTTTTACGGCTTAAACAGAAACTTCCCTTCTTCCTCACCCCATTCCCCGAACAAATCTACTCAAAAGGAAGGGAAGCCACGAAGGGTGGCACTCAGCACGTGTATACAAACGTGCCAGCAACTCCACGCTGGCCAAGCCTTTTCCTCTGGCGCTGCCTTCCCTCCTCCCAGCTCACATCGTCCTGGGAGGGACCGCAGCAAACGCTGTCGTACTCCACTGATATTTCTGGCTTGACAAACAGGGCGCCGGAACCCCGTCGGTGGTGCTTTACTGGGCTTGGCTTTGGGGGACTGGGCTGTGTTTTCTGCCAACCTGCTTTTCCCAGCTACGAATCCCGGGATGGCAGCGGCAGCCCGGCCGCTCCGGGTGGGACCCACGCAGCGCGAGCCAGCGGCAGGTTCTCTGCTGCCCCACCGGCAGAAACCGCTGTGGGTCGGAGCCGGCTGTCCCCCCGCCCCACACCGTAACAAAGGAGCCCAGAGCAAAGCCTTCAGCAAACCTGGGGCAGGTGCAGAGGAGTGCAAAGGTCCTTCTGTGAGAGATTAGGAGGAGCAGCTCTTTGCCTCCTTACAACATCATCTCTGCTCTTTCGTTAATGAAAGCTATCAAGCTGCTATTTTTACCTTTCACCTGAGGATCAAAGCAACGCAGCCTAAGCAAGATCACCAGAAGCTGAGTGGGTTCAGCAAGAAACAAGCAATTCACGTACCCTATTTCTTGCCCATGTTTTTTAACCACCTGTCCTGCTGGACATAGGATACTGGGCTTGGTAAAGTTTTGGGCCGTTCTTATGTGTGCCTGCTCAGTGACCAGAACATTAAAAGACACAGCAACCCAGGTTATACCATGAATCCTGCAGTTAGAATAACTCTGCGTTTCTCAGATGAGAAACAAAAAGCTCATTTTCTTGTTTTAACGCTAGCTGGCAGGGATACCTGGCAGATAAACTGACGTGCCAGGATAGGAGCTGTGATGAAGAAACAAGAAGAGGGATACATGGGACCCACTAACGCAAACAAAAGACAGACAGATCAGCCAACTACCATTAGGAAAAATGCTCACATCTCCCTCGTAACTGCATTTGTCCATGTTTTGATATTCCAGCAGTTGGTAGTCAGAATAACAAACAGGAGACAAAGTGGCTCGGGCTGCAGTGGGACCACATCCCCCTCCACCTGCCCAAACTACGCTGCCGTGCAGAAAGCACCGCGGGATTTATGGGGCCAGAGAGGATTAGGAAAAGGGTGTCTGGCTCTAGAGCACCGATGCAACCTTCCTGGGAAAGAAAGTGCTTCTCACTGCTCCAGGGACAGCTTAGAAATCCAAACAGCTTCCCCTCTTTGGCAAAATTTGTGTTTAGGCTTCAACACGTGCTACAGGACCTCAAAACATGTTTCAGATCATTTTTGCCTCTATATTCAAATTTTGGTGAGTCTGCAGAGCAGTAAATCTCAAAGACCTCATTTCTAGGTTCAGAGGGGGTGTCTTCAGCTGTTAACACTTGCCTACCATTATTCCCATGGAAGGTTGTGAGAAGCCAACGTGGACGACTTCCAAAATCTCCCTTACCAAAATGTTGCTAGGGAATGTGTTTCTTCAAAAAATACGCTTTTACGCTACTAGAACCTCCGTGTGTGATGTTAAGTTACAAGGGCAAAACGTGTCTTTGATGGTATGGGTTATTTGGGAATTACTAGCTACAGCCACAGGATACAGTGATTTCCTCTACTGGTGCAGAAACAAATGCACTTGCCTAGTGCTGGAACAGACTGCAGCTGACCCCAACAGCCCTACTTCCCACCTGGAGAACAAGAGCATTATCTGCCACTGGAATGAAGCCTGGAGATCTGAACTCAGCAGGTGAGGGGAAAACACTGATACTCAGAAAACTTCCCGTGGTTCGCAATTCCTCAGCTCTGAGCATTTCCAGACTTTAGATAAGACAAATGTTTTTTTTCTCCCGGTGGGTTAAGCCCCAAGCTTCAGGGGAGTGGGTAGTATTTCTGGAGGTTTTATGATCCAAAAGCAGTGTTCCAACTTGTGAGAGTCATTTAGAAGCTGGGAGCATGGTCCATGAGGTTGAGAGCAAAGGAAAACCTCCCTGTCAGCAGTGCTGAGGGATATCTGCAAATCTCTGGGGCTGGCTGTAGGTATAGTCTCCAGCCATACACCACTGCAGCTATTTTTTCAGGACAGTTTTTCAAAAAATCCCCAGAAGAAACCCTTTCCTCTATTCAAGATGCCAGAGACACGCTGTCCCCTGGCCTCCTCTTGCCAACACAACTCAAACATTAGCTCAGCACCCGGCACTTGAGACAAAATGAGAGGTAAAAGGAAAAAACGCAGTTCAGATGACTTGCCATAGCCCAAAAATGATGCTTCAGGACAGGAAACATGGCAACGGATCCCTCTGTATTTTGGGCACTCCAGGTCCCCACGTCTACAGCATCCTACCGCTGACAGAGAGCCCTCCGCACGCGCGGAACTTCCAGACCTGCAGCACCACAGAAATGCACGTAGCACTGGAGAGGAGCACAGCAGCCAACAACTCACTTTCTCTTTTACTGGTACGCAAAGGTGGCTGTTCCCTGAAAACCTCAGGGATCCTCATCTCCATCCACCAAGAAGCACATCTCAGATTTTGAGGCACTGGATGGAAGACAAGCAGGTACAGCTGAAGGCTTTGTAGCCTTTCCCACTCCTGTCCCCCACAAATCTCTGTTCTTTGCTGTCCCACAGTCCTCTCCCCATCTCTCCACCACTGCAAAATCCTCCCTTTTTTTTTTTTTTTAAAAACCCTACCCATACCCATTTCCCCATGTCTGTAATCACCTGTTTCCAAACACATAGCAGCAAACTCTGGTCACTGAGCTTATAAAATAGAGACATCTCCACCTCTCATGTAGACCAAAACCTCTTCTACCTCAAACTAGATCCATTCCTTCCCTCTTGCCTTCAAGTTAGAAATAAGCTCTGCCAGGCTGGATATGCTTTTTTGCCCTCTGTTTATTCATTATCTAATAGAAAATGCTTCTGCTGTGTGACTAGGAACATCTCTATTATAAAAAGACATACAGTAAGTCACCAAGTCGCTCTGGTTTAGATACCAGAGGTGTTGAGGAACGTATATTTTCTCCCAAACATTCACTACAAATATAAAATCTGAGACGAGAAGAAATCCATATAAATAAAAATCCCTATTCCCTCCCTATTTATACAGGTTTGCCTTCAGAAGTCCGGTGGGAGCCCTTATGTGCCAACTGCTTCCTATTAAGTGTCTGCACACCACCAGCGCAAGAGGCCCTTGATCCTAATTGGCACCCTTGGGTGCCATCGTTATGTAAATGAGCAATAATCCTTCTTGCCTCCTGACCCAAACAGTTATTGCAGGCTCGGCTGCACCATTAAGCATTGCCCAGTTTACTCTGAAATGGCTGCGCTTTGAAGGATGATTCCCTTAAGACACTTTCCCTGGACAACCTTACAGAGTTGCCTCGGGCTTAATGTTTGCAAAGTGCCCTGGGATCCTGAAATAAATACAAGATTGGCTTGCAAAACGCCAGCTCAGAGAGGCGATTCCCCTCTGCCAACTGGGACAGGGAGTCAGGAGTTGCATCTGGCTGCAGACAGACTCCATGTGTTCCCTTTGCTGCTGAGTAGATTGAGGCTGCACGTGTACCACTGCTCCTGCCATGCCCCAACTCCTGACTGAAGCGAAGCCAGCGCAGGCACCGTATTTCTTCCTGGGTTTATACTGATTTCCATGTGGGCTTGCAGGAAGCTGTGGCGTAAGACAGTTAAGACTTTTACCTGGACGGTGAGAGAGACGGGACCGCCATGAATTTGTGAGCGTGCCCTGCTAGAGAGACATCAAACAAGCACTAAAAACCCCCAAACCTGAGTGACCGTGGTGCCTAAACCTGCCTGTTGCAGCGACCCTTTCCTCCACAGGGACAGCTGGGCATTGCTACAGGCAACACCTGAGACACGGGCATGTCCATCCACGACCTACCTGTCAAATAAAAAGTGTAGGGAAAATTTCTAGGTAGCATGAGGGAAAGAAGACAGTTGCTCCTTGCACCTTTTTACAGACCTCTCCTGAGCTAAAATAACTCAGACTTCATCTATTTTAAAAAGTCTGTGACTCAGAGAGCCACGTGTACCATCCCTGCAGAGTACAACTAGCTGCAAATTCAAATACCACCTACCTTCACAGCAGCTCACAGTAATATCTGTGGGTTGCAAATACTGCAGCACATGCCGCGCACACTTAGGCCAAGAATGTATATGCTGACTCCTTTCTGTGGCTGAATCTGTGGTTAGGCATAAATCCATTAAACTTTTTCTATTCCACATATTTCCTTTTTCTTTGGACTCCGTAGGGTCACTGCATGGTGGTATTTCTGCACACGCAGCTCTGAATGAGTGTTTCAAATGGTACACAACACTGGGAGTTGTATTCTTCCAGCAAGCACCGAGAGTAATATTTGGAGAGTGGTTTGCTTTTGTTGTTTTCTCTCCAAAATTAAGTATTTGGGGAGGAAAAAAAAAAAAAATACACTGCTAAAAATGTGCCAATTTCACTACACTTTTAACCTCAAAACAAAGTGAAGATTTAAGTGCTTTACCTGCAGAAGCACAGGGCTCCGTGAGAAACCCCCTAGCTGGGAACTGTAAGGGAAACCAGGGGAACCTCTAAGAGCTGTCCCAGTAAGCCCCAAGCCCAGTGACGCTGGACACGGGGATTATTTACACCTGTGGCCATGAGAAACAAACCCCAAACCTGGTGAGCAAATGCAGCCAACTGCAAAAGCCCCCTCCCGGGCTGCATCAAACCAGCGACTGAATTTCTAAAGAAACAGCCTGACTGCGTAACAAGGTTTAGTGGGAGGTAATGGAATCAAAGTGATTCTGTTTCCCAGGATAAATGCCTACAGGATTTTCATCTTCTGATCATTAAACCCCCCCCCGGATTTTGTTGGGTAGTTTACAAGAACAAGCCCTTACAATAAGTTTGGAAAGGATACAGCCAGGACATTTAGTCCCCAAGCAGTGAGGGTGTATCCATGGAAAATGCAGTCTGCAGACTGGAAGAAGCTGGGGAAGGGAAAATTTAAAAAAAAAAAAAACAACAAATAAACAAAAAAAAAAAAAAAAAAAAACACACACAGGTTTGCTCTCTAATGAAGGGAAGAGCCCTGAGCAATTCACGGAGTGACCGGGAGCCTGTTAGAGAGAGGCAGCACCACTGTTACGAGGGGTTAACTCCTGACTGCCTCAGCTTGGAGAAAGGAAAACCAAGTCCCCAGGTGCCACCTAAGTCTCTTTAATCAAGAGGATAAAAGGAGAGGCCCCACACGCCCGAAGAAAACACCTGCCTCTGTCGAGAGGTGCCGGTGGCATCGCCCGTCCCGCACAAAGGTGGCCTTGAGGGCCCTCAGCCCGTGCCCCGCTGCTGGCACGCAGGGAGGGGGCATTCCTTCCCCCCCACTCCCCCCCGTCGTAATCTGCTTTTTCAGTGCAGCAGCACAAGGGTAAGAGAAGTGGGAAATGAGTGGATTATGGGTTTACTCATTTCTCAGGCATCGCTAAGGAACAGGCAAAAGATGGGAGGGTTTGTTGGTTTTTGTTTTGTTTTTTTTTTTTTCTCCATTCGCTGAGCGTTTCCAGCATAGGAAAAGGTTGGCCTGGTTTGACGTGAGAACACAGCTTTCAGCAAATGGAAAAATTCAGACTAGATCATGACAAATCGAATATAGTTACAAATTATGCTGCTATATATGTTTTGAGCAAAATTAAATGAAAATTGAGAGGAAGCCCCACATTGCTTCAAAACATAGAATGAAAATATTTCATTACAAAAAGCTTAAACTAACCTTTTGTTTCAGGTTTTAACTTCTCTCTTCTTGGGAATAAAAACTTAGTGAAACTCGCAGGTATTTTTGAAAGGGTTCAGTGTTGCTAATTCTGGAAAAAAAACAAAACAAAACAAAACTGTGCAAGTCTAGCCACAGAGCTGTATCAGGTTCATCACTGCCAGTCCAAGTTCCCAGGGCAGAGCAGCTGCCAGCTGCAGCCTCCCCAAAATATTCCAAATGTCTCCTTCACCACGATGCTAACTAAAAAAAAAAAAAAAAAAAAACAACCCGAAAGCCCCTGAGGAGACCCTTCCCCTATGAAAATTCACCAAACGCTGGACCCACAGCCCAAGCTTTGAACTCAGGGTGTATCTTCCCATGATCCCAAGGACATTCCTGCTCCAGCACTGCTGGCCTCCGCTCTACCCCTCCGATGGAGCCATCTCCCTGCCACCCTCTGCTCTCGGGCAAGAGGTGGAGCTTTATCTTTTGCTACAGGAGTGGTGACCCCCCCCCCAGCCGCTGGCTGGGAGCTGCACATCACGGGGGTGTTTTGCAGGAACACCCAGCAGCGGGCTGCTTGTGTGCCCGTGGTGAAATCCCACCCGCCCCAGGAGCACAGCCGGGACGCTCCGTTGAAACTTGGATCTTCTGTACTTGCGTCACAGCCAGCACTGGATGCCAGGTGAGCAGAGGGGCAAGCATGGACCAGTCACTTTATCTCAGCGTACCGCTCCAAAATGGGATCCTGCTACAGCAGGATGAATAATAACTCTGCTCTTCTAAACCTTCCACCTTGCCCTCTTGGCTTGCTGCAGGCTCCTCCACTCCACAGTCACCCCTGGTGTGCCCCGATTCCACTGTCATCTCTTTTATCTGTTATCTCCTCGTTTCCCAGACCTGTCCTTCCCTCTTGCTGGATCTGCCCACAGCCAAGATTCAGACGGGCTGGCACCTCACCGAGCCTCTGACTTCATGGGATGTTTCCAACATGGATCATAACAGCAGAGAAACGGGGTCAACTGAAACTACCATCCTCGATCCTACACGGGGGAGAAGCAACGCATTGGCCCCCAGCCACTGGACAAAGCTCTTTTTAAATTCATCTCCCCTCCCTAGGCTCTCAGGAGCCCTTTGTGAGTCAGGATCTGACCACCTTCCAGGCAATTAAACCCAAACTGCCTCTCCCCTCCCTGCGATAGCAGGTCTCAGGTGTGTAGCACAGGTGGAGCTACGTGCCGGGTATGCTGGAGAAGGTGAGGTTGATCATCTGAGCGATATTACTGGGAGAACCTCTGTTGACAAGGCAGGCTTCCTCCTCCATCACCTGCGCAGGGCTGATATCAGGGAGTAGCAGGGATGAGTTTGGCCTGGTTACGACACTTTACAGTCTCCTTAATTCTGCAGAGCACCTCACAAGCCAGAGGGATCTCCAGGCCTGCCCCACTCACCCCCTCCTGCTTCTCTCTCCAGCCCTTCCCTATGAGCAGCATCAAGATATAGGAAACTGGATGCCCATCCCTGGGCGATATGAATACACGACAGCTAGATACTCTTTCTGGTATTTGAAATCATCTGTGAGTTACAGTCCAGCTCAGACTCACATTTCTAGTCCAATATGGCCAAAATGCTCTCACTGCAAGTCCCTCAAACTTTGCTGGCTGATGGCAACCACTGCTCAGCTTTCAAACACCAGCCACTGGGATGTAACACCGGGATGTCCCAAGCAAAAGAAGAACCTATAAAAATGGGTGTTACGCTGGCTAAATCCCTGCTGACAAAGCATCCAACACGAGCACCCCAGCACAAGAAATAAATGTGCTGCCTGTGCAGGAGTGAAGTATTGCTAGACCGTGACCTGAGACCGCACGCTTCAAACGGAGCTGCTAGCTAAATCCATGCTAGCTACTTATAGAAAAGCCCCGATTTTCAAAGGCAATGGAGCACCGAAACCCCGGACAAGCATGGCCCTCAAAATCTCCTGCAGGTTATGTCCACCTCTGGGGTGCACAAGCAGCTTTGCTAGGGAGCCTGACAGGCAGGCAGCCCGCGCTTGAGTCGATCTGCTGACGGCAGGCAGGAAGGGCCCCGCTGCCTCCCACTGAAGCTCCACGTCACGTGAGTGAAAGCAATTACAAGCTATTTAATAAGGAAAGGGGAGCTGGAACCTTGTTTAGATTTTAATCGTCAGGGTGCGGCGGTCTGCGGGCAGGCAGCCAGCTCAGCTTTCCCCCCCCCGCGCGCTCCCGGGTGCTGCAGTGGTCCCTGCCCTGCCTCGGGTATTTCAACCCGCTTCTGTTTCTCAGGCAGCTTTAAGGTTTGCCCCTGCTGCTAACGGGATGGAGGGTCTGTTTTGCAGCGGCGCTTCAGAGAGCAGCTCCTGGTGGAAACCCTCACCCTGCCAGGCGAGCAGGCGGCCGCGCTACGCGAGAACAAGCCGAAGAGCTCCGTTTGGCTTTCCCCCCTCACCAGGGCTCCCGGCGGAGGAGCCGAGGGGTGGCTCAGGCACCACAGACCCCTCTCGTTCCCTTAGCAGGGAGCGATCCCCACGGATCGCAGCCCCCGGGCTGAACAAAGGAGCAACCACAGTCCTGCTCTTGTTTGTCCCCACGGCCACCGAGGCTGCATCTGGCGGAGGGAGAGGGTGATACATCCTTGCCCACTCGTACAGTCCTCTGCAAAGGAGCGGAGGTGCAGCCAGACCAGCGCTCTTTGCTAATAAATTCTTCAAGTGCCTGAAATCAGCAGCCCATTACTTCATTGGGAATGATTCTGCTCTCCGTGTAAGCCACTTAAAAAGACGTAATTATATCCCAGGAGATGAAACACTTACTATTCGTTAAAAGCTGACTGCAGCTCCTATTACCTGCTAAAGCACAGAAGAAAAACCTGCCAGCCATCCTCCCTTTTGATGGCTCAACTGCAACTTTAAAATGTTAATAACAATTTTTTAGCCTGCTGTTGTCAGGAGTTTGTAGGGCAGTTGCGGTAATAGCCCCTTTGCGCCTAATAGCCACCTTGCCCTCTGTTCATCTTGGTGATGAGCTGGATCCAACGTTGGACCTAGTTCTGAGGACTAAATGAACGCCCTGGGAAAGGAAGCAGAGCCGCTTTGATCCTGTAAATACAGCTTTCCTGGAGGGTGCCACAGGGTGCCTTCAGACTCCTGAACTGTCCGCACAGCCCAGGCCAGCCACCGAGTTCATGTTACAGCACTCCTGTTCCCAATGCCTGGCTCCCCGGTCTCAGGATGGGATCTCCCTTTGATGTCCGGGGCACTAGGCTCACTTTGCTGCTCCGGTCCCAGCGAGAGCTGCACGGCGAGGTGCTCTGCACCAGGAAAACGCTGTGGCACTCAGACCCTTTCTGCAAAGCGATCCTGTGCCGCCTAACAGGGATCCGGGACCCGCAGCCAGCAGCTCTGGGCTCTGCTGCCTGCTCGCAGAGACCACCACCCGTGCCGGCACGCTGCTTTCCAGGGAGCTCTCGCGTCCTCCTCCTGTTCCTGGGTGGAAGCACGGAACTCATTTCACCAGCTAGAAACTTGGGTGCTACTGGCGAGCTCGGCCAGCGACCTGAATGCTGGCCCTCGGCCGCAAACAGGACTGAGGTCAGTCATGCGGAAGAATATCCTGGTTTAATGGTAATTGATGCCTATCCTGACCTTCACAGTCCTCAAATTAAAATGTATTTAAAGCTTGCAAAAGGTTTGAACCTTCTTTATTTGAACCTCCTTAACCCTGCTGAGAATTTTGCTATCTAGACCTGCATCAGGGCCCAAGTCTCTACTCTCCAGCCCACACGGTGCAAGGTGGGACCTGGGTTTAACACTCAGCAGATCAAGCCCAACTTCCACAAACCCCCTCGGGAAGGACGGTCGGGGAGAGAAAGCTTCTCCCCATGGGTTAGCCAGCAGACACCCTGCCCCAGAAAGGCAGTCCTCGGGTTGCAGGATTGCTAATCCAGATCCGTGCGCCGTCAGGCTCCGCCGGTGATCTGTATTAGGTGTGGGCACATACTTGCATTTCTCTTGCATTAGCCAGAGCACACAATGCAAACTTTGTGCCGATGTTATACGCTTTGATGTCAGCTGTTACCTGATCTGATGTGAAGTGAGAGCGGTGTGGATAGACTGTACCTGATCTAGCAGAAACCCTGCCAGAGCAAAGTTAACCCTTTAAATCCATTTCAGCAAGTTTGAACCGGTAAGGGAAGTTTATGCTGGATTAACACTTTGCGCCCAGTGGCTGTGACATTTTTTGAGTCAGCATTCTTAAAGCTAGATTTATTCCACACCTTTGAACTCCGTCTTGAATGACGTCCCGTGCCTGGGAAGGATGGACACTTCCGTCCCACTGTCTGCACTTGAGGAAATGACAGGAATTACACTTCAGGCTTCACGCTGTGAACTCACAACCTGCAGTTTAGGATCTCATCCCACCTCATGCATGCAGGTGGCTGACTGTTTGAAGCGGGAGGTTGCCAGTCAGCCTCTGAAAGTCCAGACCCACAGCCCGAGGCCCACTCCAGGACTTGGACTGAGCCTCTGTGGCAAATCACACCAAGTGCCCCCCGGCAACTGGATGGCTGTGGGCTTTCAAATGGAGATAAATTCATGCAACAGCCGAAAGGTTTATAATGCTAAACCCCAGCTGAATGGTTCCCCATACAGGCAGGGTGATGAGTCCTCACATTTTAGACAATGATTAACTTCTCTGAAGGACCAGCTTTTTACTCTTGCCTTCCCCCTTCTCCATGCAGTGACTATTTAACACTGACACTTACATACACACTTACTGACATTTAAGAAGCACCAAGTCAAGCTAGCAAACAGTCAGGAATTCCATAATTGAAGCAGTCCAGGCAACCTTAAATCAACCCTTCTAGGCTCATGCAATGCAATAGCTCATCGCTACCTTGTTCAGCACATGCAGAGATGCACTAAGGAAAAGCCAGGCTACAAGAAGAGGCTTTTTTTTTTCACAGGAACCACTGCTACAAGTGTTTGAGAAGTCCGGTGTCAGCTGGAGAGGACGAACGGTTACTCCACTGCAGGTGACATTTTATGCCTCTGCCAGAGTTCTTCCCTGATGCTAGTCAAGTAATTGAAACTGCGTCACGGTCAGCAAACTCCGCTTCCACCTTTTTCAGGGTGGCCGACACGAGCCTGAACACAAACCGCAGCAGCAGTCGAGCACCTGGGGCTGCAGCGGAGCCAGGGTGCCCGTGCAGGGTCTCTGTGCAGAGCCTCAGCCCCGCACCACGGCTCCTCAGGGGCTTGGGTCCCCACTACCTGGGGACAGCAAATGCCTCTTCCCCGAGCGTGGGGAAAAGAGAGATGAAAACCTGCAATTGCCTTGCACAGAACTGACGGACGCAAGCAGCGCAGACACATTTCAGCTGCGTCAGAGACAACGGCTGTAAAGCTACAAATGCGCAATTATAATTTTTTTTAATTCACTTGCAACCACATACCCCACCAAAAAAAAAAAAAAAAAAAAAAATTCAGTCCAACTAGAAGAAGTTGGCAAAGACATGAGCTATTGAAGTCAGGAAAGTGTGGCATAAACTTAATTAGAGCAGCACGCAGACCTGCCTATCCCAAGAGATCATCTTGGGGCTCTGTTGGGATAGGAGCTGTACAAACCTACAGAGCATGACCACCCCCAAACACAAAAACTCGCTGCTGTTACTGCCAAAAATTACTGAACCATTTTTCACTGCACTGGGTATACAGTTTCATTAGTCTAATTACAAGGCATTAATTCCTAATTGCTCAACTAATTTCTGTATTTGAAAAGGAAGAAGGATGTAAAAGATGTTTACCGCACCCACATGCCATTGACCTTAAGTCTTGATGTCTAAAGATGAAAGCAAGAAGGAAGGAAAAGTTTTCTTGCTTTCAGAGGCAGAGCTTTGCATTTGTATCACAGAGCCACAAACAGAGCAGGACAGAAAATCTCATTGAAGCTTCATGACATCGCAGAGACGGTACAGAGATTTGCCAAAGAAAACCAAGGTTTTTGTAGAAGAAAACTGAAATCTGTCACATGTGGAAACTGGGACTTCCAATTGAAACATGATAAATTGGGGGGGGGAATATTTTGTTCGGCTGGATGAACAAAATAAACTAGCCTAAGCACAATGTCCTGATCAGTCTGATGAGGGAGGGCATCTCTGCTCCCCAGCTGGTGGTGGAACAGCCTGTCCAGCTGAATGCAGCTCATCCTCCTGCTCGGGGTTTGTCCTGGAGCAGCCAAGGGCCGAGCAGAGGGGTGGGGACAGGGAAATGGAGAAGACATTCACCAGGCTTGGAGGTAGGATGAAGCAAGGACTGAGGGAGGTGCTCATCTCCTCCGTTCCAGCTTTACCCCTCCTTTCCAGGGTGCTGATTTCACACTAACTCAGAGAGAAACAAAACGAGGCAGAGCAGGAGAGAGAGAAAAATCTCTTATGTGCACGCCCCTCCATCCCACACGGGTCCTGGGGAGGTGGGGTTGGAGAGGCAGAAAGCGGTGCAGCTTACCCCCCAAGCCTCTCGAGGTTGTCAAGGGTCACAGGCTCAAATTTTACCTGTGTCATCTGGACTCTGCTCCCTCCTGCCCGCATACAGCCTCTCCCCCAGCTACCTCAGTGCCATTCCCCACGCTCTACCTAGGAAATTAAAAGGGGGGAGGGACAGATTTTAGAAAGATGTGGGGCGATGGGGAGGGAGGGAACTCAGTGATCAGACAGGGGCAAGCAACAAAGACTCATACCCAAACCTCCCCTCTTCTGCCTCATTTGTGTACTAAGACCATCCCTGTGGTACTCAAGTACCATTTTAGCTCCCCACTTTGGTCCAACACACCACAGGAAAGAGCTTTGTTTCCCCAAACGCTTCAAGTCTCCCTCAGCCCCACCAGATCCCAACATCAGCCGGTTGGGAAAGGACAACCCTCCTCTTCCTCCTCCTCCTCCTCCTCCCCAGGCAGAGAGAGCAGGTGAAGAGGGAGAGCAGCAGCACGCCAGCTGCCCTCCGCGAAGCTCAGAGGACCGGCCTCCCCGCCCAGCCCTACCTGCAGAGGCTCCTCAGCTGTAGCTTTCCCCCCCCCCAAAAAAAAAAAGACGGATGGGGAGCAGGCTGCAAGCAGTCTCCCGGCGCTTTTGCCCCCCAAGGGCTCGCAGCTGGTATCTCCGATCCTCCCTGGCAGCAGAGGCGGCTGTGGGTGAGGCTGAGCCCTTACCTGCCGGCAGACCGAGAGGGCTGGCTCCTGGAAGCCAAGCCTTGTTTTGAGGAGGAGACTTGGGTGTGTTTTGCCCTCCAGGGGAATCAAACAGGTTTCTCCATTCAGCCGGCACGGCCTCCCCCCTCCCTGTAAGCTCTCCTCTACATTCCTCGCATTCTCCGCCAAATGCCGCGCTCCCCAGCCCCGCGTTGCAATGGGACAGCAGCTGAGCAGCCCCCCAGCTCTCACCCCACTGAATCCCTCCTCAGGCCAAGCACTGCCAGGCAGGCTTACCCCATGGGAAGGGGGGCAGGCACCCCACTGCTAGGCAGGGACTCGCAAGCCCTTGAGTCTGAGCGGGCCACTTACAGCGGTGGTACCCAGGTAGCATCAGGAACTGGCACTGTAATTAGCACTCAGCAGTGATTGTCTACTTCTAATTAATTAAATGAGGGACACAAATGTGATTATCTCTATTCACTGCAGAGCAAATTGCCAGGCACTTTCCTCTTCCTCAGTTCATTTCCCTTTCTAATTGCTGCGGTCACCACTAGATCCCCGAGGCCCAGCTTTGGCGAGTCTCTGAACGGCCACGGCAAGACCCCTGGAGACACTTTTGGCCAATTCCTACAGGACAGTGGTCGGGGAGGTGGGTTTGGGGCATTTTCCTGAGGCGTCAGGGCTTCAGGCCGGCACTGCCACGGCTTGGCAAGAAGGTGGTGATGAAGGCCCAGGCGAGCACCTCTCCCCACCTCTGTACCCACCTGCTCACACTCTCCCCCACCCCGAAGTGATGAGTCTGGAGTAGACGGGCTGCGGGAACCAAGCGCCCCTGCACTCTCAGCTCTGCAACAGATCTGCGGCAGGGTGGTGGGCGAACCACCGGCGGGCTGGGCTGGGCTGCGCCCTAGCAGGGCTAAAAACCCATCCCTGGCTCCCAGCAGCACAAAGAAAAGAACCTCTAAAAAACCCTGATGTCGACATCGTTACTCCAACCCCGGATCTTTCTCCAAACTACTCCGGCTGCGACACCAGCAGCAGCGCGGGCTGGGCTGAGCTCTCTCCCCCAGAGGCCGCTGGGGATCCCAGCTCAGACAAGCACAGGAAAGAAGATGTAACGTTCACAAAACCGCACCCTGAGCTTGGAGCGGGCACAGAGGGGTGTCCCACTCAGGAAAACTGAGTGGGCTGTTTAAAACGCAGCCCAGACCCTACCCTAGCAAAGCATCCTCTGCTTCAGGGCCCCAGCTGTCAGTGCCGCTTTCTTTTCAGTAGTAACCCCTGAGTCATCCCCTCGTTGGTTGAAGGTTTGTTCAGGTTCTGTCCTGAAATAATAGTGACTAAGAGCCTGGCCAGCCTTTCGGGTACAATGGGGCCGCTGCCAAGCAAGCAGAAGGGGCACCCCAGGGTCTAACGACTACGCTTTTTTTTTTTTTTTTTTTTTCCAGTGTGAACACACTGTTCCACAATGACTGTTCAAAATAAAACAAAATTTTAAAAAGCACCTATTACGAGCACCTTAATATTAAACGCCAAAGAAATGGGTAAGGAGATCCTAAAACAATACACACAGAAGCTCAGGGTTGGTTTAGTAGATGCGGACAACTATTTTGTTGAACTGGCACACGTGCAGGCTAAAACATTAGGTGTCTATCAGCATTGCTCCCTTCCTCAGAAGAAAGGAGCACGGCAAAGAAATGCTTTAACAGAGATAGGTGCAGTATTAAGTAACATTTTGCTATTAGCCTGAAAATACAGGTTCAAGCATATATACAAAACATCCAAAGTCAGGTCTTAAAGCCAGGGGTGTGGTGGCAAGGTAGAACAGCAGGGAATGTACTTCCGACCTGGCAGCTCCATCCCAACAACTTGGGTGTGCAAGCTGTTGGTGAAAGACACGCTGCACAGCACGTAGCCTAGCGAGATACAGAGAAATGCCACACAAACCGCCTCTCCTCCACGTGAACTACCATTCGAGCCCTGTCAAGCTCAACTCTTTAAAGTCTCCTCAGTCTTCAGCCTCCGTGTCGAACCTCCTGATGCACCCAAAGCCCCACTGATTCAACACTGACCTTACGCAGCCCTCCTCCATTTTCAGCTCCCTTGCTACTCCAGTCTGAAATCTCTATCAGTCCCATACGGGGTTCTCCACACTGGGCTAATCCTGCAGCAATGCTCCTGGGAGAAGGGACAAAAGGAGACATTTTATTTCACTGAATTTAGCTGTGGTTTTCCAGTACAAACACTACCTAGGTAATTTCAGCTGCTGGCTAACACGGATGTGAGACATAAGGCTGTTGAGTGCCAACGCTTGTTGAGTGAAGGGGGGCACTGGCCTGCTTACTGCTGTACATCACACTGGCCACACGCAGCTTCTTGGGAGCAAAGCGAGAGAGTTAAGGCTTGTCTGGGAAAGCCAAAGGAGGACTATGATGCTGCTACAACTGCCACACAGGGACAGCTTTTATTGGAATAAAAGGGACTTTATTCCGATATATCTACTCTCTCTTCCAGCTAATTTCCCATCTAAACGGGGAACAGTTTCATTTTATTTCAGCCATGATTCACCACAGTGCTGCAGAGAGGCAGCAACACACAGCTTCTCCTGCCCTGGATGCCCGTGGTCCCTCCAGAGCTGAGGTTCCCACATCCCCTGCAAGGGCTCCACTGTGGCAACGCCTGCGCTTCCACTCACACCTTGTATGAAAGGGGCTGCCTTATCCCAGCGACTAAACCCGAGACCTATCCAGCAGCTCCAGCTGTCTCTCTCCCATCTAGTTCGAAGCTGTGTAGCCCTTGACTTCAGGGGTGTTGCTTTCATTTGCGGTGATGTAATGGCAAGGAGAATCAAGCTCATGAATGCCAGAGACTCCAGGTCGGCACAGGAGGATCACCAAGGGCAACATCATGCCCCTAAAACACTGCACATGGCTGCCAAACATCACTTTCTGCGGGAAGAGTAAAGCAGGGAAACTTTTCTAGCCCTGGCTCTTGCTAAAGAGGAGAGGTGAAGTGGGTGCTCTGAGGACAGCATGGAAGTCAGCGACCTCTCAGGGAGTGGGCTTCCCCATTAACAGCAAGAGAGTATGCTTTAAAAAAGCCTGGAAAGAAGGAAGTCTGAGGAAGAGTTGTCTTCCAGGACTGGCAGAACATGGAAAGGGACCTTCTATCTCTCTCCCATGGACTAGGACACCAGAGACATTAGATACCATGGGAAATGTAGTATATCTGTATATACATGTTAGTATACAAGTATGGTAATGTAAACCGCAGCTTTGTCTTTTATTTCCCAGTAAGGAGAGTAGGATAGGAACACACTTTTCCCCCCACGCACACAGTCTGTAGAAAAGGCTTTCCATACTCTTTGTTCAGTGGAAAATAACCATGCAGACAGCTTACCTTGAACTGGAGATTTCCAGGGCTGTCGTGTCACCACAGGTCACGGTACTACCATACTGCAAACAAAGCTCAGCAAGCACATCTGTGGTGCTCAGCAGCTTGAACAGTTAGGGACAATCAGTCCCAAACAAGTCTTTGTGGTTCTATCCCAATTAAGCTCTTAGATAAACCACGCTTTCCAAAGTCTAGCTGGATGTCACTCACACCAGCAGGCACAGAAACCCTGATGGGTGTTTTTCTTCCTCATAATTACAGCAGTATATTCAGTTTTTAATGACATGGCATTTCAAAATCACAGCAGTGGCCAGAGGCAGAAGTTTTTTTGCCAGCAAGTGGCAGGCCTGTGTGACATCTGGAAGAGCACCACGCCACAGGGCTGCTGAAACACAGCACCACCAGGTTGGTGCAGACCAGAGGCTAAAAGACCGTCCAGTAAGTCTGTAGGGGAAGTCAATTTACTTTAGGCTCTTAACAGAGACAATCAGATCAGGAGCATCATCTCTGTAGCTTCTAGGGATAAAGACTCCAGATTTACATTATGAATCCATGCACCATGCAGTGTGCGTGTGTGTGTGCACACAGGTGTGTGCAGGAGGAGTGAAACTGGGTCTTTTTGCTAATATATACAGCTACAACTACAGCCTGATACTACTTTGAAGCTGGCAAAACTGTAACTCTTACCACTGCAAGAAAGCACCTTTCCCAAGCTAGCAGCTGCAGGTTAAACGCTGACAAATTCCTGATGCTCTGGGAGAAGGCCACCAAACTCAGTCTCACTGACAAGACCAGCCTCACCTGGAAGCTTCAGGGTTAACCTGCATACCTCTGGAGCAAACCCCTGCACCTCGACAACAACAAGAAGTCCCTCATCCTCATCAGTCCAGGAGCAGAACTCAAAAGAGGCATTTTTTCTCCTGTACCAGGTTAAACCCAAGAGGGTCTAGCTTAAACCCCCCCACCCTGCTGCAGATGTGGGCTCTCTCCTTGGGCCAAGAGCCAAAGGTGATGTTGGGGCTGCCAGCCCGGTGTGCCCAGGGAAGCCAGCCCAGCCCAAGGCAGGAGGAAGGTCCCGTCGCTCTGTTCTAACACAACCTCCTCCAGGGACACCCGCGCGCTCCCGCAGCAGGCCAGGAGCACCACAGAAGAGCCTCATCTCCCCCTCTCCAATCAGCAAACTTTATTTTTATGTAAAAGCTGCAGGTATATTTCAGCATGGACTATCGGACTTTACCAGCAAATGGATTCTCCCTGGATCTCCTTTACAAGAACAGCTTAAGCACCTCTCAAAGTTGTTTCACAGTTTGCACTGGTTGATACTTGTTTCACCGCTGTTTATCTGCCTCCCTTAGATTCTTAGGGCACTGCGAAGCAGATCATTGGGATCCATGAGACATGGGAATTACATCACACAAGGAAGCTGCAGCCACAGAAACCACTCACAAGCTGGAGAGAACGCCTAACAGCAGAAGATTTAAAGGACTCTGACTGTTTAGGTAAAAAAAAAAAAAAAAAGATTACAAAAAGAAAAAAAAAAAAAAGTGACTTGACCATAGTGTAAGAGAACTATCCAGGAGGTAACATGGCAAGCACGAAGGGGAGT